TGACCCAAGCTTGAGTAGAAATCTTGCAAGCAGGAGCGAATAACATCAATCTGGCCACCTTCAGCTTCTGCAAAAAGAATTAAGTCGTCAGCGAAAAATAGATGAGAAAGCTTTGGACCATTTTTCACCAAGGAAATTGGTTTCCAAAGTTTATCATCTACAGCTTGTTCAATATGATGCGCGAGACGTTCCATACAGAGAACAAAAAGAAAAGGGGATAAAGGGTCTCCCTCTCTGACACCTCGAGACGGTATGAAAGTCGAGGTGAGTTCTCCATTACAGTTGATTCTCATTTGATTCTTCTCGACACAAGCCATGATCCGGATGATCCAAGTACTAGGAAGGCCTATTTCTCCAAGGGTGTCTCGTAGGAAGCTCCAGTGAAGGCGGCCATAGGCTTTCTCTAAGTCTATTTTGATCACCATACCACCCTTCGTACCTTTCTTGTTTCTCAAAGAGTGGAGGGTTTCTTGGAGTAGAAGGATATTGTCATTGGTTTGGCGACCCTTAATAAATCCACTTTGAGTAGGAGAAACCAGCTTAGGCATCAAAGGTTTAAGACGATTTGCTATGGCCTTTGTGATTGCTTTTAAAGCTACATTATTAAGGCTGATAGGTCTGAATTGAGCCGGAGTCTCTGGATGAGCCACTTTGGGGATGAGCACCACTGTAGAGTCAAAAATCTCTTCCAGAATGTTGCCAGTCTCAAAGAAATGAGTAGCCATCTCCGTTAGGTTCCTCCCCACCAAGGACCAGAACCTCTGATAAAAAATCGCCTGAAAGCCGTCTAGACCAGGTGCCGACATAGTTTCATTTTGAAGATAGACTTGTGAAAGTCCTGAATGTGGAAAGGGTGAAGAAGTTGGAGGAGTTTTGTCTGCTGCAGGCGAGGAAAACGGCCCTTTGGCATTAAATCTTCATAAGTACCTTCCTCCTGGGCGTAAACAGACTCATAGAATTGAACAACAAGCTTTTTTAATCATGTCTAGTCATCTATCCAGTCTCCATTCCCATTTCAAAGGGTCGGAATTTTGTTCCTCCTCCTTCGCCTAGTAGCTTGTTGGTGAAAATAGGAGGTGTTTTGTTCTCCTAGTTTAACCCACTTCTCACTCGCCCTCTATACCAGTACAATTCCTCTTGCCCAATGATAAGGTCCAGCTCCTTCTCCAGCTTGACCTGCAACTTCATTAGGCCTGGACTAAAGGAGGTGTAGCGAGGGCCCGAGAACCCCATATCCGCTAGACCAGCTTCATTTACCCAGGTTAAGAATCTTCTGCAGCGCTTCAAATCTCTAGGTGAGCAGGCACCACTCTTCTCTTTTGGGTCCCCAAACGCGTTGAAGTCACCTGTTAAAATCCATGGAAGATTCCAAGCTTTGCTGGACTGAATGAGTTGATCCCAGAGAAGCGGTTGAAACTGATAGTAGGGGCTGCCATAGACCCCCGTGAGAATCCAATCCTGATGACCCTTCCTCGAGACTCTAATGGAAATGTGTTGTTTGCTAGCTTCAATCAAAGTAGCTGAAAATCATCAGATTTCCAAGCTATCCTAATCCCCCCCCCCCCCCGACCTGCCATTCGCATAAACACGGATAACCTCATCAAAACCTAGCTTGCTGCAAATTGAGTTTGCCTTTTCACCGCTTATTTGAGGCTCCAGAATTATCAAAAAATCAGGCTTATGCGAGTCTCTCAAAAGACGAATAGCTCGCAAGAATTTCTTACCCCCTACACCACAAACGTTCCACGACAAAATACTTAAGTTAGATTGATAAACCATGGAAAAAAACTAAAAGAAAGGGAAAACGGCAGCAAAAAGAGCTCGGGAGGCTCAGAAGGATTCAAGGATAGATGATTCATGTCCCCCTGGTTGGGACGACTTTTCAGTGGTGTCTGCGATATTGGTCTCAAGCATCGCAACATCCTCTTTCACTGCTTCGGTCGACTTCGATCCACGATCATCCTTCTTGTGAGAAGTGGTGCAGAATTGTTCAATAGCTTGTATAGAGATCGGGAAAGCCCCTTGTTTCTGCTTCTGACAACCATCCTTCTTTGCCAGGCTAAAAATCTGCAACGGCTTCTTCGTTGCTTTGAGGTTGACCCCTTTCTGGTGCAGGGGAAGCTCCGAATTTTGACGAGGGAAGTGAAGCCTGATCGACGAGTCCCCGACGTTTGGTTGCGATTCTTTTGTTGGGGTCGACTCAGGTCAGGGACTTCCAAAATTTGGATTTTGGTGTTATTGGGCCCAGTCACCAGAATTGCTGGGGGAGCCCCAGGTTGTGGATTGGAAGATGGTGGGCCGTTACTGTTGGGCTCCGTTGACTTGCTGGTATATTTGCAAGTACATAAATGATTTTATTTTTCAGGGAAAGAAGCTAGCTGAGTCGTCGCTCATCAACTATGTTATTTCTAAGGCGAAGGACTGGCTGGACATTTGGGAAAGGGCTAACTGCAACTTGACTTCTCTGGAGAAGCCACCACATGAAGACAGGCTGGTGGGATGGGCGGCTCCGGCGGCTGGTTGGAAAAAGTTGAGCACAGATGGAGCTTCTCGGGGCGGGACAGGTTTGGCAACGGCTGGTGGAGTTCTCCGTGACAACGACGGTGACTGGCTAGGTGGTTTCTGTTGCAAGATTGGGACTGGTTCGGCTATTTTAGCTGAACTTTAGGGAATCCATGAGGGTCTCCTTATGGCCTGGAATCAAGGTACACAATTTCTTATTTTGGAAACTGATTCGAAGTTGGCTGTTGATCTCATCAAGAACCGTGAAGATCCGGCCCATCCTCATTCTACGATCTTGGCTGCCATCAGGAGGTTAATGTCTCAGATCGGGGTGGTGCAGTTAGTTCACACGTACAGTGAGGGGAATAGAGTCGCGGACTGGCTCTCGAAGCACAGTCTCGTCTATCCCTTCGGTACGTGTGAGCTAACCAATCCACCTAGGGACCTAGAACGGATCTTAAGAGAGGACATTATTGGCGTCAGCTTCCCAAGGAGGGTGCTACTGAACAGGTAGTGATGGCAATTTCAACCCGCCCCGCGGGTATTACCCGACCTGACCCGCGATGGGGCGGGTATTTCCCGACCCGCAGTAGCGTGGGGCGGGGCATGGGTATCTACTTCCGACCCGTCCTGCCCCGCCCCGACCCATTCTAGACTCATTCTATCTCAATTTCTTACAATTTCTATACATATTTCTCCTATTTTGACTTTTCTTCAACTAGTTAGAGTCGCTCTTTCAACTTGTTAGACTCAATTACCCATTCTATTATCACTATTTTTCATTCTTAAATTGTTTTACCCTTCGTTTTATCGTAAAAAGTAAAATTTACTTGTATTTTTTTCGAATAACATGTAAGAGTGGGTCGGCCCGCTCCGCCCCGTACCCGCGTTGGTTTTACCCGCCCCGCCCCGTAGTAGCGTGGGGTGGGGCATGGGAATTGAGGTACCCGCCCCGCCCTATTGCCATCACTATGAACAGGGACTAGTATGTTTGGCTTTAGAGCGAGCTGCGGCTGTACATCTGTTAGTTTCGGACTAAAGGGTTGTTTGTTGTAGCCTCCTCCCCGCCTTGATCTGCTAGTTGTTTCCAGCGGCAGGTTGGGGGAGTTTGTTCCTTCCCCTGATTCCTGGCTTTTGCCTCCCTTTCTTTCAAAAAAAAATTAATCATTAAATTGCCTATGTAAGCTTCTCGGCAATTAATAACTTTCGGTAAGGAATTTAATCTGACTCCGTTGCCAAGACACATAACCAAGAATTAAACCGCAAATAAAGAAACCCAATGGCATTCTGGATATTCTAATTCATATAACTAGCTTCAACCCTGCCCTTTGGGCAGGTAGTATTTTTTAATCTTTTACAATGTAATTTATAAATATATGAAATATCATTTTGATATTGATTAAACAATAATTTAGTCAAAATTAGTAAAAAGTCCCAGTAAACTTTACAACCTAAATCATGGAGGAAATGTTGACATCGTACTCATTTCAACAAACCTATCATGCATAGACCAAAACTATTACATTTTATGAGTCAATCAATCTATAATATCTATGCAATAAAATCGTGATGTATATTGTAACTATGTATGAATAATACATCAAAATAATTTAAAAAAAGAAATATTAAGCATTGAAAATTTGAATTAAAAAATGGTTTAAGAAGCTTTCTTTAAACCATAAAAAGCAAACTACTAATCAACACTCATATTGAATGTGACGTTAAATTCTCATTTCCAAATTAAATTTTAATTCATTAACTATCTTAAAACAAAAGCCCTTGGTGTTGTTCGAGCGTAGAGAAACCTAAAACAAAATAACAAAAAGCCACAAACCCCATCAGCATTTCTTGAAGGCCAAGCGACTGGGCGGAAAGTAATCGACGTAGACGGAGGAAGGAAAGTTCAAATCTACAAACTTGCAGGTTGGTAGCGGGATAAGGAAGAAGACTCCTCCTCGTAGAGAGTCCCATCTGGCTGAAGAAACGGTGCCGGCGCTTGGAGACTGAAGAGGGTTTGGAGAAGAATCCTAATTACGATTGAGATGGAGTTGCGAGAGCGGGTGGAGGATAAGAGAGGAGAGGGAGGGATCGGAGTCGGTTGGGATTGGAAAACTCCCTTGTGATATGCGAGATATTAGGAAAAAGAAGAAGAAAACTTAACCATCGTTCCCTACTTCTGTTCCATGGTATAAATACCCAAAACAAAAAAGAAACCGGGGCCATTTAGAAAGAAAGATGAAGCAGTTGGTATGAAATACAAAAGAGAAATAAAAATTTGAAATTGTGCCGAACTTTGAGGTTAGAGGTGCAAGAGGGAAGGAATTATGATGGGGATAGCCGGATAGGGAGGGGAAATGGTGTGATGACGTGGCAACATGGGTGGATGGAAATTTTAAATTCCTGAATGACAGTTGGAGAAAACACTTATATGTTTTTTAGAGGCCCATCTTAATGACAGGAAGATATAAAATGTCATTTCCTTAATGGCCATCTTACTTCCATCTTAAATTGCCCCCATAACTTAAATGGTTGCATTGGAACAACTGAACAAGGCAACGTTTGGAATTTCTGGAGACCAGCTCCGTTTCCCAAGGGGATTTTCCTCCCAAATAATGGGTTGTATGATTTTCCATTGCCGAAATCGTTCTTTTTTTTTTATTTTCCAAAAGATAATCTTATATTGATTGAGATAAATAGACAGTTACACCCTGGAATTCAGCCAGGCCTGATAATCAAAACGAATTGTAGTCTGGTACAAAGAAAGGGCTTTTTGAGCCACCAAATGAGCTACCCTATTGCGATGCCGACCTACAAATCGAACAGTAAAACCCATGTTCATGTCAAACAGCTGGACAACCTTCACCAGAATCGATCCCACTCGATTATCCCTAGCATCCCGTCGAAGAATATTCTCAATGATCACTTGGGCATCTCCCTCAAAACGCACCACATTAAAGCCACTAGCCAAACACCAAAGGACAGCCTCTCGGAGAACAAGCGCCTCACTTGGGCATCTATCAGGACTCATGATAACCATCCCCCTGCTGAGTGGGACCCATTTCGCACAGCCCCGTCCCACATCCAGACCGCCCCATTCGATCCAACTGGATCCAGGGGAGGAGTGATCAAACTCGGGAGCTGGACGAACTGGGTCGCCGGAAGATCAATCCATTCCTGAACCTGTTGATTAAGCTGACGCATCAAGGCTGGGATCCCAAACTGTTTGCCTTAGAAGACAACCCAATTGCGAGATCGCCATATCCGCCATAATACAGCCACCACCAACATTAACGACGATGGTTGGTGCAGCAACGCCATCAACCTCTTCAGAAAGAGCGGGAAGGTATGATGAGGCAACCCTTCTCCCAGGTGGGAAATCCCAGAGTGATCCCAAAGGGCCCGAGCAACCGGTCAATCCAGAAACAAATGTTCCAGAGTCTCCGAAGCTTCCCAACATACTGGACAGCAAGGGAAGACATCAACCTTTTTCTCAATCAGGGCCTCCATAGTAGGCAGAACTCTATGGAAGATCTTCCAGAGAAACACCTTAAGCTTTGGCGGAATATTAGCGTCCCACAACCGGACCCAACTTGCTTTAACCATCTAGCTTGCCAGAGCCCTCCATCGACCTCTCTGCCGGTCCAGATTGACCGCAGCATAATAAGCAGATTTAACCGTAAAAAAACCATCAGGAGTCGCATGCCAGATCAACCTATCCTCAACATTCTGCCTCGGCAGAGGAATAGCCTGAATAGCTCGGCAAGTCTGTGGATCAAACCACTGTTCGAGTTTCCTTTCGCACCAGGACCCTCCTCCTGGTTGAATAACCTCTGCCACAGTCAACACCTCGCCCTCCGGAATCACACAAGGATTATAAACTGGAAGGAGAGGATGCTGCTGAGGGATCCAACTGGACGTGTGAAGAGGGGCTTTCTGCCCATTACCAACCTGGCAACGTAATCCCATCTCTAACAACTGGCGTTCGAAGAGGATACTCTGCCACCCCCAAGAAGGATGTGAACGAGCCGTCGCCGTGAGAAAGGATCCGTTGGGATAATATTTTCCTTTGTAAACATGGGCAAGAAGAGATTGGGGATCCTGAAGGAGGCGCCATCCAATTTTTGATAACAGAGCCTCATTGAAATGCTCAAACCTGCGAAAGCCCATACCCCTAGTGAAACTTTATTTCTACAATTTACACCAAAAATACAATACCACAAATTTGGATGTAAGTCAAAAAGTAAAAGAAACCGATAGCGGACAAGCAATAAAATATGCCTCTAATGCCCCCAAATCGTATTGAACAAACAACACCCAAAAACAAATTCCTTAACAACTCTAGCTTCTCAAAAACAAATTCTTTCTCCACCATAAACTGAAGGTTGGAATTTAATGAAGGAAAAGGGAACAAGAAGAATATTGGCCCTTATCACAAGATAGAGAATGTAGACATGATTCAACTTGCACAAAAACATGCGCAATTACCATTGATCCTAAGTTACCCGAAAAAAGAAGCATCATTCTAACACGATACATGATTCATATGTACCAAATAAAGCAGAAAAAGGAGATTGAAGCAGATGTCGATTGATCATTATACAGAAACCCCAACAATCTAATAAATATGACAGGCTCTGATACCACTTGTTAGAATTACTATAACATATATAATTCCCCGGAATCCATCATCCTATCAGATTATCAAAGGTTGAAAGAGTTGCCTGATTTAATGATGTAGACCATCCGGATCTTGATGCGGAATCTGAAAGACGTATTATGACCGGACGATACTTCTAAGAGCACGACCCGGGAGGTAGCGTGATTTTCCTCAACCAAGCCTCCTTAATCCACTAACGGGAAACCTCGCGTATTCTTGATGGGGAGAATATGTGTTTATGTTGGTCTTGGTGTATTAGGGACCACAACCTCAAGGTTCCTTATATACTCACCACCATGGGCTCCCATAAAACTCATAGGTGTAAGTATTGGGTTTCCACCCATTTAGGTCCATATCACATACAAGTATCTTTGGGCTCCTGATTTGGATCACTTACAATTAGTCCACTTAATCAAATAGTTCATATAATTGTAAAATATGTGGCCCATATAAATATAGGAAATAGAATTTCCTAACACCTCCCACATACCAATCCATACTTGGTGCTTGTGTGGCCAATTACTGACTATACCATAAGTTGCTTGTCGTAGTGGCTCTTCAGGACCCCAACTGTTGGTGGGGCAGATCGGAGCGAAAGTTGGAAGGTGCTCCCAAACCCATAGTTGGAGGATGAACATGGAACCACCCGCTTGCTTTGTTTTCAAGTCCGTACACTTGCACAACTCTGTATATATCATCGCCAAACAAGCAGATCCCCAACTTTTCTCCCAATCTCGTCTCTATCTCTCAAAAGAACTCATAGCCACATACATAGTAGATTTCCACCAGACTTGTTCGGAAACAAAAATCCTCCAACAAAACAAATTAGGTAGATGCGAGCATACCTCTCTATCTGAGCATCCGTGGCATCCGCCGACAACGAACCAAAGGTCCTCACTAGCCAATGGATCGATAGCATAGACTTGTGTAGAGGAGGTACATGACGACCTTGTGGTGCTTTCTCGGGGATGTTGATGCCTAAATGCTCACTTATTAATTGGCCCCAACCATTCAATAGTTTCTGTGAACTCTCGGTTGTGGCATCACCATTGATTGAAAGCTTTGTAAGCATGGCCACGTCCTTCAACGTAATCGTCATCTCTCCCTCTAGAAGGTGGAATGTGTGCGTTTCTTTTCTCCACCTTTACACCATTTTTGTAAGGAGGTTGTTGTCCATCTCCATCACCATGAAATTTCACACCCCCAGCAATCCCGTTCTTTCAATGAAGGGCTCGATCCGAACATCCCATTTAGGCAAGCGAGATAGCGACCGATGGGTGATTACGTCAAGTTGTTCATGTAGGAAAAAAATCTTAATTATTATACGAAAAAATTAAAAGAATAGTATCACATTTAAAAAAAGAGAAGGTACATCAGGAAATGCTTACCAGCTTTGCCGCCCAAACACTTTCAGAACGATATTAAGGTTGCTCATCCAACAAATCGATTTCTCGCGGTCCGCCTTGAATGTATAAGCTATGATAGTAAATACTCGGGTCCATCTAGGAAATTTTGAGGGATAGAGATACCAAACTAAAGAAAAAAAAATGTGATGCAGAAAATCGGGCTTAGTCGCAACCACAAAGCATATTCTGTTCTTCAAGAGTGGTGGAAGGAAGAGAGGAAGAAGAGTGGAGTGGTGTGAGTTTTGGTGAATTGGGGGAGGGGGTATGTATAGGTGTTGTGGGAGGTAGAGGATCGAGGGAAGCACACTCGAACCAATAGATCGAGTTTAGGGCCATCGATCCGTGTCAACATCTGCTCGAGATGAGAAAAATCGAACGACTGAGCTCGAGTTTTGTGTACTTGGTCCATGGTGGAGCGTGTCTCCTATCATCGATCCGTGTATAATGGTTCGAGTCCCGAAGTTGCGATCCGGGCGGATCGAGTTCCCGCACTCGGTTCGTGTCACACCTACTTCGCGACAGAAGCAATCAAACAGAGGGGATCGTCTTTCGCAAACTCGATCTAGGGTAGAACGCGTCATACGTCATCGATCCGTGTCATATTGATCGAGTCCTCCTTAGTCGATCTGCGTTGTCGAATCTCGGCCAATCGTGGCCCTTTCATTCGATGCATATGGGTCGCTGACCTGACAATCGATCTAGTGGTAGATCGAGTTTATTATCTGTGCCAAACTTTAATATTTTGGGAATTTTTATAAAAGTTATGTATTGAAGGAAATATTTTTAATTTTTACTGTATTTGTTAGAGAAAAAATCTCGTGAAGCCAGGCAAGCCACCAAGCCAATGAGGGCAGCGAGGGACGATGCTTCATGCTTAGGGATGGCAACAAAACCCGAACCCACGGGTACCCACCCGACCCAACCCGGTCAACGCGGGTAAAACCCGTGTTGACGGGTTTTGGGCCGGGTTTGGGTTTAAACCCGCTACACTATTCACCGGGTCGGGTTGGGTTTGGGTTTAGGTAAACCCGCCCCCATGGGTACCCGCCCACACACATATAATTACTTTCCCGGTATATTTAATATTCTATATAATATATCTTCCTTATATAACTAATATTCTATATGTTTGTGGAGACATGTATAATTTGTTCTTTCAAATTGTTTAGAATGAAGTTGATATTATGAAGTGGAGAGTGAAGAAACTTAGTTGACGAGGAAGAAACTTTCAATTAATCTTATTGTTTATATATGTTTATCTTTAATTTTGAACAATTTGTATTGATCATTTGAGGTTTGCTTATATGCTCTAGATTGGTGTTTTTTGTATGATTAATTTGTATGAGAAAATTGATGTTAAACTTTTATTTTGAAAGAAACTTGTTATTGTAAATTTTTACCACAAAAACCCACGGGTACCCATGAACCCGCGGATACCCAGCGGGTTGGGTTGAGTTTGAGTTTTTCAAACCCAACGGGTTTTACCCCGAGTTTTTTTGGCAGATAAACCCATGGATTTGGGTTTGGGTTTTTCAAAACCCTCCCAACCCGACCCATTGTCATCCCTATTCACTAGCATTGGGCCCCGCCCGTTGGTCGGGGTTATTAATAATTGTAGCACAATCTAAAGGTTATTATTATGCTTAACCAATTTATTGATTAAAAATTTTATTTTTTGGAAAACAACAAACACAAATAGTATCTATATACTATGCTATAATCTGATAAAAAAATTCATTTTAGATTTCAGTTCGATGAAGCATAATACTAACCAATAAGTAGTTGTTTTAATATAATCACCTATTGGTATAATTATACAAAAGTCTAATCCTCCAAATTGATCTACAAAGAGAGACATGAACATGGTAGAAAGAAGAAAAAACACCACAATCATAATATAAAAAAGGGTAAATACAATTTAATATCCAAACCTTTCATTTTAAACAATATAATAGCCAAACCTTTTCGAAAACAATCTAATATCCAAATCGTCAACTTTCCGTTCGTTTGACCGTTAGTTGACACTTCAAAAAAGCTTTGTTTAGGGGAAACTGTCACAATACAACTTTGTTTCTTGTTTTGGCATTGCAGATGACTGAATATTTAGATATTCTATACCATCATGGTGGAGTCATGGACTTCTCGGGTTTGGAACTATGATATGTTGGTGGTTTTTCAGAGAAGATATCGATGGATATTGATGAAGTGTCGTACTTCGAACTTTTTTGAAGTGTCAACTAACGGTCAAACAGAAAGAAAGTTGACGATTTGGATATTAGATTGTTTTCGAAAAGATTTGGCTATTATATTGTTTAAAATAAAATGTTTGGATATTAAATTGTATTTACCCTATAGAAAAAGCAAACCTTCTCACGCCCTTTTCATTTGTAGCATACAAAATGGCTAAATCCTTCAATAGTTGCGGTGTCATTCTTTTTTCTTGATTAATATGGTCGTAACTCAAAACCCTTTTCCCGTCCCGAAACTCCAAATATATAGGCTCGCCGCTCAAGTAGACCCATGCTCCTAAGAGCCAGAAAATCGGAGCACTCATAGAGATTGTGTTCTCTTTCATTCCTGTGATAATCTTCGACTATCGCGCTAGAATATAGTGAGAGCAATGACGAAAACCCCGTTAGACCCACAATCATTTGCATACCCAAAACTCTGGATATATAGTTTCGACGACGCTCACATAATCCTAGGCCCATATACCAAGGAACTAAAAAATTGAAACCAAACTTCTATTGATAAGTAATTTGATCATCTGTTGATAGTATTTTTATTACTTATGAATTGCGAATAAATTAGTACTTTCTTGCTATTTTGTTCACTATTCAACATCAAAGGTAGATCGTTTGAAAAAAAAACTGCAAACTTATTTTAAAGTGCCAACTTATTATTAAAATTGTGTTAATACTTTTATTAATTATGTATTGAGAAATAAGATTTATTTTTATGTTTGATTCAATATTAGTCTGTATTGTGATTGTTTTGGTGATTATCAAATTTTGAGCATTGGAAGTTTTGATTTTTTGGCCAGATATTTATTTCCAGTCATCAAGTTAGACTTTCCGTAATTACATCAACCTATAATTACTATTTAATTAATCATAGCTATCTTTCCTAAATTATGTTTAGCAATAATGAGCAATTCTTATTATAAAAAAAATTACCGAAAAATTCTTATTATAAAAATAAGAAAAGAGGAAGGATAATTAATAAATTTTTAGTATAAATATCTTAATAATTATTAATTATCATTAAAAACAAAAACCTATTCACCTCCCTCATATTGTCGTTTACCTCATCCCACTCTGCAGAAAAAGGATCTATCTCTCCCTTCTTTTATCTCTTTCTCTCACAATAATCAGCAATCCCAGAGTGATATATGTTATAGTGGCGGACATTGGGATAGAGGGTTGTAAAAAACAAAAGAAATAAAGTCTGTGAAAGAAATAAAATCGCAGCAGGCGAAGAGTGCAAGACGGAATGACAAATTAATCCTTCCGAAAAGTGTGGTTTAAGCGGCACAGGCTGAGCTGGCAGTCACGTTATGTTGACATTGGCTTATATGTCTTTGTAGATTGTGGCCCGGCCAATTGGCCGGTAGTTCTTTTTTCGAGAAATTTTATTTTATTTTTTCAAATAACATACATTTAAAATTTCACATGAATGTTAAGATTTTTATTTTAGTTAGGAAAATTTATATTAAAATGTTTAAAATTGTTACAATTGGATAAAACAGCGAAAATATCTAGAGACAAAACAAACTATGAAATTAACATTTGAAGATAAAATATTATTTTCCATCTTAAAATTATAGGATCGTGTATTAAACTAAGCGGGGCTTCGAATATGAAAATAATATGATATATTACTTAATAGATGAAGCTAAAAAGAAAAATAAACAATTTTATATAGACTAAAGTGAAAAGGATATTCATGAATTAACTTCTATAAATAGATAAAAAAAAATAGCTTGGACTTCCAAATCCATTGTTGGATAAATTCTTGTGTGACCATGTTATACGCCCTTAATTAATAATTTATTTTTGTCACCCTCTCTTGTTTTTTCGTAAAGAATTTCTTGTATCTCTTTAGCGTTTTTTAATAAAAAAAATCTAATATCATCTCACCACTCTCGTACCATAATTCAACCACTATGGTAAGATTGATAGCACCCTCGTACCTCTATAATACCACGATATTATTACTACAGTAATATCATGATGTGGCAGGGTTATGATGGCGTAAATTTGTTTGTTCCAAAAGATATGAAACTTGATATCTTCTCGAATAGCAAAAAAATCTGATCTTTCTATGCAAATATTTTTTTAATTTGATATAAAACGAATGAAACATGATCCGTTGAAATTTTGTAGGAGATTTGAAAAGTGTTTAACAACACGTCTGAAAATTCGTGTCAGGAAAAAATAATCTGGTCAGTTGCCCCCAAAATCACTTATTTCCTTCCTTACCCTTTTATGATATGAACTATTCGATGTCTCCTTTCCTAATTACAACCGTTCAATATAGTTTTGTAGATCTATATATACATACAAAATTTTCTATTAGAACCTAAGTCATTATTATTATTTATCTATAATGGTTCGAGTTTTTAAAAAAGAAAGTCTTAGTTCAATAATATACGATAAAATTTGGGATGCTCCTATGGTGACATGCATGTCATCGTAACTTTCACTTTTCGGTCGACCTCAATTAGGATTAGGTCGACCTAATATGTTGTTTCAGTGTAAAAACAGTTTCATGATGCCTACTTTGGAGATTCATATCTTACAATTGGCTCGATGGAAATTGGAGATTAATGGCTTGTTTTGAATTTGGAGTGTCCCTCTACACATTGAAGTGCTTGGGACCTCGATAGGAAGTCCCGAAGACCATTTTTGAACTTGATCAAAAGGCTATGTCAAAACTGGGAAACTGCCTAAAAATGGCCAAGTCTGGAAAAGTGTTTGTGAAGCCTACTTTGGAGCTCAATTCGAGAAGCATGGATGAGATTCGAGTCCAGGAGCCTCTACAACATGAAAGTATGTATGTTTGTCTACACAGTCAAGGCATTGGAGGAAATATTGGATATCTGGAAGGCTTCAAACAAAAGACTCGAAGTTGCTACGAAGTAAGCTTCCTTCTAGCACAAGACTGAAATGACAGATTAGGTAGACCTAATCTTATATGAGGTCGACCTAAAAGTGCAAGTTATGGTGACATGCATGTCACCATAGCAAAGTCCTAAAATTTGATCTCTAAGAAGAGATTAGGGGTCTTTTAACATTGAAAATTTAGGATAGGATCAGAATGATTCTTTGAATATAAGATCATAATAAATGAAAAAAGGAAGTCCATAAAAAATAACTGGAAAAAAAATAGAATTTACTGTCTAGGTGTCTTCAAAAGATTGAATTTCCACAAATAGTGTAAGAAGTGGGTTAGTGGCCGTGGGCTTGTAGAAAATGAATAAGACTTTGTGGGCTGGTAGAAACTAAAATGTAAAAAGGAAGTAACAGCAACAGTGAACGGTTTTACGCGAAAAGGCGGAGAGGAGAAGACCAATCAATCCCTCCGAATTATGCGGTATAAACAGCACGGGCTGATGTGGCAATAGTCTTATATTGACATTGCTTTATATGTTTTTGTAGATGCTGCAGCCTCTAGACCCTACTGGCTACTGGACCTACCACTACTTAAAAAATAATTAAGAGCCACAAATGAGAAGACTGGCCCGGCCCACGCCACGCTCACAAGGAGCCAAGAGACAGCAGCCCATTGACCACTCGCCACCTCAAGTTCCATTTCCCCTTCCTTCCGCGCGCCCCCAGAGATCTCCAGAAACATGAATCCGGACCCGTATCACTTGCATATCTTAATTTTGGCATTTATGGCGCCATTAATTTACAATCTAATCATATTTAACGATCACACATTTTAAATGAACCATTTTACCCTCATTAAGAAATCTAACCAGTTTTCAGTTCTCCCCAAATAGTGATTATGCGTTGAAGTATCTCCGATTATTATAACATAAAAATCTAAACATGTTATTGATGGTCAACTGGTCATAGATCGACTGCCGGACTTTCACTCCCGCTTTGGCCGTGCCATATTAAAATATCGCATCGGGAATTAATAATAAATAAATAAAATATAAAATTAGTAAATTACACTGACCGTAGAAAAAAAGGAGAGTCCAGTCCCCATAGATTTTACAAAAACAGCCCTCGCCAGCTCCCGTGTCGACCCGCCGGCCACTGACGGTCTCCAGTGTCAAACGGGCAATTAAGTTGAATCCAGGGGTATATTTGGTATTCCACGCTCAGTCGGTCCCGTGTGCCTTTTTATAATCAGACTTTCAGGCCCGGTGAGTTGCAATATTCCACACGAAACCAACAACCTCGAGCTAGTTCGCCGTTTCTTCCCACTTTCCCCTCCGGCTCCCGCATTCCGCCCGCTACGGTAGACCAGTGATCCCATTTCTGCTCACACCATAAAAACCCCACACAGAGAGGCGTGGAAGAGAGGAAAGGAGAAAACCCCATCTTCCATTTTGCGCTGCTCTTGTTCTTCTTCCTTCGTGAAGAGTGTGATTGACTGTAATATACGGTCTTTTGGCTCGAATCGCCGACCCCTCCTTGGAGGTTTTGTGATCTGTCGATTTTCGGAGGTCCCCGGGAGATTCGAAGGGTTTGGTATATATACACGTCGGAGGTTCGTTCAATCGAGGGAGGATGGAAGCAGCAGCTACGGCTTCTGTGGTCGTTCAATCGTCCGGCGTCGGGTACTCGACGCAGTCGGCTTATGTCGGTCGATTAGGGTTTCTCTCCGCAAGTGGACCTGATTTCGTGCGGGTACCTTCTTCCTCTGCCAGGGTATGAATGCTCTCTCTCTCTTTCTCTTTCAAAATTTAACCCCTTTATATGATTTGGTACTTGGGATAAAGGGTTCTGGGTGTTTGCACGAGATTTGGACTCATGAAAGATTGGGATTGGTTTTCCTTGCAAAGTTTGGAACTTTTTCATTTTGGTTCCCTTACTTGAACGACGTATCGTGTTTGTTGTTAGTTTGGAGTACGTATCCAGTTGCAAAGTTTGTTATTAGTGTTTTGTCTGTGGAAGCGTAACTAGAAGGGAATTGAACAAGGCAGAGGAAGTGATGGAGCTCAGATCAGATTCAATCAATGAACCGTAGCCAACTTTTGTTGTAGGATTGATTTTGGTCACTGTCTAACGTTAACAGTTGTGTGATTGCAGCAATTCTCCTCTGGATTAGGCTTGAAGTCTGGGCGGAGAAGAGTATCCTTGAGAAGTAGAAGATGCTCCATCGTTAGGGCATCAACATCTTCATCACCTCCTCAGCCAGACTCCACGGATGGATCGATTTCGTCAATCGCTCCCCTGCAGTTGGAGTCTCCAGTGGGACAGTTTCTATCTCAGATCCTACTCAGTCATCCTCATCTTGTGCCAGCAGCAGTGGAGCAGCAGTTGGAGCAGCTTCAGACTGACCATGACTCAGAGAAGCAGAACGATGATCCTTCTGCCGCGGGTACAGACTTGGTGCTGTACAGGAGAATTGCCGAGGTGAAGGCCAATGAAAGGAGAAAGACACTGGAAGAGATCTTGTATGCATTAATCGTGCAGAAATTCATGGATGCGAATGTCTCCCTGGTGCCAACTCTGGCCCCACCTTCTTCAGACCCATCTGGCCAGGTTGATTCGTGGCCAACCGAAGAGGAGAAGAAGCTCCAGCAGCTTCACTCTGACGAGGCCTACGAGATGATCCTGAACCACCTCTCCCTCATACTCGGGAATCGGTTAGGAGAGTCATCAGCTGTTGCCGAGATAAGCAAGCTTCGCGTGGGCCAGGTCTACGCAGCTTCTGTGATGTACGGCTACTTCCTGAAGCGTGTAGACCAAAGGTTCCAGCTTGAGAAGACGATGAAAGTTCTTCTGAATCATCAGCAAGACGCGGTGGAGCATGATGTGAAGACCAGTGGCACAGATGGTTCGTACGAGGCTGTGGGGTCCCACCCAGAAGCAGCGCCATCTGGTTGGGCCGGTGGGATCAGTCCCGGTGGGTTTGGCTCCGGGATCAAGCCCTCTCGGCTGAGGAGCTACGTGATGGGCTTTGATGGCGAGACGCTTCAGAGCTACGCGACGATCAGGTCGAAGGAGGCTGTAACCCTCATCGAGAAGCACACCGAGGCACTGTTTGGAAGACCGGAAATCATGATAACTCCTGAAGGCACCACCGATACGTCCAAAGACGAAGTCGTCAAGATTAGCTTTGCTGGTTTGAAGAGGCTTGTGCTGGAGGCCGTGACTTTCGGTTCTTTCCTGTGGGATGCTGAAGGGTATGTAGATTCCAGGTACCGTTTGGTTATGAATTAAGTAGTGTCAAGTGCGGTGGAAGGAAGAACCTTTGTGGTGGAAGGCTTGGCTGACCATATGTGAACGTGCTGCGACAGACGAGTGTAAAATCTGGTAGTGTGTACCGTTTGGACGTGGGAACTGATTAGTTATGGTGTAAATAAGTTATGAAACTTCTCCTGTTCTCTCTAGCCTTTTTTAGTTGTCTTTTCCCTTGTTTAGTCTCAGAGGATGATAAGTAGTGTACCTTAGGCATGTTAAGGAATTCAAAGGTCTCGTTTGGGATTCTAGATTTTAGATTTAATGGTTTTACGGAAACACCAGATTACTTTCTGTTTTCTTTGGTAGAAAATGAGGTACCAGAAATCGGTTTGCTAATACTGATATTGAGCATTTCTGCGAAGTGTGAAGCAGGAGTCAGGGAAATGCAAACGATACATGAATGTTTATCAACTGGTTTATTACTAAATCAATATAATACATGTCTCTGAATATTTATCAACTGGTTTATTACTAAATCAATATAATACATCTATTTAATATAATACATCTCTTGAATTTCCAACGGAGGGGTAGTTTGGAAGTTGCGATAGTTTTGTTGAGATTGTCATTATGCATGTATTGTTTACAATGCATCGTTTTTTTTTTATTGAGCAGAAACGATACATGGATTGTTTTTGTGATGTGACAGAAATTATCACTCATTTTGAGTGATTGTTATATCTCAACTTTTAGTAGTGATTGTTGAGATTGTTTTGTCTCAGCTTTTAGCTGATGCGACATACACAATCACACATACCAAACGTTGTATTCTACAATGCATCAAATTCGACAATACATGTTTAATATTATACATGCATTCTCAACAATACATCTATTTAACAATCGCAACTTCCAAACGAACCCCAATGTCTTGTTTAGTGATCACAGATGAGTATACTTTTGAGCATAGTAGTGTATTGTACACAGTCCACAGACTGGACCAAATCATGATTTTTATCGTGGGACAATGACTTCACTGTATTATATTCAGTATGATCAAATGTCAGTTTGGTTCATTGCAGTCAGATATTGACCAAACCATTGTATGCTCCGGGTGGTTAAAGCTGGGTTTTGGCTTTCGGAGTTCCTCCACATCTTAGATCAAAGGCCATTATCTCGAAGATTGGGGAAATGTGTGGGGAGTTTTTTTTTTATTTCGAAAGAGGAGTCTGGTGTGATCCGTGTATTCGTATCAAGGTTCGTCTGAAACCGGAGGCTCCTGAGAGAATCCCCCTTTTGTTCGGCTCAACCTGTTTCGTGGTCAAAATTGTGATCTCGCCGGAGGCTGATCGGCCGGAAGCTGATCTGAGGAGAGACCGCTTGATTGATAGGAAGATGAAGCAACTGGATTTTTCAGTTCTGGAAAAAGTCGGTGAGGCGTGCGTTGCTGCGAGTGTCATGGCCAATCCCAAGAAGCATTGTGACCTGTTCCCAGTTTCAAGGAAGCGGAACAGTCGTGTTTTCCTTGACGTGCATGGCAATGCTGTCCGTGGGCCAAGATATCATGTGGGCATAGGAAAACCTGTTAAGAAGGTTTGGATCCGCAAGTTTGGGCCGAGCCTGAGGCCCATTGACCTCACCATGAGTCGAACCGACCCTTTACTTGAGACGTGCCAAACCACCGTTTCAATCGACCCTAGCACCTGCACTCCCCACCTCCCCCCTCCCCCATCTCGGACCCTCTACCCAACCTCTGACACCCTCGGTGAACTCTGCTTACCACCCCTCCCCCTCTTCCCAAACCCTACCTTGTCCTCAACCAACCCTGCAACTTTCACAGTAGCCTCATCCTCGATTCAGCCCTCTCAATCTTCTTTTCTTCCATACCTCCTTGTATATTGTCCTTCCCATCCTATTCCCATCCATTCATTCATAAAATCTTGATCCATGAACACCTGCCAAACTTTGTCTTACCACCTATTAGTCTCACCACCACATTTCCTGATCCCCTCGTCTTCGACCCCCCAACCCCTCCTACCCTCCCTCCCTCTTGGCCCTCCATTTCGGAGCTCACCTTTGAGGATGTCCCCAGCGACTTACCCCTGTCCCCCCTCCCGACCAATCGACGACCGAGGCTGGCAGCAACGATCTTGCAATTGTCCCGTACAACCATGCTCGGCCGATTATTTTGCCGATTGGCAAGCACAGATAGACCAAGTGGAGATCATCAACAATAGTATTGCAGTTTGCCGGATTCTGGGTCTTCAAGTGGGAGATTCTGGTTTGATGGCTGAAGGAAAAGTTGCTGACCTGGCAGCGGAAATCTGCAGGAGTCGAAGGCGGAAGCATAGGACCAAATTGGAAATGGAAAGGCACAGGCTGGGAATCGATGAATGTACGATACAAGCCTCTCGATCTCGACACGGCGCTGGCCACTCTGTCGATCACGCTCCCTCCGGCCCCAGCAAGAGTAGGGATTACTCTGGGAGTGGAAGTGTTGCCATTAGCGGTGCCTCGTCATGATTCACTCTGTTATAGCTTGGAATGTGCGGGGGCTGGGTAACCCCAACAAAAGAGCTAAGATAAAATGGCTCCTCCGTAGATGGAAACCTACAATCGTGGGGTTAACGAAGACTAAGTGGAAAGCCTGTGATCAGAGACTTATCTTTTCTATTAGCGGCAGCAAGGATGTCGATTGGGTGGCCAAGAACTCGTCTGGTGCTAGTGGCGGAATTGCCATCTTTTGGGATACCACTCTTTATGAGGCTCTTTCGGTTTGGGAGGGCAGTTTCTCCCTCGCGGTCAGACTAAGGGTTAAAGAGGCTGGAGATATCATGTCTTTTCTGGTTGTTTATGGTCCTCGGGAGAAGGATGACAAGCTTGCGTTCTTGAAAGAGCTGGAGTTTGTATGTCAAAACTACCAAGATGCGCTCTGCATTATAGGCGATTTCAACCTTGTTAGATCTTCGGATGACTTTGTTGGAAGCCCTCGAGATTTTGAGCTCATAGGAGAGTTCAATAGTTTCATTGCCAATTTCAGTCTTGTGGATCTCCCTCTTCAAGGCTCTAAGTTTACCTGGAGTAAAGGGGGAATGGAAAGCTCTCTTTCCTGCATTGATAGGGCTTTGGTTAACTCTAAGTTTGAAGAGGAGTTCTCTCCGGATGCGCTTTTGGCACTTGACAGAGTGGAATCGGACCACAACCCGATTATTTTACAGTGGGGAAGAAGAGAAGATCTCAGACATCCTTGGAGGTTCGAGAACATGTGGCTTGCTGAAGAGAATTTCCTTCAGAGTTTGGTGGGATGGTGGAACATTCCCGTCCACGGGACTAGCCACTTGGTAAGGTTTGGGAAAAAAGGGAGACAAACTAAATTCATGATCAAGCAATGTAACAGAGAACACTTTGGGAAAGTTGACAGGAGAATCGCTGAATTATTGGAAAAAATCAAGGCTACTGATGCACTGGAGGAATCCGGACAGCTTAATGAGACTTTGGCACCGAAAGAGCTCTTCTGAAGTGCGATCTCTAAAAGGTTTTGTTGCACGAGGAGATTTTGTGGCAGCAGAACTCTCGCGAGCTATGGCTCAGGATGGGAGACAAAAACTCTGGTTTCTTTCATAGAGTGGCTAACCATAATCGGCGGAGGAACAAAATTAGGAGATTGAATATTGATGGCGTTTCAACAGGGGATGCTAATGTTATCAAGTTGGCTCTGAGGGATTTCTTTCAGTCAAAGTTTCTGGAAAATGACGATATCAGGCCTTTCCCTAGGGAGTACAGACCTTTCACTTTTAAGGTTGAGGAGAATGACACACTCGTTAAGCCGTTTTCGGAAGCTGAAATTTGGGATGTTATCCGACAAGCAAATGGCGACAAAGCACCTGGACCGTATGGCTATACTCTTGAATTCTTCAAGAAGGGCTGGAATGTTATCAAATCTGATTTGCTCAAGGCGGTGGATAATTTCTATCTCTCAAGGACACTTCCTCAAGCTATCGCTCACTCTTTTATTTTCTTGATCCCCAAGAAGGAGGCTATCGAAGATATGGCCGATTTTAGACCAATAAGTTTGCTAGGCAGCTTGAACAAGGTGATTTCAAAACTAATTTTCAACCGCCTCCATCCCTATATGAAGAATATCATATCTAGAAACCAATTCGGTGGGAAAAGGGGCGCGTGATCCATGAAGCCAGCCTTATCGCGAACGAAATCATTGATAGTCGGCGGAGAAGTGGGAAAACTGGACTAGTTATAAAGCTCGACATTGCAAAGGCTTTCGACACCATTAGTTGGAGTTGTATCTTTGAGGCGCTTAATAGTATGAATCTGCACCACAGGTTTCAAAAATGGTTAAAAGGTATCATCTCTTCCTCTTAAGCTTTCAGTTCTGTTTAATGGTGAGGCGGAAGGTTTCTTTGGAATGACCAGGGGCAACAAACAAGGGGACCCCCTCTCTCCTTTCCTTTTCAATGTGGGAATGGACCCCCTCTCATTTATACTGGATAGAATTAGAGAAGTCGGTCTCATTACAGGCTTCTGTATGGACGAAACCAATCGGCGGGGAGAAGTCACCCATCTTCTCTACGCGGATGACGCTATCATCTTTTGTGAGGACAGTGAAGCAGAAGTCATGAATATATTGGTTGCCTTGGTTTGTTTTCAGAGTATCACCGGACTCAAAGTCAACCTGGACAAGACAAGGATCTTCCCCGTCGGAGATGTCCAGAATATCGCAAGATTTGCCGATATCCTTGGATGCGAGTGAGAATTTCTACCTACTGTCTACCTCGGGCTTCCCCTGGGAGCTTCTCCGGCCTCCCCATACATATGGAATAATGTGATTACAAGATCGCGCAGGAGGTTAGACGGTTGGAAATGCATTTATCTATCTCTAGGGGGAGATTGGTTCTAATCAATGTTGTCCTTGCTAGTCAAAGCAGCTATGTGAGCTCACTTTTCCTTATGCCAACCGAGGTCGTCAACACCCTCGAAAAGATGCAAAGAGACTTTCTTTGGACTGGAAACTCTGATAAAGGAAAGTTCCATTTGATATCTTGGGAGATGTGCAAGACAGCCAAGCATCGAGGAGGCTTAGAAATCAGGGACTTACAACTCCATAACCAAGCTCTCATCTTAAAATGGCAATGGCGCTTTGCAACCGAGAGAGGAAGCTGGTGGAGAGAGCTTATTGCTCTAAAATTCCCTAATCAATATTCGGAATGGTGTGCTGGCGACATCTGTGGGGGATTGGGATGCAGTCCCTGGAAACAACTCTCCAAGCTGAAAAATTCCTTCTGGAAAATGGCGCAAGTAGAGCATGGGAATGGTTCGTGGACCTCCTTCTGGTACGACGTCTGGATTAAAGGGAAACGCCTCGCTGATGATTTTCCGAGAGTAAAGGCCGCTGCTAAATCTTCAAGCTCCCGTGTTGCGGATTACCTGCGCTTAGAAGGTGAGACTTGTCTGTGGGAAATTCCTTTAAAGATGCTTCTTCGGGGCGGGGCTGAGAGAGAGCGTGTGAGGCTGCTTTGTTTGTTGGACAACCTCTCTTCATCTAGTTTTTTTGCAGGACCTCATAGACTCCTATGGCATCAGGCCCCCTCGAGGGGATTTACTGTGAAGTCTGCCTTCGATGAACTTGCAGCAAGAGAGTTTGTAGGCTGCGGAAATTTTCCATCCAAGTTTGTGTGGCAACCCTTGATTCCTAGCAAGATTTGTTGCTTCATGTGGACGGTTTTTTACAAGAAGATTCTAACCCTGGATAATTTGAAGAAGAGAGGATTCAATTTGCCAAACAGATGCGCACTCTGCAAGGCTGAGGAGGAAAGTGTAAACCACCTATTCATGAGCTACAACTTTGCGGAGGAGACGTGGAATCTAATGCGGTCGTTCGTGAGGATCAAATACAATGTTTGCAAGGTTAGTAACGTGTCAGACAGGTTCATGATTTGGCAGCACCACCAGCCGGCAGATCCCTCTAAGGTGTTCCTTCACGCTTTTTGCTGGAACCTGTGGCTGGAAAGAAACTCCAGAGTCTTCAGTGAAACCGTAAACCTTCCCTGTGTGGTCGCTTTTAAAATTGCTTGTGTTATTTCCCAATGGCTAACGCTGCTATGAAAGTCGATAGAGAAGTTACCAAGAACTGGCTAGGAGTGATGAAAACCAGATTGTTTCCCCCCAGAATCGACATCTGAAGGAGTTGTGTCGAGGGTAGCTTGTGAGTCCTTTTGTTTGTTGGGTTTTGACTTCTGCATATCAGACAGTGGCGGCCCACTTGCCATCTTCCTCGGTCTTGTGCGGCTTGCTATTGTAGCTGGCCGTTTCCTGCTTGGGTCTGTTTCGAGGGGTGACCCTGTTTGTCATTTTTTTTTTCGGTCTTTGCTGGGGTAGTTTGGATCCCCTGTCTCTCTTGTATCTTTTGTCTCTTTTTTTTCATCATAATACTATATCACCCAAATAAAAAAAGTGAGTTCTTAGCCCAAAAACTACCTGAGAGCTTTGCTGGTTTTGTGCCTCCAACACAATGGTCATTAGTCACCTAAGGCCTTGTTCGATTTGTACATTAATTTTTATATGTTCTTCTAGCCCATTTGCCATTTGGGGCTTAGAACATTTCCATCCATAAATAATTTAGCAATTTTTACAAATGGTCAATATAATAATAGATAATGTATAATGTATTTGACAATATCATATGTATGAAAAAATAGAGTTCAGTAAATTGTATTCTAAAATAATAAAATAATATTTATATATTAGTATGTAGTTTTCATTTAATGGTGTTTCTTTGTAGTGTCATGAATGAATATTCAATTATAGCTAGGCATCTTTTTTTCATATTTGGATGACAAAAATGGTATACATAATTTATAATTAAAAAAATATTCCATAATTATTTTTCTAATCGTATTATTAATTTTGTATATGAATGTTTTTCTATCTAATTAAACAATTAAAAATTATAATGCATAACTATACCATTTTTATAGGAAAATATGATAAAGAAAAGAAATAAAAGTAAAGTGGGTCCCCATATGTACTTGTGGCATTGCTAAAAGACTTGCCAATGAGATCTCCATCACATTCCTTATTGCAATTGCTTATTGGGTGGAATCCCATGTTGCAATAGCTTTAAGCAATTGCAAGGATGTGAGACTTCTTTCTTATTTAGAAAGATTGCTAAATAAGCAATCTCTTCTTGCAATATCACATAGGTAATTGGACCCACACATTCATGCACTCAAATTCTTTCTTTTTTCTTTCTTTCTTTTCTACCCAGTTTGTACACATAAATTGTTAAACTTAATAATTCTTGTACTTATGATTTGTTGATTTTTTTAAGTTGTTAATAAATTAAAATCATATATTATATTTTAATTATATTAAACATAAAAACTCAATACAAAGATTTTTTTGACAATTATTACAAAGATGTATACTTAATCATTAAAGATCCATGCACAAAACTAGAAAGAAATCACACTAAAAGTACACACCATTCATATTACATCAAGAAAGCAATGAAATTTATGCAAAATACACACCCACAACAATTATTCAAGAACTTAATTTCGTTTTGCTTTTTTTGTATTTCTGTATGCATTTTCTCTTAATTTATATTTGGTGTATGCTATGTATTTGTGTTCATTGAATTTTCAAAAGTCAATTATCTATTATGCAAAAGTATTGTTAAGAAAAAAAAAAATATGTAGTAGGTCCCATCAATTGCAATTGCTAACCTATTGTAGGGATGTAGGTGGTTTGAAATGGTTGAATTGAATAATTGCTAAAGTTGGTGATGTGGTTGTGGGGTCCATTTATGAAATGGCTAACCTATTTCAGGAATGGAGATGGTCGCAAGCTTGCCAGTTTAGAAAGAACCCCTCCATCCCTAGCAATTGCCACACAAGTAGGGCTGTCGGTTCGGTTCGGGTAACCGAACCCGAAAACCGCAAAAAACCGAAACCCGAACCCGCCTCCCTCAAACCCGAAACTGAAACCGAATCTTGTGTTCTGCGGGTTGCGGGTTCAGAAACCCGAAAAAATTGCTGGCGGTTTCGGTTCGGGTGAACTCGAAACCGAACCGGTTTTTTTATATACTATTTCTGTACTTTGAATTTTATATTCTTTTGTTTATACAAACACTTTTATTCTTATTATTTGTACATTCTTAAACATAAAACATACTATTTTATTCTTATTAGTTAATTATTAAAAAATTATTATTATTTGTACATTCTTTTGTTTGTACAAACAATTTTATTCTTATTAGTTAATTATTAAAATATTTAATTTTATGTATTCTATAACTATAGAGAATGGGCAAAATATGGCAAGGAAGAAGAATTAAAGGGAGAGGAAATGGAAACTTTTGTCGGTAATGGGTTTGGTAATTTAAATTTAGTCAAACTCGTCGATGATCATGGTAATTAGTTGACTAGGAGACTAGGGGAAAAATAAATTGGGAGGGACAGTTTAGTAAGTAAATTCGACTAATCAATTTCCTATTTTGGGAGCTTTGATTATGGTTAATCATCAAAACAGAATTTAAGTGCAAAATAAAAAATCTGTGTCATGCTATCATCCAAAAAAGATACCGTTTTTCAATCCTTGATTATAATTTCATTTAGATGAGACGAGTTTGATTTAAAAATTCATAATTAAGAAGTTAGAGAAGGAAAGGTGACGATTGAGGGGTTAAGTTTTTATTTATTTTGAGATTGTTTGGGGTTTTTTTTAAATTTTTTGAGATGATTGTGTGCAAAATCTACCGTTTTATGAATTGTTTCACATGAGTTGCTTACCTCATTTTGTTTATGGGGGACCAAGTTCAACTCGTAATTAAACACATTAGTTTTACAATTCTCAAATGATAACATCCAAGTAAAATAAAAATTCATCCACCATACAAGATAAATACTATTACCATTATCACTCCTCATCAGACTCTACATCTACATAAGTCTCATCATTCTCATCGGAATTGTTGTCGACATAGTCTTTTTCTTGAAATTGTCTCCTCGTCTATTGTTTGAGCAGGAGGTACATTGGTGGTACTGGTAGACGGTGCAGGAGCAGGATCGGAAGACGGTGCAGAAGACGGTGCAGGAGCAGGAATGCTGGTACTCTTAGAGCGTCCTCCACGTCTAGGACGAGACACCGATGGTGCCTCACTTCCCCTGTCAAAATGAAAAGTTGAGTTGAGTATAATTCATTAACTATACCGAGGAAATTTGTACAAGACAGCTGAAAGCAAAATAATTTTTATCCTGTGAAAATAACAGTCCTCTTCACAAGTGGAGAGAGTATGATATAAACCAACAACCTCAATCTTGTTATCATCCTGTGAACTCCAATTAATTACAATTTACTGATTATTGCTAAAAAATTAAGATGCGTTTCTCAATGATTTTTGTCCCAATCGATACCACAAAAGCAGCTTTTGTTGGGGAGCAATGGTAGCAAAGAATCAAACCAAAAGCACCCAACACATAATGCTCTCGACCTGGTCCTCACTTTTGCCTTGCTCCAATCACATTAACCTCTCCAAAATGATAAACAAAACCATGTAATTAAGTATTAATGAACAAACACAACGTGTTATGTGCCCAAACTATATAAAATCACAACTCTCTCTCTCTCTCTCTGACTTCTTCTGCTTAAACCCCTTTTGTGCTTTGCTTCCCTTTCTTCCGTTGCACTTCTCTTACACCATTCTAATCAACTATCAGCATGAATTTGATGAATTAGAAACAAAGAAACAGAGCTTTCTTGTCAAAAAAGTATGTGTATATATATAAAGCTAATTTGGGTGAGGAAGAGGAGGAGAAGAAGAGGGGGGGAAAAGAGGGACAACTAGTCTTTGTCTCAGGTATATCTCTCCCTATCCAAATTTGTTTCCCCACACCCTTTTGATCTCTCTCACTCTCTGTTTTCGTGAAGCTCCTTGCTCCTTGCTTAACCTTGCTCCTTTCCCCTTTGCAACTCCATCATACTCTCTCTCTCTCTTAACTCTCTGTTTCTCTCTGTGATGTACTTCTATGCGAAGAAAACCAGCATGAGATGGGGGAAACAAGCTGTGATCAATGTTTCTTTGGCCCAAGATTCACTCTCTGTTTTCGTGAAGCAACCCAGCAAGCAATCACTCAAAATCAACAAGCAACCCAGCAATTAGGAACCCAGCAAGCAACCCCTCAAAATCAACAACCAACAAAGAGGAATCCATATGTGAGGTCAGAATTGAACAGGGGATTCCATATGTGAATAAAAAAAAAGCTTACTGGGATTCCATTGTCGCAATCCCCCTGTTTCTGAAATTGGTTTTCGTCTTGATGGTGGTGAACGATGATGGCGGCGCGGCGAGGACGATGATGGCGGCGCGGCGAGGACGATGATGGCGGCGACGGCACGAGGTGAAGGGCTGAAGCGAGGGCCGAGGAGGAGGCTCTGTCCTCTGTTTCGTTTTCCAAAATCGAAGAGACGGCGACGGAATGGCTGAAGGCTAGGGCTGAAGCGAGGGCCGAGGGTTGCTCTTGCTATCAAAAGCCAAAACGACAGCGTGCGATGCTAATATGCTATCGGGTTTGCGGGTTTTCGGTTTTGCGGGTTTTGGTAAACCGAAACCGCTGCTGTGTGTTACTCGGGTTGAACCCGAAAAAACCGAAACCGAGTCTGTTTATATTGGTTCGGGTTCGGGTTAAACCGAAAACCCGAAACCGAATAGACAGGCCTACACACAAGTGCCACCTCACCCTCTACCTCAATTGCTAAACTTTAGCAATGGAGATGGTTTTATAAAATTTGATGCATGACTACATAAGTCTCTCATGACACGAGAGCTTGTTAAGCCTTGACAAATGATGCCATCATTGTAGAGGCGTCATCGGATGATCTCATTCTTAAGAGTTCTTCCTTTATTTAAAATCAACGAAGACTTCACAATCAATGGTATGCACCAATGCATTTCAAAGATTCCATGTCGAAATGTGCACTAGGAATATTAAGACAAACAAACGCCTATAACGGTGCAAAGATAATTCAACTAACAAGTTTAGAACTCACACAAAAAACACTTCATATAAACTTGTGTGTCACTGTGTGCCATGGTCACACACCGCGCTTGATAAAAAAAATACATTTTTTCATCGTATGAAATACAAAAAGTGAAAATGCAAGTGAAATATCGTCACTTTAACTTTTTTATTTTTGCTGACATGATTAAGTAGGATTGGGTTTAACTTCAACAATTTGAATGTACTAAAGACAACAAGACACTTAAGATAACTTCTCAAATCTCAAAACATGCAAAAGAGTGAAAAGACAACAAGAAACTGAAGATAACGTCTCAAATCTCAAAACATACAAACCCTTCTTTTCTATAAAAATGAAGTAAGTGCATCATTACCTTTTAATTATAACTAGTCATACCCCGCTCGCCTCGCTTCGCGTATAAATATGATATATACATTGGATCATCTATTTGATAACGAAGGAGTAATAAAACTAAAAGCTTGCAAAATTACTGGAGAAAGAAGTACTATGACATTAAGTAATTTCAAGAGAGTGTATAGGAATTGAACAATTCAAAGTGAATTGTCAATTTTTGGTGGTATAGAGTGAATCTCAGAGTGTGATAATCTGAAGGGCATGACAACTAACATTCTCAAGCATCTCGGTGTTCATTCTCTTCCCCTAAAACATAAACAACCACAAACAGGCCAAATAAGGCCCATTTTCTTTCCATTTAACACAGAATATTACATACAACACAAACATAGGAAAAAACAGAAAGGAAATCATACCTTTTATCCTTGTTTTGGTGCTAAATTCCCACCTTTCCTTGTCTTGCTAGGTTCCTTCTTCTCTAGTCAGAAAAAAGAACACAGGGCGGCAGATGAAGGGTGAAATCATTAAGAGACTCATTAGGGAACTTTATAGAGAAGCTGCCTAATATCCCAAGAAAGAGAGTTCAATGCATTCGGAATAACAAGTCCAAAAAGTGAAATGAACATAGAGTCAGAGGCCACACAATTTTACTATAAAATAGAAAATAAGAATGGTACAGTAATCTATCTGCCACACAGGACATCCCGGAATGTCCAAATCTGCAACTGCATAACTGTCTATGCATATCAGAGTATGCACCAACACCCAAAAACCACAACAATGTATCGAAGAAGCAGCAGAGTGTAGTCAGAGAATTGCAACTACAAATGGCCCAACGAATCAATAAATAGAAGGGATTTTACTGCAATAAAATCCAAAATTTGAACAACCACTGACCAGAACTATCAACTACCGTATAAATTTATGAAATTCAATTTGACATGCAATAAATTGATCAGTTCCATCAACAATTTCGCATAAACCTTGCCCAATATACATAGAATTTCAAGGAACCTGAATCTTAGAATTGTAACTGACACCTCTTAAGGTTAAAAAACATAGCAAGTGTACCGAATGTTGTTACTTCGGACAGAAGTCTACTCATTCAATACACGAATTCCAAGATTTTGAGGGAGGAACTAAAATAAGAAATTATGTCCTGGGCACTTAATTTTCCATAAAAACTTTGGCTCTTGGCCTCAGCATACCTCAGGTTAGGCAATGACGATTGTCAAGTTGACAACCCTGGATCCCCTACAACACATTCCAGTTATCTGAACAGGAAAATAAAAAAGGTGCGGGGAAAACAAAAACCGAAGCTGAAGAGAACTCCATATTCATTAAACAAAACCATCAACATTATTAAATGAGAACCTACATGGCCAGAGATTAGATACTATAAAATCTGTTTTAACAATATTGATAGATGTCAACATTTGAGACCAACGAAAGGGTCATACATTCCTAGAAATAAACACACATACATATGCATATGTACCTCTACCCAATCATTCAAGGTGGCTCCAACTAATTTATTTCTTGCCTTGATTCGCCATTCAAGGGTTTGTCATTCGTTTGTCGTCCTCGTCCTCATATGATAAATGAACACTCATAAGCTATAGTCGAAATTGATTTCCACTACTAATTTATGAAAGAACAACAGCTAGCTAGATTTAGAATGAGTGCAGTTGGGAAAAGTTAAAATAATACTACATAGAAACCTCTAAGGCTCTAACCATGCTTTGGTCACAAACTTGAAGACCAACCCTCCAAGCAAACTCATTATTGGGGGGGGGGGGGGGGGGGGGGGGGTTTCCAATAAAACAAACCGAGTATGAGTAAGTCAAATTAAAAGTTAACATGGATCGTATACCAATATTTAAGACACCTAAACTTTCAACTCCTTTACATAAATGCAAAATGATTCATTGTTCAAATTGAGATACCCGGTCGTGAACACTATAGAGAGGGCTGAAATAGTAGAATAGGTAACAATATCTCATATAAAGCAAAATATGTGTTGATTTCAGAGCACCCGTGGATACCGGTTTAATGATACAAAATTGGCAGGAAGAAAATGTTTTAAAGCAGGTTTGAAGACCAATTCTAATCCGTTTAAACAAACACCAAAAGAAAAGAAGCTGACATTGGTAAATAAACAATTAGATCCTGTTAAATTATCTTTTAAATGGTTCTGTCACCATCTACGGTTTTAAGCAAAGCACAGAGGTTTATAAAACAAACCAACCAATAGTGACAATTTACATACATTTCATTGAACAAAATTATAGTTTGCTATAGCCAATGGCAAGAAAGTTAATCATAATTTTCTAAACTTAAACTCTGCAACAGCAACCAAGGCAGACAGAATGATGTAAAGCTATCAAAAACAAAAATGGTCCCCTTTCACAGCTGTTTATTGTACTACTTCCTCTTTTTTCACCACCTGTAGGAAGCAAAACCCACATAAGAAGAAATGAAGCATCTTAAAGATCCAACAAACCCTTTAAAGTGAGAAACATTGGGTTGAAGAAGAAGAAAAAGAAAAATAATGAAAAGGTGACCAACAACAGTGTGAGAATGGGGAACTGGTTGACCATATAAGAAAATTCAGTATAGCAAAATATGGAAAATCTAACCTTCATACTCTAAGCATTAAGTATGAAATAAAATTATATGGACTCAAGCTAAAAGTTTCTATGCCTAGCTAAATGGAAAGTATTTCAAGCTACTAATAAGAAGCAATATCTACACTCTAATGCTAACTCACTCCAAAACCAAACATAACAGGTTTTGATATGCGTCACTCAAAATGATGTTGCTTGTCTTATATATCATTCTCAGAAAATGAGTTGCATCTTGCTAATAAGTTGTAATGAGTATATTATCATGACCGATCCCACACGGCCATTGCAAATCCAAGAAACCAAGTAAAAAAAAAAGAGTTGTTGAGTGCGAGATGGATTAAACTAAAAGGTTCTTAAGCACTGACTTGTAAGGAGGGCAAATTATCAACCAACCTTGTCGTTGAACATACCCTTAACATCTTTCTCCGCTATCGCTGCTGATTCCATTGATAGTTTTCTTTCCTGCACCGTCATGATCAATGATTCCTCATATTGGTAATGATTCACCTACATTACGATACAACTAAAGAACTCAGGTAAGATCATAATAGAGGTGCCAAAAACTGCAAAACATCTAAATGAGAGACACATGAAAAAGCGCATCTAAGGTATGTAGTGTCTTCAACCCTGTATCTCCATCATGTAAAATGAACACTCTACAATTTAAACTACATTATGAAGATGATGGGGAAGTAGAATCTATCCAGGAAAACTATAATATGTTTACCCTTCGCAGAGCAAATGATTTAGATATGATGCCCTCCATACACATGGATTCCTACCGTTTCAATTGACCATAAACCTTGAGCAAAGATTGGAACCACCATTTAGAAAACAGATGAAAAACAAAAGCAAATAGAACACAAATGAAAGCAATGTAGATGAATAAGAAGCCTATAAATCAAGAAACAAAAACAAATGAAATAATCATGTAATAGAAGGTTATTGGATACATGTAACCAAAGCATCCAGACCAGCGCTGCATGATCCCTTCGACTCTCCTACAGTACATTAACATTAAACTTTTAGATGAAAAACAATAGTGGAGATACAAAGAATGACTACATTGTCTGTTGCGAAGAATCAATAATCACAAACACGAAAGTCCCTCAATGTAGTCCCTTCACCATCATCCTAATGTTATCTCAAAGAGGCAGACCAAATGCAGAATTTGGGTGTCATATATATTGCAGGATTTAAAAAAGCAAGTTTTAATTCTCTTGGAAACCCAAAGATCTCGTTTAATTGATAAGCATGTATTGGTAATCTAAATAGTTTCATTAAGGCCAAAAAGTCCCTCAGTGTAGCGTCTTCACCATCATCCTAATGCTATCTCAAAGAGGCAGACCAGCTGCAGTATTGGGGTATCATATATATTGCAAGATTTTAAAAAAGCAAGTTTTAATTCTCTTGGAAACCCAAAGATCTCGTTTAATTGATAAGCATGTATTGGTAATCAAAACAGTTTCATTAAGGCAAAAAAATTTATTCTTAAACAAATCCACTGTAAGGTTTCCCCATTACGAATGAAAAAGAATTATAATTAATGACCCAACTCACTGTAAAGAATGTTGGCTGGAACTAAATAGGCAATAAAAATTGGATTACAAACTTAATTTAATGGATCCTTCAGATACTAAAGTAGAGTGCCTTTTCAAATAGAAGAAGCATGTTCATACGGGAGAGTAGAATAAGAAACCAAACCTCTCTCTCACTTATCCCACCATACTCAACTATTGCGAGAGAGCTAATTATTTGGATCTCAATGGGAGTATTGTCGCTCCATACATGGGACCTAAAGAGATATGGAAGTGGACCTCAATCCATTGGCTTCTTTTGCTGCATTACTTGGTGAATTGGATTTACCTATAGGAAATAAGCAACGTAGAATCATGCCTCGTGCTTTGATGAATAAAAATGGAAAGAATTACACTGACATCACTAAGTTTTACTGGATTTTAAAAGGAATCCAATAATAACACTCAAACCATAATTCACGAAAGTCAAAAGTACATGATAAGTAGAGAAGAAAATACATGAACAACATAGTCACAATTGTTGAGATATTGAGATTTTGCATTCCATCTCCACCACTTTATTTGGTAGGGTTCATCCTGCAAGTGACCATCGAGCTGACTTAGCAACAAAAACATGAAACATCCGCTTCCACTTGTTTAAATTATCATCTTAAAAGCAACTAAACAATCGTACAAAAAACACACAACCATTACTCAGATTGATGCATATCATCAAGGGTTAAAAGGCCGTCTTAGGAATAGGCCAGTGACGATTTAACCCAATCCGAATATGCAACTGCTTGGTAGTGATAGCCTGAGCAAAACCCCTGCTTGCCAACAGTACACCATCACGATGCATCTTCTCAAGAGACAATACAATTGAAAGTCTTCCATAGAAAAAGCAAAAACCCATTTTAAATTCATCATTAATTTATCAAATCTCCAAGTAATCCAATTGAAGAAACCTAACAATATTGAGTTCATGGATCAGAAAATGGTGCCAAATGATTCCATCTGCTTTCTGAAAAACAACATCTTTAACCCCATTGATGCTATTCAGAGCTATGCGATTGGCAGAGCTTTGAATCACCTGGAAATAAATAGAGATTGAACTCAAGTCCACAAATTTTTTGCTCTAGAGATTCAGCAAGCAAAGCAGAATAGAAGCTCACCTATATATGGTTGATGATGGAAGAAGCGTTCCTAAATTGGCAAAGGATACGGGGTTGAATAGCCTCCCATCTCTCATTTCATCCTTTACCCTTCTGAATCACTGCCAATACTTCTTTATCATTCCCTACTCTGTTCGACCGCTTAAGCCGGCCAAATCCCCCAATTTACATACACCCTACGAAATATTTTACACAACAAGTAATAAGCACTAAGCTTCATCGTAGAACGCCGATTATGCAGCAAGCAGCTGTACCCAACTAAATAAACCCCAAAAATAGCTTTCAATAGACAACACAAATCACCAAAAGTAGGCAAAATCACCACAACCAGACAAAGCCTCCAAAGAAATCCTTCACTCATAGTATAACACAACTTTCGTTGTTCCTTCTCAATGTGTACAAATCTTCTCAGTACTAGTCTTGTGCAACTGCTACTTTCTCTTGTTCTACCATTTTAAAAAACAGAGGTCTTGGGGAACACAATGAAGGGCAGAACCTCATCGTCTAACAAATCGTTGGTGGAACTCTCCAAGTTCATCGACAGAGTGGTTTCAGGCTACTGAATCCATTGAGAAACAAAGATTCGGTAGAAACAATATCCTAAAAGGAACAAAAGATTGAAAACAAATAGAGTTTAGAAACTCTTGCAGATGAATCCATTACGGAAACCAAGTTTGAGTATAAACCAAAACCCAAAAAGGAAAGAAAGAATAAACACAAACATGGGTAGGTTGGAATTAAAAATTGGCTTTCTTGGGTAACACAAAGTGCATAAACCCAGCATCTAAACCACTCGATGGACAAACCTTCTCCGAAAAATTCATCGTTGACGTGTTTTTGTTGCCGATGAATCCAAAAAAGAATCAAAGTATGAGCATCAACTAAAACCCTAAAAGTAACAAAAACAAATGAACCAAAACAGAGGTAGAAACTCACCATTTAAGCAATCAATCGATCGACTATCCTTCTACCTTAGGCAAGCTCGTCGCCGTCGGCAATGATTTTTGCGGCTGATGAATCCACCGACAAAACCAACAAGAGTTCGTGGAAAGATAAAGAGACGGACTGGAAGCTAATTTCGACGAAGAAGATAACGAAAGCGTGGGAGAGCACAGTGGATCGAAAGAGTTCTCCTCTTTTTCTCCTTTTCCTTTTCCTTCTCCTTCTCCTTCTCGTTCTTGTTTTTCATCTTCCTCTGTTTTGCTTTGCATTTTTTTTAGAGCTTCTTTTGTTGAAAGAGAATAGGGAGGGAGTAGGCTGGTTGTTGAACGGAAAGAGTTAAGGATGAGAGAGACGATGATTAGTTGTGGAGCAGGAAAAGAAAATTAATTAATTAATAAAAGTTAATACTAATTGGCTGATTTTAATCAATAAAAATTACTTGTGATCGGACACTACGAAACAATAAAATTATTACTTATTCTTTTAAAGTACTAATAATAATAATAATAATAATAATAATAATAATAATTTGAGGGAAGATCAAAATTCAGACCACCGAAAGTTATATAGACAAAAGCAATATATGCTATGGGATCAGAAGAACAAACAATATGAAAACCGGGGTTTAGAGAACGATCCTTGAATTAAACAATTAACTTAACATTAAATTTCTATGTGGAAAGATAGTGGTGACTATGTTATTATGATGAATTCCCAAAATACACATGTTTTTTAAAAAAAAATCCCAAAATACACATGTTATAAAAAAAATTACAAAATAAACATGTTTGGGCATCACCGCTGTTGTCAAGCGCAGTGAATGCATTCACCGCGGCAGACCAAAGCGGCGAATGCATCACCGCGGTTGACGGCCGCGGTGAATGCCGGACTTAACACTGAAACTTCAAACAAACATAACTTTGCGCTCGGTTATCCGATTGTAGCGAATATTTTTTTGATTCCATATTAATTTTTAAGATCTTTCAATCTTCAATAAGACTTCATCTAAAAAAATGTCGTTTGTTACCTCGAACGAGCAATTTTTCGATTTTGCCAAACTTTGGAAGGACATAACTTTTAACTCCTCAATCCGAACATCGTAAAGTTTTTTTTGATTGGGCATAACTTTTTAAGAAATACAACTTTTACTAGGAAATAGTTTTTAAAAAAGAAATATTTTTGGGTATACGAGATTTTGGGAATAACTTTGCCTTTACTTTTCACAAATCCACATACTTTCCAAAATTATAGTTATCATCAAAGTTGTAGTACTTCAAAGTTACAACTTGTTTGAAGTTTCAGTGTTACGTTAGGTATTTACCGCGGCCGTCAACCGAGGTGATGCATTCACCGCTTTGGTCTGCCGCGGTGAATGCATTCACTGCGGTTGACAATAGCGGTGACGCCCAAACATGTGTATTTTGAGAATTTTTTTTATAAAGTGTGTATTTTGAGATTTTTTTAAAAAAACATGTGCATTTTGGGATTTTTTCCATGTTATTAAGGGTTGTTTGAAAGTTGCGATTTTAGATGATAATGTATTCAGAAAATATATTTAATCAACAGAATTTGTCATTTTTTTGTATTAAAAAGAAACATAATACATTTATTTGAACAGAAAATGAGCTCACCATAATCATTCGTTATGGAGTACTGTCAATCTTAGCTTTTAGTTGAGATTGTCAATTACTCATTTTCCCTTCTAAATTTGTAAGAAACCACCAAAATCATTTAATTTCCAAACAATATATTTTTCAAATTCATACATTAACACAATGTATAATTGATTAAACACTTTAATTTAGAGAATCTCAACCTACACGTTTGTATTGCAGGCATGGTTGTCAAACCCGGCTCTGACCGGCCGGTTCGACCGGGTTGGGCCGGAACCGGGCACTAAAAGGGCCAGAACCAGCCATATTTAGAGCTGGCCGGTAGCCGGTCAAAGCCGGTCAAAACCGGGGGAAACCGGGGTCTGACCGGACTGATCCGGCTACCGGTTTTGACTGAAATGGCGTCGTTTCGGCGGGTTGGAATTCTTCCAACTTCAATAACCCTAATTATCAGGAGCATCCGCCGTTCCCAATTCGTCTCCTTCGTCGAGCCCAGCAGAGCAGAGAACAGCCCCAGCACAGCAGCCGCTCGCCACGCCGGCGCTCCCCTCGTCTCGCCACGCTGGCGATCCCCTCGTCGCGCCACGCCGGCGATCCCCTCGTCCCTCGACCCAGCTGTGCTCTTCTCGCCGCCGGACCTCTCGTGTCTCCCAAATCCACCTTCATCCTTATGCTTGCGTTCGCTCCTCGACCCCTGCCTCGCCGTTCGTTCCCAGCTCCGACGACGGCTCCTTTTGTCCGGCAGGTGCTGGGTCGTGGCAGATCTCTCCCTCTCTCCCTCCCTCTTTCTCTCTCTCGGGTCATTAAAACCCTTTGTGGGTGTGTATAGGCTTAGGCGGCGGCTGCTGCTTATCTTATGGAGATGGGTTTATTTAGGCTTAGGGTTTATTTGGGCCAAAAAGTAGTTAGGGGTTTTGCTGGGCTTATGGAATGGGTCATGTTATTTATTTCTTTTCATGGGTTTTGGGCTTTTGGCCTAAAATTGGTTAAAAAAATGGCTTCCTTATATCCATTATCCACCTATTCTATCAAAACCGGCTTAAACCGGTTGAATCCCGATCCAATCATTAAACCTTAAACCTCTTGCCAAACCGGCTTGACGATTTAATCCGGTTTGACAACCTTGATTGCAGGTGGAGTGGATAAGTATTACGGATAGTGGAACGGTAATAAATATTACCGCGCCGGTTTCCTCTAAAGTCTAAATTACTGCCCGCCCTAGAAATCCCACCAGCCCGCAAAATTGCCAAAAGAAAACGGGGAAAACGGAGTAGACTGTGGAGAGCCGAATTTCCCCCGATTCCGCATCTAATCAACATTCTGACATTTTGTTGCTTTCCTCCAAATTTTATCAATTTTTTCTACTTCAGTCCCCCAACTCCGCTTCTCTTCTTCCTCATTTCCTTCCCCCTTTCCCCGCTCTTCCAAAATCACGCGACAGCAACGCCACCAACAAGAAGAGAAAAAACTAAAAAGCTTCTCCAACTTCGAAGTCCTTCCCACTCCGCCCAACTCCCTCTCCCTCTCTCTCTCTCTAGATTCCCATTCGCTCCTGCAACTCTCATTCTCTCTCGAAACTGCTGCTTTCTCGCTAATGTTGCTTTTCCGGGCACCGTCACGGCTCATCTGCATCAATGTTAGGGATTGAACTCGGGGCATCAGAAGTTACAGATAGCGCAATCAGTGAAACCCTAGTGGCTAGCGCGACGGGGAGTTGTTCTTCTTGTTATTGCTGCTGCCATGGTGTTCAAGAACAAGCTCTTCTTCTCTTCGAAGAAATCGGACACCTCCAGCCCTGATGGATCGAACAACAGTCCTCGATCCATCGGCTCCAACTCCCCGATCCGCTTGGAGAAGAAGAAGCCCAAGTCCTCCTCCTCCTTCTCCTCGTCTTCTAAAGACAACAGTCCGAGCTCGGGAGCCAGTGGCGGCTTCGCGGCGGCGGCGGGGGGATGTAAGCAGGCTGACGTGAAGGATGGGTCGAAGAAGAAGGGGAAGGAGGTGAGTGGGAAGGGGAAGGAGAGTAGCGGTGCCGCTGCAGCTGTTGTTGCGGCTCAATTGCTACTCGGCCAGCATCATCATCCAAAATCTCAGCCTCAGACGCCGGTTAAACAAGGGCGATTTTCTGCTTCTGTCCTGGGTTCTGCTTCGGCTTCCAAGTCGAGGAAGGGTCTGGGGGATGGCAAGGAGGATGCTTTGTCCGCGTCTCCCATTTTAGCTTCTTCTTTGGGCTTGAATAAGATCAAGACGAGATCAGGACCCTTGCCTCAGGAGAGTTTCTTCAGTTTCAAAGGAGAAAAGGGGTCCGGGGTACTGGGTGCCAGTAATTTGTCGAGGCCTAGTGCTGGGAAGGGGGCTTCCTCTTCCAACGCGACCGGGTCGGTGAAGAAGGAGGACTTATTGGGGCAGAGTAGGATACCGGCGTTTCAGGACCGCAGTGGTAAAGCAGTTGATCCTAGTAGCAATTGGGATCGACTGTCAACTGGGGATGGCGCTCAGACCCGAGAGGTAACTCCCAATTTGTTGATTGGGACTCGCTTAGAGGATGGGGAGCCCTCTAGTGATGCAGGTATGACGTATTATTTTGGAGTGTCAAGTGAACCCCTAGAATCTTAAGACTGTCTTAGTAACCTTTTCTAGTGAACTCCTATCTGTTTGAGAGGTTTTGATCCTCGGAATAAAGTTGCTGCGTATATAGCATGAACCATATGGTTCTTAGTGGTAGACTTGGAGAAAAGGGGGATCATTAATATAACCACATTGCAAACACTATTCCTGGGTGCAGGCTGTTGACAGATAATACCATTTGTTGCCTTTTATTTTATTTTATTTTATTTTATTTCATGAGAATAGTGTCTTCATGCCACGCTAGAGCGTCTATATAATGCTTGATTGCAATACAATGCAGTGGTGCACCCTTGGGCTGGAATTCTAGTTCCTTTGGAAATGTTTGGGAAAAATTACTAGGTTCAAAAATGTTATTTTAAGAGTGGTAATGTGGCGCTTGTGCTATTCTGCCTGCTGTATAGTACAAGGCATTTATAGTGGTAGGGTATAAGGTCACAGCAACAAAATGTAGTTTCGAAGACCTGTAGACGTTAACATATCTTAGTTTTGAATAGTAGCTTCTTAGCCATGGTTCTCTTTTGTTGTAATGAACATTTTTGCTTTTCGCCTGAATGAAAGTAAGATACTTTCCTATTTTTCAGTGACTGCAGTCCTCTGTAGTGATATTTGCCAAAAATTGTATCATGGTCTTGAAATGGATCAATATAGAAGGTTCAACAGTGATTTATCTGCTTTATCTTTCATGGAATGTGAACTTCCAACCATCTTGTTTTATGCTATATTTATGATTATTGTAGATGTGTGGCGGAACGCTGTCATAGTCTTGGATTATAGAAATATACTGTGGTTGATAATAGTAAATGAAATTATCAGCAAATCTGGTTCACTGCGGTTCTTTTTCTGAAGACTATTGGTTTTGTGAAATTATGTTGTAGGCCTACACGAGTCATCCTCCGGTCATTCTGGCAGTGTAAGAAATTCAGATGTTTTTACACCTGAGGTACGATTTCTGAAAATGAGTTATACTCTTCTGTTGACATATTAATTACAGGAAGTTGTTGAATTGTTCATTCTGATGTTGTTTGTGAAATTCCTTAGGAGTCTGAGTCTCCACGTTTTCAAGCTATCCTTCGTGTCACTAGTGCACCAAGGAAGAGGTTTCCAGGTGATATAAAAAGTTTTTCTCATGAACTCAATTCCAAAGGTGTACGTCCTTTCCCTTTCTGGAAGCCTCGGGGACTAAATAATGTGGAGGTAATATATCTTTCCTTTGTGGGTCATACACCTAATGAAGTTTGCATTTTCTGATTTGCTATAGTTTTGTGTAGCAAATCTTGGTTGTTATACGGGGAAAGTTTGACAAGGCAAAGGAAGAAGTGAATTCAGATCTGGCTGTCTTTGCAGCTGATCTTGTTGGAATTCTTGAAAAGAATGCAGAAAGTCATCCAGAATGGCAGGAAACTATAGAGGACTTGTTGGTTTTGGCCAGAAGTTGTGCAATGCAATCACCTGGAGAGTTTTGGCTCCAATGTGAAAGCATAGTCCAAGAATTGGATGACAGACGGCAGGAACTTCCTCCTGGAACGCTGAAGCAACTTCATACTAAGATGCTTTTCATTCTTACAAGGTGTACAAGGCTGTTGCAGTTTCACAAAGAAAGTGGGTTGGCTGAGAATGAAAACATCTTTCAACTTCGTCAATCTAGGGTCTTGCACTCAGCAGAGAAACGCATTCCTCCAGGTCTTGGAAGGGGTATGAAAAGCTCTACGGCTTCAGAAGGGCCTTCAGTGACGAAGTCGTATAGTCAAGAACAGCATAAGCTAGTTTGGAACCGAGAGCCACTAGTGCTGTCTGGAAACTTACTCTCTCCTACTGATGGCTCCAAAGGTGTTGAGTCTCCTGGAGGTCGAGATAGAATGGCTTCCTGGAAGAAGCTTCCATCTCCTGCTGCAAAAGGTCCTAAGGATCTCCCTTCTCCTAAGGATCAGATTGATGTTGGGATTGATCTTTTGAAAGTGTCAAGCAGCAGCAAAAAGGTTTCTGACATGGATGTGGCTGTAGCTAAGCCTCCTGAGGTTCCCTCTGTAAAAGATCCACCTCAACATTCTACGAAACACCAACATAAAGTTTCCTGGGGATACTGGGGCGACCAAAATCCATCTGATGAAAATTCAATTATTTGTCGAATTTGTGAGGAAGAGGTTCAAACTACACATGTTGAAGACCATTCAAGAATTTGCGCAATTGCAGATCGGTGTGATCAGAAAGGTCTAGGTGTGAATGAGCGTCTTTTAAGAATCTCAGAAACTCTTGAGAAAATGATGGAGTCTTTTGCTCAGAAGGATATCCAGCCTGCTCTTGGAAGCCCTGATGCAGCAAAGGTATCTAATAACAGTGTGACTGAAGAATCTGATGTTCCATCCCCCAAACTAAGTGATTGGTCTAGAAGAGGATCCGAAGACATGCTTGACTGTTTTCCCGAATCCGATAACTCAGTGTTAATGGATGACATGAAGGGGTTGCCATCCATGTCATGCAGAACACGTTTTGGTCCAAAATCTGATCAGGGGATGGCTACTTCATCAGCTGGTAGCATGACGCCTAGATCTCCGTTATTGACACCAAAGACCAGCCAGATAGACTTGCTTCTTGCAGGCAAAGGTGCATATCCTGAGAATGATGACCTGCCACAGGTTTGTGTTATTTTTGTTAGTTTCTGTATCTCTGAATGGGAAGTGTCATATTAAACATAACTGATTTCCATGTTTTGAAGGCATTTTCCTTGGATTTTATTCAGCATCCATTCAGCTGTCCGCGCAGTCATTTGCTTTTGCCTTAAGAAATATGGTTCAGCCTTAATATACATGTCTATAGCCAATTTTGACTCTGCAGAAGAGCAATACCGAATCTTTGTTGAAACTTTAATTCAAGTCCAATGGAATTCACGCTCCTATTACTTTGGTTACAGGGGTCAGCTTTAAAAAATTTCAGCCTATTATATTTTGTATTCCTGATGAAACTATTTTCCCCAATTGCTTTCATTGTGAAACTACTGTCACATAAACGAAAAATCTGATTGAACATGTTTGAAAGAATTTCAGTTCTGGTGTCATTTTCAACTTGTAATGTCAAAAGCAAAGGGTTTCAGGTCTGAAGGAGATTGATGACACACTTGTCTATTTAATTCTTCTGAAATTTTGTCGTTTTACAGATGAATGAATTAGCTGATATTGCAAGATGTGTATCAACCACACCTTTGGAGGATGAACGTTCCATGCCCTATTTATTATCGTGCCTTGAGGACCTGAGGGTTGTTATTGATCGAAGAAAGTTTAATGCTCTTACTGTGGAAACTTTTGGGGCACGGATTGAGAAACTTATCCGGTAGGTGATATTGCCCAATAATATTGGAAAGTGATAAGAGTTTATGTTATTGAGATTATAAACATTATCCGTTTGATTCAACTTGTTGGTCAAATTTGAGAAATTGTCATTGGAGAAAATAGTATTGTCAGTTGTAGTAGAAGTGGAAGTGTCGGTGAAACTACTATCAAATTAAGTGAATGATTGTGAAATTATTAGGCGGCCCCACAATTTTTGGACTTGATTAATGTAGAAGAAATAATTAAAATATACGAGTTGTATGAAATGGGTAAAATTGGAGATGTCGACAAGGTAGGAGTAGAAGTTGGAGTCTGTATTTGATGAGTAAGTTTTGTTAGCTGAACTGGAAGTGCCAACTGGTGCCAAGCAATTGAATCAAATTTAGTTAGACTGCTAACTTCTATTTGGCATCTGGCATGTTTTTCGAAGTACTCCTTTGTGGTATTTTCTTGATTTGTGTGTTTTTTGAAATGCAGAGAGAAGTATTTGCAGCTTTGCGAGCTGGTGGAAGATGAGAAGGTCGATTTAGGCAGCACTGTAATTGATGAAGATGCCCCCTTGGAGGATGATGTAGTTCGGAGTCTGAGAACCAGCCCCGTACACTCTTCAAAGGACCGCACCTCTATAGATGATTTTGAGATCATTAAACCAATTAGCCGTGGGGCATTTGGACGGGTTTTCCTTGCTAAGAAGAGAACAACGGGAGATCTTTTCGCAATAAAGGTACTTTACCTAGTTCCCAATTCTTCTGTTCTCTTGATGTTTCCCTTTACTCTTGGTCTTGCGGAAATGATTTCCTGTTTTGTTCAATGAGAGTTTGATGACATACTGATTGGTTGTGCACATAGTAGAATGCAGGCTCCATGATATTTTTTTCATGAAAAAGCTTGATTTGTCAAATCTTTGTATGCTTAGTGTTTAGATGAACGAGTAATGCTCAGTAATTTTGAATTCTTGTGTATTCTTAGTTAGAAGTTGGTTGTTTGAGCTTGTTTGGAAACTTATCTGCAGTAGAGAACAAGGAGAAACACAAAGACATAAAACCATGTCAATGTTACTTGAAAAGATGAATGTTAACATCTGCTGCAAAACTTATTCCACATTCTACAATCCCAAGTTCATGTTTACTGAATAATAGTTCAAATTAGTTCATTATATAATTTTCTATATCTTCATCATCACTTATTTTATATATAATCAGAGGCGGATCCAGGGGGTGGCCGCCCCGGGCCACGACCCAGCCCTCTTCTGGATCTGAAGCTAGTATAGCACTTATAAATTTTTCGATTTTGGACATTCGGCCTAGTGTATTTTATAATAAGATTGTGTGTAACTAGAAAATGGTTTAGATTAATATATTCAAATCACTACTCTAAATTTAGCCTAGAAATTTTATCATCAATGATTTTGGTAAAAAATAACATTGAAACCTAAAATTCTAAAAGTTTAAAACGTAAAAGACTAAAAGAAATATCGAGTTTGTTCCCTTGAAAAATTACTAGAGCGGCTAGTAGAAATAGGGATGGACACACAATATAAATTGATTAGTTGATTGATTTGTCTAGTGATGATGTTGCCCGTTTCAACAGCTACTATGGAGAGAACATTTTCAACAATGAAACATGAGAAAACTAATTTGTGCAACAATTGAGAGATGAAATATGAGAAAATTAATTTGTGCAACAATTTCTTGTTGGTTGCTTAACTATTTTATTTGAAAGAGAGTGTATTATTAGTATGGATATAGACTCCATTATTGACGAATTCGCTAAATTTAATATTGTCGTGTACAATTGACATTGTAAAAAAATTACGGTTGTTAATTTGCTAATGAAATGCGGCCCAATGCTCTACTATATCCTGGATCCCCTGTTGTATATAATACAACCCTTTATTTCCAGTAATTATAAACCGACTGGAGAATCACATATCTTACAGACTGAGCTTGCAGTGTTTGAAAGTGTTATTTATTTATTATTCCCATCAGAATGTATCTTGTCACCTTTAAGGATCACCAACGGTGGTTACTGTATGCAGCTGCTGTATTATATACTTGTTTCCATAGTCTTGGACCATAGTAAAAAACGTGGTATGGACCTTGCGTTGATTTTCTGTGAACTTTAGTATTTATGTACAAGTTTAGAACACTATTGGGATAATACCTGCATATCTAAAAAAAGCTGCTAAAAGGTCCAAACAGGCTGGTCAGTGTTGTAATCCTCCTGGAAGCATGGTAGATATGGTAAGAGATGAGAATGTACTTCTATGTGCACGGCTGAGAAGTATATGGCACTAAGATGGCCATAGGTGGTAGAGGTTGCATCTTTAGCTGTTTGGGACTGTGACATCAACCTGATGTACTAGGCAGCACAGGGAAGAAAAGAGGACACTGGAAAAAGGGAACATGTGTTCTACATAATGAAGCATCAACACTACGTGAAATCTCACTTCCTTCACTTACCAATTGTTCTGGACTTTAACTAGATTGCATGTAAGTTTTGGTCACTGAAGATCGGATCTGTTAAAGATGAGGGATTAATGAGGTTGCTCATTCTCTTAGGAGAATCGGAACCGAGTAATTGTTTGGGGAAGTTCATCCTGCTATGAGTGCTTTATAAATCAGATAGGAGCTACTTCCAGTTTGAATGCTATATTTCTGTATCTTTTATATAATACCTGTTACCTGCCTATTTGCTATAGTGGTGGCAGATAAACTGGTTATGATCTTGTTTATAGCATGGTTGCTTGCCTTTTAATGAATCCTCTAGAATTAAATTTAACAGATATACCTTGGCCCTGCAGGTCTTAAAAAAGGCTGATATGATCCGCAAGAATGCCGTTGAGAGCATACTAGCAGAACGTGATATTCTTATTTCAGTGCGCAATCCGTTTGTGGTGAGCTGGCTAACTAGTTATCAATTTTTGCATGTCATTTGAAAATGCCACTTCATTCTGACATGATTCCAACTTGCCAGGTTCGGTTCTTTTATTCGTTTACTTGCCGTGAGAACTTGTACCTTGTGATGGAGTATTTGAATGGCGGTGATTTATATTCGTTACTGCGAAATTTGGGCTGCTTAGATGAAGATGTCGCTCGTGTATATATTGCTGAAGTTGTAAGTTTTCAATACTCTGCAAATACTTGCGGGGCTTGCATTGTAGTTGCTGACTGTAATCCATCTGACTGCTGTTAAGGTACTTGCTTTGGAATATCTACACTCATTGCGTGTGGTTCATCGTGATCTGAAGCCTGATAATTTACTCATCGCACATGATGGCCATATCAAGGTAACTGCTATTTTCATGCTTGAAATATATGACGAAGCACTTTTGTGCCATATATGCACTTATATTGTTTTGGAAACCTCGGGCCATTCTACTGCTAGACATAAAACTTTAGCTACTTGACGCCATCTTTGAAGTGCTTTCTCCCAAAATATGGATAAGAGTAGCCAAACAGAGACTTAAAGGTAGACTGGCATCAGAGCAGGCTTAAATCATCAAATGTGGTGTGTTTATTGTACATGCTTTGCAGTCAATTCTTATTATGTACTGGTAATCATCTGGTTATGATAAGAAAATGAACATCAAACACTCGGGGTGATTTTTGGCTTTTGCTAGAATATCACTAACTTTGTTGTTTAAATTTTTTGTAAAAGTGAAGAAAAAGTGTGTTTGGTTGGGGTTGTAAATAGTTTGCTGATGATAAAAAATGAGTGGGTTTAAGGAAATGATTATTATGGGTGTAACTGTAAGAATTAATTCTTATTTCGAGGGGGTAAGGTCAGGAATATTTTTTTTTGTGAGGTGGATTTAAGCTTTGACTAATTGTGGGTTTAGGGTGAATGTGTTTGTAAATAGTTTGCTGATGATAAAAAAAATGAGTGGGTTTAAGGAAATGATTATTATGGGTCTAACTTTAAGAATAAATTCTTATTTCAAAGGGGGTAAGGTAAGAAATATATTTTGTGAGGTGGATTTAAGCTTTAACTAATTGTGGGTTTAGGGTGAATATGTGTTTGTTTCAGCTTTTAGTTAAGGGACTCATCTTTTAGCTTAAGCAAAATCACCGCAGGTAGCTTATTGCTGCCAGCCACATGTATTGCCCCCTCTCGTTTGCGGCTTTTACCTAATTCAGGATCATATTTGTAAATGATAAATTGTTAATTGTTTAAATATAGCGACAACATACCCCTTTGTCCAGGTGTAGCTCTTCCGTACTCTCTTAAACTCCTAGTGGATATGTTTATGGGTACTCTGTATGTACTCCTTTTTTTGTCCTCTCCATTTCTTCCGCTTACCAACTGCATTACAAAAAATTGAAAATCGGTAGCTGAGAGTGATACTTTATCAATCGATTTCAGTTTCCTAGATGGTCGTGGTTTCAGGATTTTGTTGATTGGTTATTCTTATGGTCGTTTATGGTTTACCATGTTTTGAACAGTTGACAGATTTTGGGCTTTCCAAGGTTGGGCTGATCAACAGCACTGATGACTTGTCTGGTCCAGCAGCTAGTGGAACGTCAATGCTTGTGGATGATGAACCAGAATTACCAAGTTTGGATCAACAAGAAAGGAGAAAGAAGCGTTCTGCTGTGGGTACACCTGACTATTTGGCACCAGAGATTCTTCTGGGAACAGGACATGGTCTGTATGTGTTTCTTAATTATATGATGCTCCTCATTTTTCATCTTCGGATTTTCCAAAATGTAGCTGTGTTTTCTGAAGTGATTTTTTCTTAAATTAAAATGTGGACAGACCGAGTATAAGACACCCTTTGCTTTGAGATTGTTGTGATTTTACTGACTTGCTAACTATCATGAGTTAGTCTGGGGCGGTCTTTCTATTGTTATTTTCATTAAACCTTTTATTTTCTACTGTTTTTTCTCTTGGTTCCCCTCACTTGCTGAGTGCAATCTTGGTGCATGAAATACTAAAAGGTTGTGCTGTACTCTCCTCAGGCTTTACTGCTGATTGGTGGTCTGTTGGTGTCATTTTGTTTGAACTCATCGTTGGTCTTCCTCCCTTCAACGCAGAGCATCCTCAGGTCTATCTCTTACTCTGTGATCATGATCGACTTATCAAATTTTGGTCTTCTTCCCTTTCCTGTCTTAAAGATCATCTTTCTCTATCATCTTACTGTTTTGATTAGTTCCTCTGTTTTAAATCCGGTGCATACCTGTTCTGAAGATATTTCCAAGACAATACTCTCCATTTCTTTTTTTGACGAATACAATACTCTCCATTTCTAACTAAGACTGTATGGTTGCTTCTTGTTCCTGTTGTTTATTCTGCTTCTAGATAATTTTTGATAATATTCTCAATCGGAAGATACCATGGCCTGAGGTACCTGATGAAATGAGCCCTGAAGCTGAAGATATAATTGACAGGTGAGATAATTTTGTAATTCTCGGCAATCTTCAGTGTGGAGCTTTTGAATTGTATCTTTTCTTCACGTTCAATTGCATCATATCTTTCTGCTTTAATAATCAACATCTTGAGACTTTGTAATGTTTTCCAGATTATTAACTGAAGATCCTCATATGAGACTTGGTGCAAGGGGAGCATCTGAGGTCTGTGGGTTCAGTTTCTCTTTCACAGTTTGGAACCCTCTTTATTTGGTTCTGTTCTTTTACTGTTTCTGAGCTGGGGAACTGTAACATCCGAGGTTGTTTTGTAGGTAAAGCAACATCCATTCTTTAAAGATATCAACTGGGACACACTGGCAAGGCAGAAGGTGTGAAGTGTTCTGCTTCTATCGTAGATAGCGAGTCTGGGCCATGTATTTTTTGTTTTTAAAAGTTTCGTTGTGGTTACACCTTTTGTGTTGTCTGTTTTTTAGGCCGCATTTGTTCCCAGTTCGGATAGTGCTCTTGATACAAGTTACTTCACTAGTCGGTACACTTGGAATACTTCAGATGACAATGCATATCCCGGTAGTGACTTTGAAGATTCAAGTGATGCTGACAGCTTAAGTGGCAGTAGCAGTTGTTTGAGCAATCGTCAAGAAGAAGTGGTATTTAAGGATAAAACTCATGAGAACTTTGTTCAGTTCATTTTCAGTTTTACAAATTAAGCTCACTCTGCATTACTGATAAACAGGGAGACGAATGTCTGGGCCTTGCAGAGTTCGATTCTAGTTCCAACATCAATGTCAATTACTCATTTAGTAATTTCTCATTCAAGGTAATTTATCATTGTTTTTTTTTTTTTTTGCCATAGGTAATTTATCATTGTTATCAAATTGTTATATTTTCCTGTTAGAAGTACCACTTGTTCAAACTGTTTTTTGTTCCTATTTTTACCTCCTGCCTTTGCTGCACTTTCATTAAATGTGGTTTTACTTTCTACTGTCGGTACTGAAATAATGATACGGAAACAACTGCTGAGAAAAGACAATTTCGAGTGTAACGCTTCTGTCCTTTTGGTTTCTATGCATAAGGTCTGCGGATTAAGAACTCTACATTCATTAATCAACAATAATAGCAGCTGTAATCAACTCTACATTGTCCTTAATTAATTCTCGGTACAAATTGTTATTCTTCTTATTAAAGTGTACCGCGGAAACCATTTACAGCAAACATACAAAAGCCTTATATTTAGTTTGAATTTAGGCAACCTTGGAGGACAAAGAGCATTTGTACGATGGTGTCTATTTATGTCAATAGAAATCCGGAAGAGCAATCACTGTTCCAGATCTTACTGTACATTCATATCATATACCATGCATCAAAATGCCATATTTTGTTAGTACAGAGTACAGACTACCTTTATTCTGTGAAATATGATTTGTTACAAACAAATCGTTGTCGCAGTTAGTAACCCATACTTTCAACCTTTGATCTAGAAAGAGGAGTAAGAGGAAAGTTGTCTTTATTGAATTTCATCTTCTTTTGTGAAGTGTTTTAAAGTACTCTACATAATTCATTCTGCAATTTCTTCGCTCATTTTGGAGTTTCATCTTATACACAAGGTTTTTAAGCTACTAGCTAGTGGTCACTATTCGGATTTTCTTTATACTTACCCTTCATACATTAGATTCCTTGTGCCCGTTTCTTACACATGGGCTAATGTTTGTGAACTCAAGTCTTGGTTGCAATATCAGAATCTGTCTCATCCCTCAGATCTTCAGCCAGTTCTTTGATACTATGGGTGATGTTTGTTAACACACATTTTGTTTGTGATTTCAGAATCTGTCTCAGCTGGCATCAATCAACTATGATCTTCTATCAAAGGGTTGGAAGGATGACCCTCCTACAAGCTCATGACGTTTCTCTCTTGACTCCGTCCAAAGAGCCAGAAGTTTTGGGTTTGTTTTGATGTGGATCCATTTAGTGAGTCATAATTATATTACAGGCTGCGTCTGGATCAGCATTGGTGTCTTGTATACCCTGTACATGTAATTTTCTGGACTCAATTCTCTTCTCCATTCTGCAAAAAATTTCGGCGGTTCACTTCATTCCCAGATTTTCACCTATGTGGTTGTTGACTTGCTTAATCTGTGCTTATTGCAGAAACAGAAGAGACATCCATCTGAAGACTTGGAAAATGATGCTTTGCAATCGGTTGCTGTTTAAAAGGTAAATGTGTTTGATGAAACGGACACTTTCGAGGTTCCCATATTTTTTCAAAGTGCCCGAATTCTTGAGTTCGTTTTATCGTGTTTCAATAGAGAACATCAGCAGTAGAGCATTGTTTTTGAGTTGGTGGGAGGGGGATGATAGTACACTGTTCATGTTGATGGAAAGCAAACCCTTGGTGTTCTTGTTGTGAGTTTTGCACCTGTAACAATGAGAACATTTTAACCCCGCCTATAAGCTGAATCACGATTAGCTGCTGGTAAGGTAATATTGTGTAAAGAATGCTGAGGACTTCAGAACAGGACTGGGAAGCTGACGACGGAACAAATGTCCGATAGAGATACCATTTGTTTTGGTTAGAACAGAACAGAGTGTCTGCAAATCCTGTGTGTTCATATATGGAAGCTCTCCCTGGGTGATGGATGAATTGGCTAAACGCTCGTTTATTTCTTTTAGAAAACGGCTAACCGTGAGTTGTGTCTGGAGCCTTTGTGGTGTAAGGCTTTAAATAGCATGTTTAACAACCCCTTATCAGCAGTTTCTTTGACGTAGAGTAGTTCGTAGGAATAGAGATATCTCGATAACCTTAAATTGAACTCCATTTCCTGAAGATACTGCAAGTGATAGTTCAAATAAGAAACTGCAGCGAGGGTTTTGTATCTCGCATTACCAAGATACAAAACCTTTAGTTAATCAGCAGCGATGGCAAGTGACAAAGTTCTCATCGGCTATCTATACAGAGTTTACAAATACTTACTGTCAAAATTTTCTCAATAAGAGAATTAATAGGGAACAACTTTCAACTTGCATACATCTTCAGTGTTTTCTTTTTCTTCTTCTTCTCCTCCCTCTGGTAGACAGATCACTTAGGTTAGCTAAACCCTGTGGACAGGAACTAAAACACGAGGAACCGATAACATTTTGGGCATTCAGCAACCTCTAGATCAGAAAGACAAGGGAATAGCGGCATCTCTTTCGTTGTAGTCGACCACCAGCTTATCAGGTTGGGACAACACTTCTTGCCGAGGGACATGAGCCAGGAAGATTAGCTCTTGCTGGGTAGAGTAATCCAACCCCAATTTTTTAAGAGAAATCATTAAGTGAGTTGCCACTACTGCTTCCTAGCTTGACTGCACTGCGGTTGCTGCCACTACGAAATTGGTCAAGTCTTTCAAGCAAGTGCGTTGGCCAACCCCAACCGGTAGGCCTCTCAAGCTCGTACGGTGAAGAAGGCTAAGAAACTCGAGATTGGACAGCCTTTTAGTGTCTCTTGGCAGTCGCCGAAGCTTGGAACAACCATTTAATACGAGTACTTGCAAGTTTATCGGTCTTGTGATCTCATTAGGCAACATCTGCACTGGGTTACCAGAGAGATCAAGATACCTAAGACGTATCAACTTATGGATGGAACTTGGAAGGTGGGGACTATAGTTAAAGCAGGGACACTTAACACTCTCAGCCTGATCATAATTGAGGAGATATCCTCATATTTCTCCCCCTTAACTACCGGTAATTAGCATTTCACGAGATTGAACTATTTTTCCTTTACAATTTTAGTTGACCCATGAGATTCATGATGCTTACTGTATCGTGACTAAGCGCCCAATGAGCTCTAAACTTGACCCAAGTAACCCTATCAGATGATGTTCCATTATATCTCATTAATCATTAACCACTCCAAACTAACAATCCTCTCTTGTACATCTAAAATCCTCGCATCTTTTGTTTCTTAAGTCCAACCTCATCTTCTGGCATTCTTCATTCGCAGAGTCACATTGCGAAGATCTGCTATAAATTTTATTCAAGTTGCTTTGCATAGGCAGTAAGGACACATGCGTGCTGATTCTGCACTACCGCCTACTTGAAGGAATCACTTTGAAAACTTCCAAACACAGAATCCTAAGTTCGAAACTTGCGGCTGCAAAGCTGCAGAAAGAGAGGGCACCGCAGAATAGGGCCACTAAAGTGACCTGTTACAACCTTCAGTTTGTGATGATGTTCCCTCACCCATTGACCAACTTCTCTCTCGCGAGTCTCCGGCTCATTGCTTCCCACCTTAATTGGAGGAGGATCCACAGACATTCACTCCGTGGCAAATTCTGAACAAGAAACCAATACGTTATATGCCGAAATGCAAATGTAAATCGTGACGACTAGGCCTCATAAAAGGACTTCACTTGCATTAGTAATCCATCAAAGCAAGAGACTATAACAACTCCTACAGTCCTACTCCCTAAAAAATCCCAAAAAGGTCCTCACTAATGGATCAAAGGCAGGACATTACTTACATCAGTGTAACATCAAAGCGAAGGAAGTTTTTGCTACGGCTACCTAAAAGCCTCCTCAAAAGGTCCTCGCAAGCAAACTAAAAGCAGGACATTACTTGCATCGGTGATCCATCAAGGCAATAAAGAGACTACTACTACTCCTACCACCCTAAAACCACAAAGAGGACCTCACCAAGGAACCAAACACATGCCATTACTTGCATCAGTGATCCATCAAAGGGAGAAGAGACTCCTACTACTCTACTACTACCACTACCACCCTAGATTCTCCTTGAAAAGCTTCCAACTGGCATTGGACTGAGCCAATCTCTCCTTGGCTTTCAGACCGTTCTCAATCACCTGCTTGTTCTCATCACATTGCTTCTTGAACTCTTCCAGTTCCTTGGAAGCCTCTTTATTAGCCTTCTCCAGTTTGACCACAGCTGAATTCCTCTTATCAATAAGTTTAGCCTTGCGAGCGGACAGTTGCTGAATTTCAGCCTCAAGCTTCATGCCTTCTTCCCCGAGTCTTGAAACCTCAACCTCCAAAGAGCTCAATTTTCTCTTCCTTTGCACCAGTTTCACTTCCATGTCTTTTGTAATCTGAGGCATTAGTGATTTGGCAGCATTGCTGGTTTCATTAGTGGCCAGAGAGCTAGGGATGACCTGCTTAAACTCAGCCAGACGTGAGACCAAGGCTTTCAGGATTGTCTTCTCTTCTGGATCAGTTGAATGCTCAGTCAGTTTGAGCGCAGTGCTCTCAACTTCATCGAGTGATATGGTTTGGCAGATGGCCTCGAGTGACATACCAAAGAATTCAACCATTTTCTCCCTCTGTTGTTGCACCACACCACAACCATGGTCTGCATTTGAAGAGATTCGATCATTTGAAGGAGACTTGCAATTGCTGGTCATTGTGGAGAGTTCAGCTATCAGTTTTCTCGATGTCAACTGCGCACTTGATGGAGGAAAGGGGCTGTCTGCCTGAACCTCCTGAAATTCAAAGAAAACAACGGAGAAAAGGGAATAAGAGGAAAGTGTGGGCGGGTGTTTCTACATCAAATCAATGGTTCGTACTTTTATCATATGGGAACTTGGTGGACCGAGTGTGAGAACGATTTGCTGTCATCACCTGATTCTGGAGTGAAAGGGGCTCTTCAGTCTTAGCCAGCCTTGGTTCGCTATTAGTAGCCTCTGATGCAGCTACTTCCTGCAAGCGAGACATTTAATATACCGAAGTATATGTTTATCAAAAGAAAAAAATGCTGAAGGAGAGAGTAAGATACTGTAGAACTCAGGAACACTTTGTGTCAAGAGACTTAACAGTAGAAACTTCTGCTTCCATAATGACTGTATCACGAACAATGTATCTAGAAGCACGTTCTCGAAAGTCTGCACTCAGAACAAAACGTGGGAACTCCGATTCGTAGTCCAGGTAGTCAAAGTTATGTGCGCCACCTGCGGGCGAGGTTTGTTTCGCAGGGAAATGAGAAATGCAGAGAACTAGAATGCCTGCTCGGATTCAGTATGTAACCACTCGGGGAAGGTGAAACAATTCACTCTCATTGCAACCATGTATGGAGATTTTCAGGAATCAGGAAACAACCCTTACATTGTCGCACAGATAGGGAACCATCGTATTGGTCGACAAGGGTCAAGGTAAACTCAGCTGCCACACTCCATTTGTTTCCCAATCAGCAATTTCCAAACTCATGGCTAGATGCTTGAAATACAATCTACAATTTGGATTAAATACGATCCTCCTGCGTTAAGCGCAATAGTTCAGAAGCAAGCAAGCCAAGACAAAGAGCTATCGAAGAAGAGAGTACAAAATTGTTTTCGAGTTACTACCAGTTGTGGCCTCCCACCGAAAAAGTGTCGGACAAAAGTTCCCGCTCAGTCCGCTTTGAAAATTGCGAGATCTTCCATGTGAATTTCTTCGTCTCCTTCCTCACCGGCGGATCCTCAGGCACACTCGCCATTTGTGCCATGAAACTAGCAGGTACTTCTCCCTGCGCGAAGAGAAGATGTGTAAATTCGTTAAAGCCGGGAAAACGTCAGGCAAGAGTAGTCTCAAGTCTCGTCGCCTTACCCTTACCAACGGAGCAGAAAATGGAGTTAGCGGATGGTGAACTGGACTCTGCCTTGCGAGCAAGTGAAGCGACAAGTGAAGAAGAGAAGAGGGCAAAGGGTTTGCTTGCAACTAGTGATGGCAATGGGTTGGGTACCTCAATACCCATGCCCCGCCCCACGCTAGTACGGGTCGGGCGGGTAATATTCGTGCGGGAATGGGGCGGGGCAGGTCGACCCACTCTTACATGCTATTTGAGAAAAATACACGCACAATTTAACCTTTTATGATAAAAAGATAGGGAAAATACTTGATGAATGAATAATAGTGATAATATAATAAGTAATTGAGTCTATTTAGTTGAAAGATCAAATCTAAATAGTTGAATAAAAGTCAAAATAGGAGATATATGAATGGATGGGGTAAAAAATTGACATAAAACGGGGTAAGAAGGGGGGGGGGGGTCGGAAGTTGATACACATACCCCGCCCCACGCTAATGCGGGTCGGGTAATACCCGCCCCATCGCGGGTCAGGTCGGGTATTACCCGGCGGGACGGGTTCAAATTGCCATCCCTACTTGCAACTTGCAAGCTTGCGAGAAATCCACCATATTGTCCATTTTTTTACTTTGGGGTAATTCATAATTGTTTATTGTGTGAAAAGTTCAAGTCATACAAATATATTAACTTTTGTAATCTGAGCCACAAGCCCACAACTGTGGCGTGTTTATTACTTTAAGTCATTGAATTTTTGTTTCACTAAAACATTACCGAAATTTGTCTCGGAAAAGTCAACAATAGAGTATTTTGTGTTGTTTCAGTTGTTTTATGCCGTTAAAAATCTCTGGTATCGGGTTTTCGCCGGATCGCTACTACGGTATAGTTTCACAAACATGAACTTTTCCACTCTAATCTCTATAATTCTGCTATCAAATCACTTGTAGTTGCTTGCATAGCCAGTACGGAATGCCCAATGTGGTGGTTCTGATTTACAGGCTCCTTAGCAAGGAGACTACTTGAAGTAGACTTTCTGGAAAATCCAAACCTCAGAATCCCGGAGTTTCAAAGAAGGATGCCACTGTGCAAGGATATTTCTTCATGCTTCTATGATCCCATTGAGCCATTTCCCTCACGATTTATGGTTCAGTCATTCCTCCCTTGATTGGATGAGGAATGACAAGTTATGACACAACTTCCAACAACGGCCAAGTGTAACCAATGAAATGGACTACAGTATAGTGGCTCAAGTAATAAATATCGAATCCACGGGTCTCTAGAGTTACTATTACTCAGCTTCAATTCATTATCTAGCAAACCAGATTAAGATAGAACAACTAAAACTACTCTAGCAAACTACAGTTAAAGTTAATCTAATTACAGGTTGGGAACTCACTTAGGTATGATTCCCCCTAGCCACTAGCCAGATTAATGATTGATGATCTCTAACATGTTTCACTTTCATGCACAATGCGGAGAATCCTTAACTAGACCTTGAGTCTCGACTAAAGGAACAAGGCTCTCTTGAGTCAATTGCCTAGAGGGACGTATCCTTCTCTAGAACAATCGATCAAGGCGTTCTGAACTAGACTCCCTATATCGAATGAGGTTCTTAATCGATACAAAGCATTGAATCAACTCTCGACTAAAGCAATCGATCCAATACTATCAATATATGGTGCTCTATTGACCTAATCAGGTATTCGCTCTCATAGGATCAAAGCAGAATCAATAATCTCGACTAAAGCAGAATTGAATCATGAAAACATGCATAGATTGAATATGAACTCAAGATTTTCAAGTAAGAGTACTCATACAATCATCCAATCAAACAAACATGGCTAGGGTTCCTCAAAACCTAAGTGAAGGGAATTTACTCCATGGAGAAGTGAGACTGCAGTAAGAATCTTTAGATGATCAGTATTCAAGTCCGGACTTGTTCCTCGAGCTTCCAAGGCAAAGAAATCCTCCAATTCCACTCAAAGAGTGCCCTCAAATCTCCCTCTCTCTCTTTGGTTCGTCCCTTGGGTGTTTGGGATCCAAAATCCAGCTCTCTCCTCTAAAAAATTGCAGAAAATAGACTTATACCCGAGCAGGGGGCAGAAACACGGTCGGGAACACGGTCGTGTTTAGTCCTACCCGTGTTTTGGTCCTACCCGTGTTTTGGTCCCGCCCGTGTTTTGAATCCATTCAGTAGTCTTCACAAGAGAGGCTCGCCATAAAAAACACTGGTAGGTGCCAGATGAAACACAGTCGTGTTTTTAGGGTAGTCTGCTCGTGTTTCTTCCGCCGAACTTGTTTACTATATTTAATGCTTCGTTTCTCCCTCGTGCGGACTCCGAATCAGTCGTCGTTTGATCCCAAACGCTTGTAGTATCGTCCTCTATCTTTTCATGACAAGCTTGAATGATTATTTGTCCATAAATGAGGTATAAATCCATTATTCTTAAGGTCATGCCCGAGTTTCTTCTCCTGAGTCGCCAATTGATCTCCGATTGACTTGAAACTTGCGTCTATGCTTCACTTTACATGCTAGGACCTGAAATTTGATAAATGAACACAACCTAGCATAAAATAGGCCAAATTATGATAAATACCAAGCTAAACAATCAAGAAATGAGGGGTAAAAACATGTGCAAATTCAGTGTTATCAAACTCCCCCACACTTAACTGTTTGCTTGTCCCCAAGCAAACCTGACTCAAACCAATGCAACTCTCCAGACCTTTATGGTAACATGCAACCCCGATCGTCGGTAGAGTATTTCCTATATCAATTAGCAACTTACGAGGTCAACTAGTCTTCTAAGACGTCTCCTATCTCTCTCAATGCTAGTGCTAGACTCAAGCCAGGATAATGAGAAGCAGTGGAACTAAGACAATCAATTCATGGATAAGGAGACTCATAAAATTCAATGACCAAGGACTCATCTTATCGAGTGCTCTTCCATTCATTTCAATCGTTGGAACCCCTTTTCACACTTTCATTTTATGTTTCTTTTGTTTTTCGCATTCACACTTTGTCGGGGTTCCAACTGTAGTTTTTGTGCATGGTCGACCCTTATTGGTTGAGCAAGAGCAATTTCTGTACATCTGCCACTCGCCAGAGTACTTCTTTTAACTCCTTTTCCTCAACTTGTGTGGAGGGTCAATGAAATTAAGGGGTGTCAGAAGCTCTATCAGTGCCCTTAAAAACACATCCTCGAGTAGGCAAATCATTCAACGGGTAGAAATTTTACTTGTACTAGAGACAACTTAGCTTCACCTTGTAGGCCTACCCCACCAAGGATCACTAAAATCTCTTCCAAAAACCGATTTTGTGTAATGAACGGTGCCACACACGTTGGGATTACCCCATGTTTTAAAATTTCAAATTTTTGACATAGAGGACCAACTGCTTTTTCATTTCACACATGAGCACCCTTTTCCGATACATGAGTCCACAACACAACCTAAGGAGAGTCATCAATATCACATGAATCAAATGTCCTAAATCCACTAGTTCACAAAATCAACTGACACAACAAGGAGATAGATAGGAAAAATGTTATGCTTCAACATCCTCCATAGTGCTACAACTAGGGATGGCAACTTTGCCCATACCCATGGGTTTCTTACTATCCAACCCAATTGGGTTGGGTATGAAATCCAAATAGATGGATATGGGTAGAGTTTGATGGGTTTATACCCATACCCATTTACTTTGGGTTGAGTTGGGTTTATATCAAATGGATTTGGGTTTGTACCCATGCCCAAATACAAATTACAGTTTGGTACATAAACTTAATAGACATGCATATTTAGTACCTAAATTTAATTTTTTTTGCATATAAGTCCTCAAAATATCGATGGAAAATTACGTTTTGGTACCTAAATTTTTTTGGTCTTACATTTTGGTACCTAAACTTTTCAAGTTTTGCAAATAGGTCCAATTTTTGCATGTGTAGTTAAAACACCCTCAAGTAAATGGATATACATATCCAACCCATACCCATTTAGATTATGGAAGCCCCAAACCCATCTATAAACCCCCAAATCCATATGCACTTCACCCATACCCAACCCATTATCAATGGGTCTACTTGGGTTTGGGTATAATTACCCATGGGTGGGTAATTTGCCATCCCTAGCTACAACTACCTCCCTAGGTTGCATAGTGCTATAAATGTTGTCAATTCAAAGCATACTGAGTAGACATTTGCAAGGGACACGTGTACTTGGAGCCCTCAAATTTAAAAAATTTGGACAGTGGACTAGGCTCCAAACACACACATACAACAAAACATTCACACGCATACATAATCAAACATCCCCCCACACTTAAGTACGACATTGTCCTCAATGGAGGAAAGATAAGGAGGGTAGAACGAAGTTACCAGATCAAGTGTGAATGATGATGGATGGTGCAGGCAGTGCATTCCAGGAGGAGAGAGTAGTCGGAACACAAACACCACACAAAATCAAGGTTGAGTTATTGACTCTAAAATCAAAGAACAAAACTGACTAAGCCGAGGAGAAATAGGGAAAGAAATGCAAATCGACTAGTTGGGTTCCCTCCCAACAAGCGCTTCTTTCACGTCGTGAGCCGGACGGTGTCTCCTAAGCTTCGGTCCACCCCAAAACCTCTTTGAAGTTGAGGTTCTCGTCGATGAGGTGGAGTCTCAAGTCAGGAGCATGTGGTATGACAGGTGATGAAGGCCCGTGCACTTGATGCAGATGAAGTCTCCATCCTCGAGTCCTCTTAATTCTTATTGTCTTATCTCGTCTCATTGCCCCAAACTAGATACACCAGCATCGACTGACCACCATCGCATCCACCAAGAGGGACCAATGTCGATGTGGCCTTGGTCTAGCAAAGAGACACTGCAAATGGGTTCTTGCCAAACAGCTCCTTGAAGTTTGGTGGAGATATTACTTGTAACTTAGGGTCGGTGCAAGCCTCTTCCACCTCAACTTCGTCCCTAGCCTGGTCGCCAATTGCTTCCTCAACTCCCATTCCTTCTTTGGAAATTAATTCCTCCCTTCGGAAAAGATCAAGAACTTCCTCTAATTCACTTCCGTCATCCTCCACAACTTCTTTCCTCATCATTTCTCGCTCTTCTTCTTCTAGCACTGATTGGAGAGCAAGTCGCCAAGCAATTTCTTTCATGAGATCATCTTGCATCTCCTTGCTCATGCCCACCTCATCAAAGCTCGGTGTGGACTGTGGGAAGGTGTGGTCGGCTACAACAGGACATTCCTGATCATGATCATCACGAGAGCTCTTCGTGATAACTTCAGTCTGCTCCACAATGTCATTGTAGCCTTCTACATCCTCCTCTTCTTCATGTATGGAATCAGAAAGGCGATGTTGAGCAAGTTGTGCACAAACTTGCTCACCCCACTTTGTTTGCTTCGCTGAGCGCTGAACAGCCTCCTCAGATTCACGGATGGATTGGATTAGGAGGTCCATCTTGCGGAAGGATCTCTCGGTGTCCCGAACAAACTGCTCTATGAGAAGTCTCAATTCACAATTTGGATCTTGTTGTGGGCTGTAGCATGGCTCTACAGATTGACCTGTGAAGGCCGCCATGGCTAACTCCAGCTTTGATAGCCCTTCTGGCTGTCAGAAGAATTCTTCTTGTTAAGGATACTGTTCTTGAAACTCCCAAGAGTCCGGTTGTTCTCCATAGTAAAGGGGGTAGGTACTGGAACACGAATCCATAGTCTTCTCCTCCTTGATTGCTCCAGGAAGTCTCGGGGTAACACCACTCAGATGGTGGTGGATACCCCCAATGGTTGGAGAAGCCATGAGGATCCATGATTCACATATGCACTAACAAAAACAAAAACACCCAAGTGAAAAGCAAGGGCGAAAAAGAAAAACAACAGAAAGAAAAGCTAAATTAACAAACTTCTGCCTTTCCTAATAATCTAGAAAGTTCCCGTCAACGACGCCAAAAATTTGACACGCTATGACACAACTCCTAACAAAGGCCAAGTGTAACCAATGAAAGGGACTGCAGTATAGTGGCTCAAGTAATAAATATCGTATCCACGGGTCTCTAGAGTTACTATTACTCAGCTTCCGTTCATTATCTAGCAAACCAGATTAAGATAGAACAACTAAAACTACTCTAGCAAACTACAGTTAAAGTTAATCTAATTACAAGTTGGGAACTCACTTAGGTATGATTCCCCCTAGCCACTAGCCAGATTAATGATTGATGATATCTAACTTTATTCACTTTCATCCACAATGCGGAGAATCCTTAACTAGACCTTGAGTCTCGGCTAAAGGAACAAGGTCCTGTTGAGTCAATTGCTTAGAGGGATGTATCCTTCTCTAGAACAACCGATTAAGGCGTTCTGAACTAGATCCCTATATCGAATGAGGTTCTCAATCGATACAAAGCATTGAATCAACCCTCGACTAAAGCAATCGATCCAATACTATCAATCTATGGTGCTCTATTGACCTAATCAAGTATTCGCTCTCATAGGATCAAAGCAGAATCAATAATCTCGACTAAAGCAGAATTGAATCATGAAAACATGCATGGATTGAATATGAACTCAAGATTATCAAGTAAGAGTACTCATACAATCATCCAATCAAACAAACATGGCTAGGGTTCCTCAAAACCTAAGTGAAGGGAAGTTACTCCATAGAGAAGAGAGAAACTGCAGTAAGAATCTTCAGATGATCAGTCTTCAAGTCCGGGCTTGTTCCTCGAGCTTCCAAGGCAAAGAAATCCTCCAATTCCACTCCAAGAGTGCCCTCAAATCGTTCTCTCTCTCTCTTTGGTTCGTCCCTTGGGTGTTTGGGATCCAAAACCTAGCTCTCCCCTCTCAAAAATCGCAGAAAATAGACTTAGGGGTCGTTTGGAAGTTGCGATTGTTAAATAGATGTATTGTTGAGAATTCATGTATAATATTATACATGTATTGTCGAATTTGATGCATTGTAGAATACAACGTTTGGTATGTGTGATTGTGTATGTCGCATCAGCTAAAAGCTGAGACAAAACAATCTCAACTCAACTATCTCAACAATCACAACCAAAAGTTGAGATATAACGATCACTCAAATGAGTGATAGTTTCTGTAACATCACAGAAACAATCCATGTATTGTTTCTGCTAAAAAACAAAAAAAACAAAAACGATGCATTGTAAAATACATGCATAATGACAATCTCAACAAAACAATCGCAACTTCCAAACGACCCCTTATACCCGAGCAGGGGGACAGAAACACGATCGGGAACACGGCCGTGTTTAGTCCTGCCCGTGTTTTGGTCCCGCTCGTGTTTTGAATTCCTTCAGCAGTCTTCACAAGAGAGGCTCGGCATAAAAAACACTGGCAGGTTCCAGATGAAACACGACCGTGTTATTAGGGTAGTATGCCCGTGTTTCTTCTGCCGAACCTGTTCCACTATATTTAATGCTTCGTTTCTCCCTCGTCAGGACTCTGAATCAGTCGCTGTTTGACCGCAGACGCTCGTAGTCTTGTCCTCTTTCTTTTCATGATAAGCTTGAATGATTCTTTGTCCATAAATGAGGTATAAATCCATTATTCTTCAGGCCATGCCCGAGTTTCTTCTCCCGAGTCACCACTTGATCTCCGATTGACTTGAAACTTGCGCCTATGCTTCACTTTACATGCTAGGACCTGAAATGTGATAAATGAATACAACCTAGCATAAAATAGGCCAAATTATGATAAATATCAAGCTAAACAATCAAGAAATGAGGGGTAAAAACATGTGCAAATTCAGTGTTATCAAGGAATCACAGACATCTGCTCCGTATCAACTTTCGATCAATAAAACAGTTCTTACATGCCAAAACGCAAATGTAAAGAGTGAGGAATAGAAATCAGAAAATCTGTCATGTTATAACTTAAGAGAGCTTGCTACGAGGTTACCATATATTTACACCCTAAGACCCAAAAAAGGTTCTCACCGACGAACCAAATACAAGGAAGTTACTACTTACATCAGTGATCCATTAGAACAAGGGCCATGGAACTATGGAAGACACTGGTACTCCTCCTCCCTAAAATCCCTCAGAAAACGTCCTCGCCGACGAACCAAACGGAGGACGTTAGCAAGGAAGAGACTAGTACTAGTACCACACTCCTACCACCCTAAAACTCCAAAAAGGATCTGAACAACGAACCACACACACGACATTACTGACATCAGTAATCCATCAGAGAGAGGAAGAGACTCCTACTACAACTATTACCACCCTAAATTCTCCTTGAAAAGCTTCCAACTAGCATTGGACTGAGCCACTCTCTCCTTGGCTTTCAACCTACCATCAATCTTGAGCTTATCTTCGTCACATTGCTTCGTGAAGTCTTCGAGTTCCTTGGAAGCCTCTTCATTGGCCTTCTCCAGTTCGACCACAATTAAATTCCTTTTACCAATGAGTTCAGCCTTGCGAGCGGAAAGTTGCTGAATTTTGACCTCAAGCTTCATGCCTTCATCGCCAAGTCTTGAGAGCTCTTCCTTCAAACAGCTCAGCTTTCTCTTCCTGTGAACAAGCCTCGCTTTCATGTCTTTTGTCATCTGAGATACGGATGATTCGACACCACAGCCGGTTTCAATAGTGGACAGAGAGCAAGGTATGATCTCTATAAACTCAGCAAGACGTGAAACCTGGGCTATCAGGATTGTCGTCTCCACTGGATCAGTTGAATGCTCAACAACTTTGAGGACAATGCTCTCAACTTCATCGAGTGATTTGGTTTGGCATATGGCCTCGAGTGACATACCAAGGAATCCTACCAGTTCCTTTCTGTGTTGTTGCATCAAAGCAGAACCATGGTTTGCATTTGAAGAAGAGATCCCATCTGGTGAAGGAGAATTGCATTTGTTGGTCATTGTTGAGAGCTCCTGCAACAGTTTACTCGACATTAACTATGCATTTGATGGAGAAAATTGACTGCTAGTCTAGACCTGAAAGTCAAAGAAAACGACGAAGGAAGCCAAGGGTCAATGGTGTGGTTGGGTGTGTTTGCATCAAAGGAATGGTTTGTGCTCTTCGCCATATGGGAACTTTGGTGGACTCACCTAACTCGGAATTGAAAGGGTATAAATCAAAGTTTCTTCGATATCATCGCAAGGTTGATCAGTCTCAGTCATGCTTGGTTCACCAGTAGCAGCCGCTGATGTTGCCGCTTTCTGCAAGCAAGTATGACACTTAACATATCGAAGGAGTGAAACGCAATAAGAGGGAAGTGCAGATTGAATCAATGGTCTGTGTTTCCACCATATGGAAACATTGTGGATCAAGACTAAGAGAGTTCATAGTCATCACCTAACTCTGCAGTGAAAGGTGTTCGCTCAATGATTCTTTGATGGCTTCACGAGGTTTATCATTCACACTTACGATTGTTTCACTAGTAGCCGCATCTAATGCTGCCATTTACTACATTTAACATAGAGAAGGAGAGATTAACCAAAAGAAAATGAAAAAATAACATGCTGAAGGAGATAGTTAAGAGCTAAAGAGACTTAACAATAGATACTTCTGCTTCAATAATGATCGTATCACCAACAAGGTAGCAATATTCAACTTCATGAGGGTCTGCAATCAGATGAATACATGGAAATCCCCAGGCAGGCTGCCAATGACTGAATCTACATGTGGCACCTGTGATAAGGTTTGTTTCATAGGGTAAATGAGAAAAGCAGAAGGTAGGATGCATGCTCATATTCTGAATGACAGTTGTGGAAGGCAATGTTAGTGAGTGGTATAAGATCTATTATTGAACCTCTCCCAACAACTCAAGTTATTGGGAGCAACTGGTTTTTGACATGGTATCAGAGCCTGGTTGTGGCCGGGAGGTCTTGTGTTCGAATCCCAGTGACCCCATTTGTGAAGCACATGTATTCTCGTGTTTAGGACATGTGCAAACGAAAGCCCTTATGAGTTGACTGGCTTTCATTTGAGGGGGTGTGTTAGTGAGTGATATAAGATCCATTATTGAACCTCTCCCAATAACTCGAGTTATTGCAACAATCAGGAATTATGGAACCAAAAGAAAACATCAACTACACACATGAAGAACGGATGATGATGATGATGATGATGGCCATGGTGAATTCGAGTAGCAATTCAAACAACTTGATGAGATCCGGTACACTAGTGCGGGTATTATCACTACGCAGTTCAAACAACTTAACATGCACAACCAACGGAGTGTACACAAGTAGGGAAGCAACAAGGGAACGAAGAACAGATATAAAATGGACCACATAACTAAAGGCTGCAACCTACTCTTTCGCGCATATTTGGAAATATCAAATTGGTAGAGGAGAGTGAAGGTAAAGTCAGATGTCACACTCCATCCGTCGGGCATGGTTTGCCCATCAGCAAATTCCAAATACAAGGATAGATACTTGACATTACCCTTATCATTTCCCTTTGGATAAACAGAGAAAATCCTCCTGCGTGAGCGAAGCGCAATGGTTCAGAAGCAAGAAAGAGAAGGAAAAGACTTCGACCCCATTTTTTTAAGGGAAAGGAGGGATCGCACCTTCCTGTAATTTGACTTCGACCCCCATTAAACATCTGACAGTGGGGCTTTGAGTGCAAAAACAGTTATCAAGTTACTCTTACCATTTGTGTCCTCCTGCAAAGAAAGTGTCGGAAATCCATTTCCTTCCTTTTCGCTTTGAAAATCGCAAGATTCTCCACTTAAATTTCCTAGTATCCTTCCTCATAGACCATAGTCGCCATTTTTAACAGTCTAAAATAGTCAAGAAGCTCGTGGGTACTTGTACGCGAAGAGAACATAAGCAAATCATTCAAAGTCTCGTTGCCTTACCAACAGAGCAGAAAATGGAAAGAGAGGATGTTGCTGATTGTTGAACTGCCTTGCGAGCTATAAGTGAACTACCAAACGAAGAAGAGAAGAAAAGGGTTTGCCAGCCCCTGCGAGAAAAGCAGCTCTCTCTCACACACCCCAAAGTTTTTTTCCTCGAGTGGAGCTATCTGTGGAGTGTGGACACGGTGTCCCTCCCCCAACGTTGTCAGACCATTTTTTATTGACAAATGATACGTTCTGACCTGTGATATAATCGATTTATGTTTGTTCATACCGGTTTAACAAAATTGTAAAGAGTGAATTCATTAGCATTAAAGGGCCGTTTTGGATGAGGGATCAAAACCTCATCCAAACTCCTTGTTCTGTCTAATTTCACCCAAATCTCTCATTTGTTTAAGCTATAAAGTAACGAAGGATTTTGACATGTATAATTTAAAAAACCTACAATTGTGGTATTTCACAATAACTTATCGAAATCTCTTATTATATTTTATTTTCTTCCAACTTTATCCTTAACAATATTGAAACCTATCTGGCTAATTCATCTCTTCCTCTGTATGTATACCTCCCTCGACCTTAATAGGCATGGCGGGAGCAGTTATGGTGATTACTACAAAATAGTAATCACCATGATTACTAAGGGTAAATTGGGTATGAAAAAATAAATTGTATAAATTATTTTTTTTATTAAATTACATCTTAGGAAGTTACAAATATATTAATTACAATTCTTTCTCTCACTTTCGCAATCTCCAGCAAGATCTCCCTTCCTAATTTTTCTCAATCTTTATGCAAAAAAGAAAAAAAAATAAGAAATCAATACCAATCCATTAAACAACTACTACCATTTCGAAAAACACCAATACCATTATATAAAAAACAAGGAATCAGTAACAAAACATAAAAACACTACCACAACATGTACCACTTATTAACCAACACCATTGCATATTTAACTTATAGTCTTATACCAATACATGAAGATCACTACCAATACAATAATATTGGTACAAAAAAAAAACAATGCCATTACATAATCAATACCAATGCATAAAAAATGATACCACTACGACAAAAATCAATACCAATATAAAAGATACATAACAATATGAAACATCTAGGTCTGAATTCCGACCAAGATATTCTTCGTCGATCTGAGAGAGAGAGAGAGAGAGAGAGAGAGAGAGAGAGAGAGAGAGAGAGAGAGGCCATCGTGGGAGGGGAGGTGGTCGTGGGCGGGGAGATGGGCATGGTGAGGGAGGCGACATGGTGGAGGGGAGGCAGCCGGTGGGCGGTCGGGGGGAGGGGATGGGAGGAGACAGGGAAAGAATGAAGGATGGCAGTAGAGTTGTTGTCGGAGAGAGAGTTGGATAGGGATGTCGTGGCTTTACTTAAGCGGATCCAGAAATTCTCCGTCTCACAGGATGTGGGGGCTCGAGTAGTTGCTTACATTTTTACTCGACTTAGCTTTGCTATAGTTAAAGGAGTGGGAGCCCGGATTGTATCTAGGCTTCCCACTAATTTTTTGTAGACCTTTGTTTGTTCTGTTTTCCACTATTTGTACTTATTATATATAATCTTAATACATAGGAATTATTTTTTAAAAGATAATTATTAGGTGTGGTATTTTTTTTTTTCAAAATAACCATTAATCTAATCTCTACCGTCAATTTCAAAATAACGTGAAATAGAAGTAAAGAAGGATATAGATTTTAGTAACCATGCTAACCTATCCTAGACGAGCCAGAAGTCCAAGCTATCGGTCGGAAGGACCATTAGTTGTTACCCCAAGAGGGATATGATTGCATTGGCCTCAGCCTCTCTAACAAGTAGCTTGCTCCACCATGAAAGTGAGAATATTGTGTTATTATTACTCATTGTAATTGTACATGTTATTGTTTAGGTCATGGGATCGAGAAGTAGAACCCTAATTATTTCATCGTTTTTAGGATATAACACAAATGCCTCAATTTTCATTTTGCGTTAACTAATTCAGATTAATGTGATAGGTTGTTCATGTTGTGATCAAGTGAGTCACATCTCTACTTCATACTACAGATTAGAGTATGGTTCTAAAAAAATACAGGTAAGAGACAATTTTCTTTTGTTCTGAATTGGTGGCGTATTAGAAATTATAGTTGTATGTCACAATATCATTTTGCCTAGTAGTACATTTTTAAATTGAGTATAAATATTTATTATTTAAAATTTAGTATAAATTTAAAATTTTATTAAATTTTGATTGAAATTCTTAGAGTACATGTATTATGTACGTGTTTATAGCATAAACATATCAAACAAACGAAATAAAACGACTCTACAACCATACAAGATATTAAATGTTAAACACATTTATTATCATAATATACATGTACAATACAAATATTAAACCAATTTTTGCAAACAATCACTTTTCTTCATTACTCTTTGTATTTTTTTTATTGCTAATTGTCGTCCTTACTTAATTAAGATCGCCCTAATTTAAAAATTAATTTTACCACATCACCCTTTTCCTTTTCGTTGTTATTTAATATTTTATTATAACAAGAATCTATAAGAAGTTGAAATTAAGATTAACTGCCGCCGGCCGATTCCCGCCTCCCGCCGACCGCCATCCTCTTACACACGGGGAAATAAAGAACCCAATCAAAGTTTCCTGAATTGGGTATATAATAGAAGTTTAAAAAAAGAAAAGGAATTACGGGGAATGGATCAGGCGAGTAACCTTATGGTGAGTAACCATAAGTAACCCGTCCACATCAGCATGACATCAACATCATCTCTCTCCTGGAAAGCCTTTAATTTTCCCCCCTTTAATCTTTGACGGACGATTTCTCACTCATTTTAAGTCGAAATTTAATTATTATGATTTTTGCACAGTTAGATCAGATTAATTGTGCTCTTCAAAATGATATCCACTTTAATATATTTTTCGAACAAAAAAAATTGAGTCATTTTTTACCAGTCTATACCATATGGTATTGACTGGTATTGAAATAAAAGCATACCTATAGTTTGAAAAATGTACCATGGTGGTATGAACAAACCAAGACTGTAGGATGGTTGAATACATGATAGTAGAAGTATATTAATTGTCATTTACAACTTTTAACATTGTATACCACACAATACCACCCCGTACCAGGGTGGTATTGTATGGTATTGTGTGGTATTTTTTGGTCCTGTAATTTGTTCACCCAGAAATTTATAGATCCAATAGATCATGATGAACTCGTCCCTTCTGTGCAAACGTTTTCAAAAACGAATTAAATACGAAGAAGATACCATATAATACCACCCCGTACCAGGGTGGTATTGTATGGTATTGTGTGGTATTTTTTGGTCTTGTAATTTGTTCACCTAGAAATTTGTAGATCCAATAGATCATGATGAACTCGTCCCTTATGTGCAAACTTTTTCAAAAACGAATTAAAAACGAAGAAGATACCATATGGTATGCAGTTGATACCGAGAGGCCAGAATTTTTTTTTTCTCAAAAAATATTGAAAATTGATCTCATTTTGTAGAGCACGATGAACTCGTTCCATCTGTGCAAAAAAAATTAAAATCCGAGTTAAAACAAAAAAATATGAGTCAATTAAGAAAGCTAGAAAAAATAAAAATGGTCTTTAATTCTCCTTCCTTGGGTCTGAATTTTCTAAATAAAGGGTCCATAATTGGTTATTGATGGGTGCATAACTCATGGTTATGCACCCTATCTTGAGCCGGAATTACGTATGAATTCTTGATCATGTTTCCTCATTAAACTATCTATTTTGTTATAGATATAAATTCCATGTTTCTGTCCGCAATCGTCATCGCAGCAGAGAGGGAACGGAGATGAGACAGCGGAGAGAAGGGTAGAAGAAGCGGTTGATTCCAGCGATTGGACTGTTGACAGAAACGCAGCGGGGGAAAGAATGCGAGCAGATGATCATTGGGGGCGTAGGAGGTTGGTCACGGTTGGGTGGATGGTGTCGCCGACAAATGAAGATGCGCAGAAGGTCGGTGGCAGAGGGTCCAACTGCTTATCGATAAAGGTGGAGGATGATTAGGGCTTTTATGGATTTGTTGGGTTTTTTTTTTTAATTTTGTTTAATGAAGGGTATTTTAGTACAGTTATGTTTTAAATTAGGGTGATTGTAGTAAAATTAGGGCGACGTTTGGCCGTTCAGTTTTTTTATCATCGTTTGTGAATTTTTTTTTTACTAGTTAATATATTTATGGCAGCGGGGACTAATTAATATAATTAAATTCGTTTTTTCTGTAATTATCTGAAAATAAAACTTAAAATTCCGTGATCCCTAACCTTAAACCCCTCTCATCTCAATCACAGGACAAGAGTGTTGGCCGATTCCCTTCTCTAAGCTCCGCACTCCCACTGCACTGCACTGAAACAAATTATGGGAAGAAGAAGTCGTCTACTCTTCCCTTCTCTCCCCTAATCGGATCCCTCCTTCCTTCCTTCCCCACTCCCCCAAACCTCCACCACCATTTCCCCCTTCTCTATCTCAGATCGCCACCACTGAATCAAACATGCCTCCCCAAACCATGTCCGCGAAGACGGACGCCACCATCGGCGTCAACGGCACTGCGAAATCCGCCTCCAACCAAGCTCCTCCACCCATGGCGCTACCCGCCAATCTCAAATCAGATCTGCTCAACAAACTGTCTCTCAAATCCTTTAAGCTGAAGACAAAGCAGCAGGAGCTCCTGCTCCGCGTCTCCATCCTCTTCCTCGTCTACGTGCTGGCCTTCATCACCCGGTTGTTCAGTGTGCTCCGCTACGAGTCCATGATCCACGAATTCGATCCCTACTTCAATTACCGCACCACCCTCTTCCTCACCGAGAAAGGGTTCTACGAGTTCTGGAACTGGTTCGATTACGAGAGCTGGTACCCGCTCGGCCGCATTGTCGGCGGCACTCTCTACCCTGGTCTGATGGTCACCGCCGCGCTGATTTACTGGGGCCTCCGTTTCCTCCGATTCGCCGTTCACATCCGTGAGGTATGCGTCCTGACGGCGCCTTTCTTCGCGTCCAATACCACCCTGGTGGCGTATTTCTTTGGCAAGGAGATTTGGGATTCCAGCGCTGGGCTTGTCGCCGCTGCGTTGATTGCGATTTGCCCTGGTTACATCTCGCGATCGGTGGCGGGGTCTTATGATAATGAAGGGGTCGCCATTTTCGCCCTGTTGTTGACGTTTTACTTGTTTGTTAAAGCTGTGAACACTGGGTCTCTAACTTGGTCGCTGGCTTCGGCTTTTGGGTATTTCTATATGGTCTCTGCTTGGGGTGGGTATGTGTTTATTATTAACTTGATCCCGCTCTATGTACTGGTGCTGTTGACCACCGGGAGGTACTCCATGAGGCTGTACATTGCGTACAATTGTATGTACGTGCTTGGAATGCTGCTCGCTATGCAGATTCGATTTGTCGGGTTTCAGCATGTGCAATCTGGTGAGCACATGGCAGCCATGGGAGTGTTCTTCTTGATGCAGGTGAGTATTGTGATATCCTGAATTAGAGTGGTAGAGTTTGTCTAGCTAATTGAAGTCGGAGTACCCTAGTTTCTTGTGCTTTTATTTCTGATGTTTCAATTATATAATGTAATGGTAACTGTATGACATTTTCTTATTGGAATTTCTGAAAGTTTCTAGCTTTTGCTAATGTTCACTGTCTGATGGCAGGTGTTTTACTTCTTGGACTGGGTGAAGTACTTGTTAAGTGATAAAAGACTGTTTGAAACCTTCTTGAGGATCACTGTGACTACCACAGTGGGGTTAGCTGCTGTTGCTCTAGGAGTGGGTACAGCATCTGGGTATATTTCTCCATGGACAGGAAGATTCTACTCTCTTTTGGATCCCACTTATGCAAAGGATCACATCCCAATCATTGCATCTGTATCCGAGCATCAGCCGACAGCGTGGTCGTCCTTCATGTTTGATTTCCACATCTTGCTTTTCCTTTTCCCTGCGGGTCTCTACTTCTGCTTCAAGCGGCTGACGGATGCCACGATATTTATTGTTATGTATGGCCTCACCAGTATGTACTTTGCTGGCGTTATGGTTCGGTTGATTCTTGTCGCCACACCAGCAGTTTGCTTAATCAGTGCAATTGCTGTTTCTGCCACTGTGAAGAATTTGGCACAACTTTTGAGGACTAAGAGCAAGGTAACACAAGGTGGTTCTTCTAAAGCAGCTAGTGGCTCAAAGGCTTCCTCCAAGGTGAGTTCTATTTGATTCACTTCTGATTTACTTTTTTTTTTTTTTTTTGCATTTTGTTAACTACCTGGGATTGTGATATTCATTTGACCTGAATAGTCATGTGCTTGAACTTATATCTAGATGAACTGCTATTGACTGGAACATATTGTTGATCAAGTATTTTTGTTAGGAGTGGAGTCATTTTCTTAGTTAGGCCATGAAATTGGTATGCGTGCGTAATGTTTTATGTTCTAATCGAAGGAGGTGCTACATTGTGATGGACCTTACATTGATGCCATGTTACTTTTCAACCACTCTTCTGCAGTATGATTAGACTATTGTGTGCTTAAGACTGTCTAGCCATTAGTCTTCCTTATGCGAGCTCAATTAAAACTAATATGTATGCACAGCCATGGCTTCTAGGGGTTTCTGTAATGAGAAACTTATGGAATGTACTAAAAGGATGTAAAGTTGGCATTAATCTCTACATTAGGTGTATCACCCGGAAACTGTATATCGTAGCTACTAACTAGGCAGCTTTTTTATAAGCTATTGTTTTGCTTTTACCTGGTGGATATTTTGAAATAATGCTGCTTACTCATGTTGGTTCATAAACAGGCTCTACTTGATCAATCTCAGCCATTTCAAAGAAATGGGGCAATCGCATTGCTGCTTGGTGTCTTTTACTTGCTTAGTAAGTACGCAACTCACTGTACGTGGGTGACATCAGAGGCCTATTCATCTCCTTCAATTGTGTTGGCTGCAAGAGGTGCCCATGGCAATAAGGTCATCTTTGATGATTACCGCGAGGCATACTTTTGGCTCCAGCAGAATACTCCAACTGATGCTAAGGTGATGTCATGGTGGGATTATGGTTACCAAATCACAGCCATGGCAAACAGAACAGTTATTGTTGACAACAATACCTGGAATAATACACACATTGCCACTGTTGGGCGTGCAATGTCATCTTATGAAGATGAGGCCTACGAGATCATGAGAGAACTAGACGTGGGTTATGTCTTGGTTGTTTTTGGTGGAGTTACTGGTTATTCATCTGATGATATCAACAAGTAAGTCCAAGCTCAATCCTCAGCAGCATTTCTGTATTATGTTTTAATGAGTTCGCTAAGATTCCCATGTGTAAGAAGAAAAGCTGACATTTTGATTCTGAAATTTTAACGATTATACTTGTTAACCCTTTATATAAAAGTTTGGATAGACTATTTATTTGTAGGACATACAGTCAATCAACTTATAAATTTCACAATCAATTAAAATATGTTTCCAATGTTGCTTCTTATCAAGAGAATCTAATTCAGCCGTGTTACAGTTATTTCGCAGAACCTGTCCATTTCCGTATGAGCATAAAGATATCTTACTGATCCAATAACTAATTTTTAACTACCTAGAAAAGATACCATATCTCATCAACTTTCCATTTATAAAGTCTTTGATACTTTAATGTTAGATTTCGAAAAATTATTCTAAAAATCCAATAACATATATCCACTTTAAAAGACCAAACACAGCCTAAACCATCAGTAACCCAAGCTACTCTTGGAAGGCATTAGCGTTCTGGAGCTTGTTCTAGGGATAAATAGAGATACCTGGATCTAATGCACATTAGAGTTTTCCTCCAAATATCTGGATAAATGAAATCTACATAGTTGTCTTTTGATTTCTTTGATGCACATATCCTATGTAATTGAATGACACATTGTAGTAGACACCATGATATTTTTTCTTCAAACTCATCCTTGCTTTTAGCTGCTTCTCAGAGTAAGCATGCTTGTGGTTGCTTTACTGTCCGACTAACATGAATTGCTCTGAACAGGTTCTTGTGGATGGTGAGAATTGGAGGTGGAGTATTTCCTGTTATTAAGGAACCTGATTACCTAGTCAATGGTGAATACCGGGTCGACAAAGGTGCAGCCCCCAAGATGCTGAACTGTCTCATGTAAGTTTATATTTCTTGTTTGAACCATCTTTATCTGATTGAGTGTTAACTGTTTTAACCTTCCAGCTAAGTGTGTTATGATAAACAACAAACAATTGAGTTGGTCCAACATTTGTGGTCCGTCCTGGACAAATTACCTAGATATCATCTGTGAATTGCACCTCATACCGTACTTGTGGTGATACAATTGTGTAACTTGCTTGTTTTATTGTTGGTTGATAGGTATAAGCTGTGTTACTACCGGTTTGGAGAGCTGATGACAGAGTATGGAAAACCTCCTGGGTAAGTTGGAATTCACAAGTCAATTTAAAGAAGTCGTGTGATTATATATGTAGACCGTTTGCTGAATGTTGGCCGCCTTGTATGCATATATGTTTTGCTTGTTGCCCAGTTTACCAACTAACTCGATAACCAGAATGTGCAGTTGTATTCTGAATGTGATTGGTTGGCCATTGTATACTTATGGGAATGATTTGATTTGAAAAATTCTTGCTGCTGTAGATTTGATCGAGCGAGAGGAGTCGAGATCGGGAACAAGGATATCAAACTCGAGCACCTGGAAGAGGCATTCACAACAAGCAACTGGATCGTTCGGATATACAAGGTGAAGCCACCAAACAATAGGTGGTGAGAGGCCTCTCTCTCGTTCTCTCTCCACACAGTAGTAGTAGCAGTAGTAACGTCTTGGAACTGAATAGAGAGGTTTAGGCAACAGGGACGTAACCGAACAGAAAAAAGAGTGTTCCGAGTTAGCTAAAGGGAACAGAAAAGACATGAGGTTTTGAGCACTGTTGAACGAACAAGTGAATTTTGAGGCTCCTTAATTCAACGTAGCTTTGCCTTAAACATGGAAAACCATTTTATGTTTGGATATTTATTTGAACAGCAATTGGGGATTGTGGGTCTTTTTTGTAAGCTATATAGGGTTTGATGATGAGATGAATATGAGGTGACGATCATTGGGCTAGGTTTGGTTGATCTTTTGGAGTTATTTCCAAGAGGGGTCGTCGCTCCCTTCATACGCCTTGCTGCTTTATCTAAGTGGGTTTGGGCTAGGTCGTTGTGATCCTGCCGCCTCTTGGCAAAGTAGGCTGATGGGCAAGCCCCCTCTTTTCGCAATGGTGTGGGGCGGAAGAGGAACGAATATGCTCGAACAAAGTGAGAGGTTATGCAATATGCTCGATTAAAAGGAGGAAAATTGTCGGTATAGTCATGAAATACTATCCGACCTTAGATCAGGAGCAGTTCCCTCTCAATAAGGAATGGTAGAGAGAAAGGCGGTCAAGGAGGATTGTTGATGTATCAATCCCCACAGTTTGCCTTAAACTGAGTAATCCTTAGGTCTAAACGTTGTCTGCTGCTGATTTTCGATAAGAACTTGTCTTAGAAGTGCAATTGGCTCAAGAATAACTGGTATAAGAGCTGGTGTATGTTTAGAAACTTTTCTATTTTATTGGACGAATTGAAACAGGTCCTAGAATTGCAATTAGATCAATGGCCGAAAATAAAAGAAGGATCAAGAACTCATCAAGCTTATGGACATCTAATCCCTAGTGAAGATCAGGTTGGACTGACCCTCTTCATTTCGACTATTGAATAGATTCTTTCTCCGACCTCAAAGAGTGACGAAAGCAATTCTCATATAGAGTTCTTCTATGCCCTAATGTCTTTCTTGTTTGTCCTCTACCTTGTCTAGGCTCTTGGATAGGTAGCTTGGGCAAGAAAAGGAGATAATTAGGTATTCCAAGATACTTTTAGTAATGAGTTCGACATCTTGTTCATCTATACGTTGATAGTTTTCGTCATGCATTGAGTAATATTAAAAATAGATCGCCTTCACAAAGCAATCCAATAAAGAGGTGTGTTGGGAAGAATAAGGAAATAGTTTCAATAAGAACATGGAGTTGGAGTTGGAGTTGGAGTTTGAACTGAATATCCTCATTAGAGAGGGGCCTCCAAATGGGAAAGGATGCTTAAGTGGGACGTGAAATGCGATTTCAACTTGATTCATGATAGTGGTGTACAGTGAAGGGGTTCTAATCTTTTTTCTAAAGAGCAATCGATTACTATACTAGTGCATGCAAACTGAAATCTTAGAGAACCTTGATCATATTGATCAAAAAGAGCTCGGGCGAGAAGGTGCGAGGTCAGAAGAGTTTAGAGAAGGCTGGATCCGGGAAGGCTTTCTTGGGCAACGCAACAGAGGCAAGGAGTACCACTGGACTATCCCACTAGCGATCCTCTTCTTCGACTCTAAAGGTGGTACATCTTCAAACATAGACGAGGAGGAAAAGCTCTTATGCTCCCACTACCACCATTCGCGCCTGAACCAATGTCATAAACCTACAACTAACATTTCCATTATAATATCTTGTACGATTTCACAATTCTTGTCCCAAACTCTCTCAATGGTAGGCGTTAGCGTGAGCCAACGACATGGAGCGTTATTTACAACAGTGTCATTGTCTACATACGATGGTTGAGATTATGGGTAATACCCGCCTCTTATATCCAATGTTGTTATACATAAAATTTATAATGTAGATTTTTAAATATAAAACTAACAATAAATAATAAAATAAAATAATTTTTAATACGAATTCAAAGCATCTAATCTCAAACCATCATTTAATCCATAAGACAAAATACAATACTATTTAAATCGTTCCATCTCCTACTCTAGCACATCTACTAAGCAATATATAAATAGCATAATCTTTTAACAAGGAGAAAAGAAGTGAGAGTGAATTTGAGAGCAAGAAATTAGGGTTTGGTTTGGTGGCTATTCAACTATGTTTAACCCTTTTTTTGTTTCTTTCAATTATCCTACCCTTCATTGAGAGATTACAATATGACCTCTATATTCTTTTGTACATGAAAAAAGTCTCTAGGTTGGATGTGTATGAGTATTGGGAAGGTGTGGTTTATCTCCAAATTTTATCCATATCCGCCCAATATCTAATCAATGGTGGATTTCAACGTTGATTGGGTCGGAGATGTTCAAATACCTAGTGCCATGAGTTTGATTGTTATAACACCGTAACTTGAAGCATAATGGAGGAAAGTTTGTATGGATTCCATAATTGTCCTAGTACAGAGATTTTGTGGTGTGTGGATTATAGAAGGAGGAAGGCATTGAAGTGATGGATAGGGGCGGTGGGCAATGGCTCATTATGGAATAGAAGAGGCATAAGGGTAACTACCTTTCCAAAGTTGTAGGGGTATGCCTCCGCTCTCTGTGTCTTGGGCTGGGCCTACATTTTGATGTCAGTCGTTGAAGAGTCGGTTATGGGTACTAAGGTAATGTCCCACCACCACGACACGAGGCCGGAATTTTCATCTCCATGTCCATGCAATATGCTATGCCGACATGGGGTGCTTTCTTTTCTTTTCAAAGGATCTGGGACCATACCACTACAAAAATGTACAATTTTTGTATATTTTTTTTTATACTGTTCTCTTCACATCTTAGATCGGATGGTTTTTAGTTTTTGTCTAGCCCGATCTCACTCTTATAATTCGACTTACTCGTAACACGTTCTATAAATTTACCAGTTCTGTGTATGAATCTTTACCTAAGTAGGTTGCCGCTTGGCTACTCTCCCAGCGGCAGATTTCTACAAGTGTCATAAACCATCTTGTAGAAGCAAACATCATTATCTAATTCAAAACGACACATATTCATGCATGTGCGTGCACATGTATGTACATATATAGACATGTCGCAGAAACTCAACATCATGCACCTTTAAAAAAATATCAAGACCCAACGAGGCAGCTAGCTAGTACTAGTAGAAGTTTGTGCACCTGTAAAATGCCAATGAATTTTGTGGTTCCTAGAAGTTTGTGAAATTTCGATTAATACTTGAATCCGGACAACCCTTTTCTATTTGAACATGCAAACTTAATCATCTAAAACAAATCCAATATTAGGCTACTACTTTAGTGTCCTTAAATGACCATTTAAAAGAATCTGCGTGAAAATTTCCGCTGCCGAATAAATTCAGATCCCTAGATGGATGGACCTAATTAAAAACTGTTTTTTTTTTTTTAACTATGAAGGTAGGGAAACTGTTTTTTTTTTTTTTAACTATGAAGGTAGGGAGATTTTTTGATTTCCCTAAGGAGAGACGGGTGCGAGATGAAAGGTAGGGAGATTTGAATCCAGTAAAAAGGAGCACCCAGCCACCCACCAGAAAAAGTAACCATTACAACACGCTAAAAATGCAGTAAAAATAAAAATAAAAATAAAAATAAAAATAAAAATAAGAAATAGAAATGATTATTTTATGGATTCACGAGGGAGGCAAGGCAAGCAAAGGGTTAGATTAGATTAGATGGATAACACCGTCACCGAGAGAAGCCTTCCTCTCTGCAGAAATGGAGCCATCAATCCGTGTTGGATCACGCACGTGGTCTCTAAAACAACCCACTGCTCCCGATTCCCTCCCACCGGCTGACCGGTTCATTCAACTGGGTGGCTGCCTCTTTTTTTCTTCTTCTTTGAAAGGGATAGCTTATTATTATTATTATTATTATACCGGGGCGAAAAACGCACGAAGTGCCAAATTCCCCATCCCTAATTATTTTTATTGGTCTTTTAATGCTCCAACTATGGTAACATACGCTTCAGTCCTTCAACTTTGAACTAGCCACATATGCCATCCCCTATAAATGAATGATGGGGGATTCATTTTACATCAATCTTTGACCTATCCAACTTACACTGGTTTGATGTACTTTTGTGCGGTATGATGTCGGGCACGTAATGCGGTGAACAAAGAAACCTCGACAATGTTGATATGGAAGACAGAAAAGAATTGCACATGAACGTTTCAAATAGGTAGGAGTTGAATTGTAGGAAAAAAAGAGAATTATGTATTAATAACTTGCAAATGCTGTTTTTTTTTTTTTGTAAAGTTTTCTTATCGTAGATTTGGGGCATTATGGACGAGAGAGAAAAATTCCAGATGAATGTTGTAGATAAATAGGAGTTAAACTATAGAAATGAAAATGTTTTCATTTATTTCTAAACCAACAAGATTTGCTTAAATTTTCTTCTCATAAATTGGTGCCCCCACGCAGGATCAAACTACGGACCTTCAGTTTACAAGACTGACGCTCTACCATTAAGCTACAGGGGCCTTGCTGCTTGGTTAGTTCTAAGTTGGGTTTACATGAAAAGTAGAATATAAGTACTATATTTTGAAAAGAAAATTTCATTTCATAAAATAAAAGAAACTATATGTTTATTAAATCCAAAAAATTTCTCATCATCGACTCTCAACTCACTAGCATGGAATCAAGGTGCGTGTCTATATAAACTAATTTCATTCGATCGAACACATTCATGACATGAGTCTTCTAGATACATATTAATGAAAATCCATGATAAAATAGATACCAATATTGATTTTCTAAAGGAGTCACTTGCAACTTGCAAGGAACCAAAGTCGCGTGACTCTATCATTCTGCCATATCCTTGGTCTCAAGTCGCCGGTTGAAATTGTTTCCTCTACTCACATTTTATTGCTTTGGCACAACCTCATCTTTTACTCCGATAATGACAAAATTACTAACTCGATACTTCTACGATGGCTACTTTGGAAAGGGCGTAACATTGTAGTTTTCCTCCACATACCCAATTTACCACAACCACTCTTCACCCCGAATGCTCTAGCATCGTGCTAATCACCGACTTGCCATACTCTCTCTTCCACACCATCCTCCTACTACCCCACGATGACATCGTGATTCTGATTTCTCTTATATTGTTTCTCTTTCAGTCTGCAAAGGTATCAAAATGTTTGTGGTATTACCTCGCATTTACTTGGTTTATCCGGGATATCTATGAATAAAAAAACTTGGCAGGTATCGAAAGTTGAAAACTAATAGTTTATAGGGGCTGAAAAGTACATATGACTTGATTACCGGTACCAATTGGTGATTTAGTCACAAAAGACTGAACAAATAAAATAATAAAAAAGAAGTAACGAAAAGAGCGACTTCACGTTTTCCATTTCCAAAAATCACCACTCTGTTCCGTCTTCTCATTTTTCTTTCTTTCTTTCTTTCTTTCTTTCCTTCCTTCTCTCTCTCTCTCTCTCTCTCCCCCTTCCACCGCACAGAGACCTCAGCAAAGCATCACCATAGCCGCCGCCCACCACTTCCTCCGATTCTGTCCTCTCCCGTTCCGAATTAATCTAATTCGGGAAAGTAGAAGATTCCGCGAGAAATTCCCTCGGTTGAGCTATGGAGCGAGATTTCATGGGGTTGGGATCGCAGCACCTGAACAAGGCTACCGTGAAGGAGGAGACTCCTGCAGAATCCGCCGCCAAGGATTCCGGTACGCTCTCTCTTCCTCCTTCCTTCCAAGATTCGAATTTCAAATTATTTCCCTCTGTTCATTATTAGATTGCTCAATTCGATTCTGCTGGAGCGAAACCATCGTTTTCCCGGTCCTTGTTTGGCTGCCGAGAAAGTAAAAAATCGGGGAACCAATTAGGATTGCATACGTTATTCCCGGAGCTTGTAGCCGAACGGTTAATTGTGAAAATTTTCTTTCGAGATCGTTCGCCTGGCTTGACCAAAAATAGCATGTGCATTTTTATTTTATTTTTAAGCATATAATTGTTTAGTATTATTTACCAATTCTTAGCTATAAATTATTTTGTGTGAAATAATTTTCTAATTGCTTTATGATGACTAATTTATTTGGAATTGAGGATTTCCATTTGTCTCATATATTTTATTAAAACCGGCACAACCGGCATGAATACTGGTTGTACCACGGTCGGACCATTCCACTTTCTAAACCGGCACACCGGTATAAACCGGTTTGACAAGCTATTTTCCTTTCATCCTGTAATTTTTTAGGATATTATTTTCCCTTTTCTTTTCTTCGGCTTACAATTTACGTTTCTGAGTTTATAAAAAAAGAAAAGAAATAGGTAAATTATGGAGCACATGGTGCAAATATTTTTGAAGCATGGTGCAAGTACAAGTACAACAACTAACCCTAGCCTAGGCAGCAGGCTGGGAAACGAGGGAGGAGAGGACCAAATATAAAAAGAAAATAACCGAAAATTCAGTGCTTTATAAGGAAACGTTTCAAAATCAGTTTCGGTCATATCATGAGGCTGTATAATAATAATAATTATCATTCCGATAAAAATATATGAATTAATTTGGTTAATGGTGGGATGCTAAAATGCGCGATGGGTGCGTGGAATGGAATAAGGTCACATGTTGTGTGTTGGGGGTGGGGTTGGGTTTTGGGTCAAAATAAGAAACTGGGAATGGTGTGGGGCTTAGTTGGTGGTGGCTATGAAGGTTTGGTGTGGAAAGCATGCTCCTTTTTTATTTATAATAATAGATATATCTCCTTTTTCTTGCCTTTAAAAAAAAAATAATAAATGCTATAATGTGGGCAAGTAATGCACTCCTAGTCCTAGGATATTAAAATAAAGGAACCATACAAAATAGATATATGGGGATAAGATTGAAGGTCTGCTAGCTATATAGGACATGACCATGACTAATCAACAATTCATCTTTCGCTTTCTCTTTTTTTTTTTTAAATTAATCAATTTCATGAGTGTGACAATATTTTCTTTTCACATGGTACTGACTAGGGTCTGTGAGGGAGGGGAAGTTCATTTTGAGATTTGAATCTAGAATTTGCATGTTGAAAATCAGTGATTGTATTGTTAGACTGGTTTTTACTGTCAACCTTGGTAATTAGTTAATTACTACTTGCATTTGCATGTAGATAAATAAATAAATAGAAAACCACTTGATAATAGAAATATATTATTTTTTCTTCTGAAATCTGAACGGTGTAATATAATACTAATTAATTGAGGTGGGCCATGTTATGTTTGTCTTGAAAATGATACCTCTATTTTAGTTATAAAAAAAAACCCCAAAGAAATGAATGTGGGGTTGAATATGGTAGTGCTCCACAGGCTGATCTTGAAATGTGAACCATCGTGCGAAATTCACCCTTAGCTTAGTATTTATTTTGTAGTACAAATCTATTCTAGAAAGGGGAAATTATATCAAGGTTGAAAATTTTTAATCTCTACTCTAGGCTTTAATCTGATGTTTGGAAGTTATCTTCCTTGCATTACTATTTAAGCTAATCCCTTCAAGTGAAGCAAGATCTGATTAGGTGAAGCTAATAAAGTGAATCTGTAAGTAAGTTTGAGCTTAAAGATAGGAAGGAAACCATGGAAAATGTGCTATTGCTATGAGATGGAAAGCAACTTTGGTTTGACAGTTGGCAAGGACCACTACCTTGCTTAAAGAAATAACGAGAGAGCATCTCTTTCTCTCCTCTCGGCACCCAAACGTGACAAACAAAGACCAAGTTGCTGTACGATTGATTTTCATTAAACAAAAGTGAAAAGCTTTTTTTCTTCTTCAAAAATTTGGTTTCCGGACAAATCGTTTGGATGCTTTCGTTGTCAACAATTTAAGATTAAACAATGTTTGCATGATGTGAATGGAATGCATAAACTATTATCGACTTAAAGTAGCTCTCATCAGAATCAGAATGGCCTTTGAATCTAACATGTGAATGCCTTTTTTCTCCTTTTTCAATGTCTTATTCAATGTTAGTGGGTGCAGACCAGAAAAATAGAACACTTCCCTACTATCGATATTATTAATATTTTTTGGATTATCATGAAAAAGAATTATTGTTTTCTGAACGAGATTGCTGGCTGGCTACTCTTGGCAGGTGCAACCTACTTTTTTTTTATATATATAAATCATTAATCTTGTTGATTTGCAATAAACTAATGGTTTGTTTCAATCGCACACGGTTTCTCGTCATGTGACATCGGCTGCTACTAGCTAGGATAGTAGCCGTAGGTTGGTTTCTCTTTTCTTGTATTGTGGTTCAGGTTCTATTTATTGTTTTAATTTTTATGGGTAAATAAAAAGTAAAGTCGTTGTCTTTTTCTTTATCTGGTTGTAAGTAATTAAGTTGTGCCTTAATTGACAGTGACCCTTTTCATTGAATGCCAAGGAGAGTCCCGGTGTAACCAGAAACTTGCAAGTCACTGGCAGCTTTCTTATGAATTGGAGGTTGATTGAATCAGTTGGTTGGGTTGGGTTGGTATCATAGAGCTTGTTTGTATGAAGTCCCCTGATTGCTTATGATCTTGGTGATAATCTTATGGCTCTTCAATTTGTTCTGCTTACGTTTACATTTGTCTGTTAGTTTTAAAATACTGGGTTCCTTGTGAATATTTTAATCTAAAGATTCGCCCTATAATGGTTTGAGAACGTGCTTTTTCCCCCATGTGATAACTGATTACTTAATCTGAACCTGAAAGCAGTGTCTAATCTTCCACCTGTTGACTGTCCTGTAGTTTTTATCTTACATTTTATGGACGTACTTGTGTCAGTTATCCTAAGATTAATTTAATGGGATATCTATGGTTTGAGATGCAATAAGAGTTGTAACCAATGAGGCATTCTTTTCCATGTTCTTTTGCTCTTGCAGTGACCATGAGGAACTCTGGAGGAGCTCAGTGGTCATTTTCATCCAACAAGGTCTCTGCTGTTCCCCAGTTCTTGTCATTTCAGACTGCTCCTGAAGACAAACCAAGGAAAAGTATTTTTGATCCGGTAGCCTCGTCAAGCTTCATGTCTATCTCAAATGCTGATACTTTCGACTCCAGCAACAAGAGGGGGTCTGCCTCCTTCTTACAGGTCCTCCACTGCAGCTCCCTGTTTGTGTGCTTCTTTTCCATTACCTGTTCTATTCTATTTGGTGGAGCAAAAAGAAAAGTAATGTGTTCTACTGCCAATCCATTTTAAGTTGCAGTCAACTTATATCAGAGCACTCGTACTCCGTTTTCTTCTGCAGAAAAATTGGATGGAAGCTGGAAGCCATCATCGCAAAATGGCACCTCGCCCAATGCAGCAGCACATTGATGCATTCCCTTTGGGATCCACCAAGGATATTACAAAATTCCCTCTGTCTAACGGACACCAAAATGCTCATCTTTCTCTGGGCACTCCTGTTCTGCAGTCCCATTTTGCTTCCACTACACATAGCGGTTTCAGAAACTCCATGACCATACAACCACTCGGTGGGGTTCCAGTTGCAACACCTATTCCTGTTGTTCCAGCTTCAACAAGCTCTGTAATTGGCACTACCGAGCCCCGGTTAGTAGATATGTAAAAATATTATTATGTATTACATGTATTGAAGGTGATAAAAGGCAGTGAAAGTAAATCTAAATACTTGTACTGTCGGATTGAATTTGCAGGAACACCCCCAAGTTCTCTGGCTCCTCTGCCCAGTTAACCATCTTTTATGCTGGTTCTGTTTGTGTTTATGATGAAGTCTCCCCTGAACAGGTATACCATTTAAGTGTCCTTTAATCCATGGGCGTGTTTATAGCTCTCAACATTGGATGTCTATTGTTCTAATGCTTGCTTTCATCAATGTACGCCAGGCACAGGCTGTTATGTCAATGGCTAGAAGAAGCGGGCCATCTCCTTCGCGTAATAATAAGCCAGCTTCAACTCCAGCTTCCCAAATGCAGCCTGCTGTCCAAACCTCCCTCGTTATGGACCATCATTTTGCAGCGAACAAATTCAGTAAAACACCTCCAGTGTCAAGCATGCCGAGTCCCATTTCTGTGAGCTCAAGTACGAGCAGTGAATCCGGAACAGCGAGATCTCTCGTGTCATCACCTAACATCCATTTCGAGCCATCTTCGATCCAAACTAGTTCCTGTGGAGGACCTGCTCCCATTGCAGTAGGGCTGCCTCAGCAGGTTCGTATACCCCAGGCCCGGAAAGCATCGTTGGCTCGGTTTTTGGAGAAGCGCAAGGAAAGGTATGTTGGCCAACAGTTTGCTTGCAGAGCATCAAATTTATAACCACCTTCTGATTATCATCGCTCTCAGGAGTCTGAACGACTGAAACCCTTTTCCTTTGTGTTTCAGGGTGTCCAGTGCATCGCCTTATTCGGCAAGTAAGAACTCTTCGGAAGGCAACGTCTGTGCCTGAGGATGAAAGAGCCTCAACCCCGCAACTTGAAAATCTCCAGATAAATTGGCCTGTCGAAATGAATGTTTTGTAATGGGCCAACAAATTTTCCTGCAAAGTTAAAAGTTTCATAGTTTCTTTTTTGTTAACGAGACTGTCAGTCAGGTATTCAGTTCTATTCTTTTCAGCCTATATATAGATATATATAGTTGGGTAAAGATTTAGATTCGTTGTCGTCGTTGTTATGATATTGTGAGTCCTTGTTCCACCTTACATATATATAGTAAGCTGATTACTTGGAATCGGAGTCTTCCCTTCTTCTGTACGGCCGTCCGGCTGACCAACCACCCGGCCAATGGACCTATAATATCCTGAACCTGCTCCCTTGTAATGTCTAAACTTCCATGATGTTGTAAAATTATCAACTGGTATTTATGTCCAATTCTCCTCAAAGCCTTGTTCGTGTGTTGTTTCCTTCCTTGAATGCTATAATGCAATGATTGTAATATCAAACTTTATGTTTTTGCCAAAGATATTCCGGAACGGAATAAGCCAGATACGAATAAGTACATGACCGAAATCGGTCAAATTAAAAAAAATAATGTGTGTTGGTCAACAAAGAGAGGACATATTTTGCCACGATATGGGCAGCTCTTGGTACCTTAACGACACGGACAATATCATGATTTATTTCCTTAAAAGGATCAAAATCATGAACTGAAAATTGAAATAGAGAAACAAACTCTTTAGATCTGGCGACACTTCAGCACAAAAGCATGTAAAAAGCCTCCACAGAATATACCGGTAATCCGAGCATGCACTGATATATGGGAGTAGTGCAGCGAACTCCTGCAAAACGAGCTCTTGAGTATCCCACAAGCCCATTGCTCCGCCAACTGAAGCTTTCGTAGCAGCATCAAAGTGAACTAAGATGAAATTGAGTGGAATAGCTGGAGGCACTGTTGGCCTGCTAGTTGCTCTAACCGAGAAGGAGAAGAAGACGAAGCCAATTGTGTCGTTGACCACCCTGCCACCTGTGAATCAAACTGCCTCTGCAGTGTCCGAAGAAGAAAGACAATGCCCGCATATTTCCAAATTCGCCAGTAAAGGAATACGAGTCGGAAAATTGCAGCCTTGTCAAGACCTGCCGCATCAAAGAAAATAAAGTGCCAACCTGCAGCAGCTACATGCAAGGACCACATTGAAGTTAAATTATACGATCAAAATCTGCCAATTGCCATAAACCCACAACTCTACCCTCTAAGAAACAATAGATCACGACCTTCCAAACTATCTATCATGCCAAGCGCAAGAAGCCTAGATCCTAAAAGCGCCTGCTTTGCAAGAAGTGAAAGTATATTGCTGTTTAAGTCACGAAAACCGAGTCCACCTTGAAGCTTGTGACAGCATAGGGCACGCCATGATCATGATTTCCACTTCATACCATCCCTCCGATCTTGTTGACCCCACCAGAACCTCTTACCAATGCAGTAGGAGTAACCAGTTGCGGCCGGCAATCGTAAGCATTCCACAAAAGACGCTACCTGTGAACATTCAGATGTAAACAAAAATCCAATAGCTAACACATCATTCTCATCTCTCAAGGCTGCCTAAAGTCATGAGATGAAAGAATCTGAGTATTCATTCGGTCCCACGACTTCTGTTCCCAATATATTTCCTCCTGTAAAAAGGCGATAGAAAGATCGTGTTCTAAAGTAATAGTGGCAAACCAATCCACCATGGCAGCCTCCGGGTAGCTATTGCATCTTGAAGCTCACGAATTTGTCGGGCAGCATTGGAGGTTCCTTTTGATGCCCACACATAGAGCTGATGCATCGAAGACTTTAGTACACTATGAAGAAGGAAATGGTAGGTACCGCTGATCTTCATTACAAGCAAGATGAACAAAGACGAAGAGCTGCATAGCTCCATAAACCTACCTGATCGATGAACACAATTCACAAATAGAAAAGATTCACACTGACGCCAAACAATACACACTACTTTAGTCACCGCCATGCCCCCTGACCGGACGTACTATAATAGAGTGCTGAAATCCTAAATGACGCAAGCAAACGATTCTTAACCTTGGTATCCTGACACTTGGTTTCACAAAGAAAAACAACCAAAGGCGACCTACTAAACGTAGCAGCTAGTAAACACTTCCTCGCCAGTGCATTGCTAAAGCCTCGACAATTCCAGCATAGGACGGACACTCATAACGAAGAGTAGGATTGGATGGAATGGATACAAGTAGCACCAACAAGATTCCACTGGCAGAGCAACAACGCTAGATGTTACTGTAATCACAGACCGTGTAAGGAATAAGGTTGTGAATGACGGAAAGAGCAGGCTCCAAGAAGGCCTTGAGTCAGAAGCTGGAGAGGACGACCAAATTTGACCCTCAATTTGTTGATTTGTTGATCAAGTAAGAATAGCAGCAGAATCGGTCAGCGAACAGTGGAAGTAGCCTGGGTTAAGTCGGCGGCAGAGCTGGATGGAGGGAGAAATTTTCATCGATGGCGGATTTTGATCACCGTGATTTCTGGTTCACGGTGCGGCGGGGATGTTGATCGGGTTAGCGGGGAAGATGAATATGTTGAGGCAAATAGTGGTGGTATTGAAGTTACAGTGAATAGGCAGGTGGGTGCATCGGAATTTGATCGAGTATTGAGGAAAACAAAACTCTAAGCGCAGGAGCGGGAGGACAAAGAGGTTTCAAGGAGAGAGGGGGGGAGTTCAATTCTAGGGTTTTGGCTGGTGGGATATATATTGGAATAAAAAACTGAAGGAGCATTAGGGCTAGCTATTTGATCCCGGACTGTTTGGTTTTATCCGAAATCGGACCGTATAATCCGGACTGAGACCGGACTGGGACCGGATAGCAAACAATGCAATCTCATATTCGGGCTTAGATTTGAGATAAAAAACTGGATAAAGACCGGATAAGAGACCTCCAGCACCTAAAATCAAGATAAAATTGGACCGGACCGGGTCAAGACCGGACTGTATCCAATCCAATCTTTGGTCCTTATATTCCCGAAAAGACCGGACTGGGACCGGATCAATTTGGTCCAATTTAACCGGACCGGACCGTATAGTCACCCCTAAGGAGCATGGAACAGAGAAATTTAGGAGGGGAAATTAGGAGCGAGCCAAATTTGGGAGGGTAATTAGGGTGCTAAGTTAGGGTTTGTGGGAAATTTGGGAGAGTTTCTCGAAGAAAAAGTGAGGGATAGTTTCTTAATAGCGAGTGTAATATCAAACTTATAAGTACTGATCTGACATGTATCAAAACAATGTCGTGATTTTGAGTCTACTCGATGAACGTCGTCGTGGTTGGTGGTATAGGAATATGATCGTTAATGAGTTTTTGAGGAACTTTTAGTTAGGCTTTCCTTCATGCTCAACAGCTCAAGGCTTGCATCAATGCTGCATTGCATCTCAGGAATGGTTCGAGGACGCCATATTTTGTTCGTGGCTTCTTGTTCTTTTTGAGTGGTTCAAACATAGCAGCATAACTTCATATGTTGATGTGGTGCTTCATAATTTGATGCTCGCAAGTGACTGTGACATGCGGTTTTAGCCATGGTTTAAGAATGCTAAACGTAAAGTGCGTGTTATGGTCTTACCTATCACGCAGGGACACTTTGTCTAAGCATGCCTAGGTGGTGGAAGCAAAAATAACAATTTGTACTATATGATTATACGATAAACGAAGTAACAATTTACAACATTTTCCTACCCCTGTTCAAATGAATAACAAGTTACTTAGCACGTAACTACATGAAAATTAGCTCCCAAAGTTCATAAATTCATAGTTTAATAGCTCATAAAGTTCTTTATTTGTTAAAACGGTAAGATAGCATGCCTACCCCAAAGGGGGTCTATTTTTTACACCCCCTTTCTTATTGATCCATTTTCCTTTCAAACATTTGGCAAATATTAATGAAACTTGTTTTTTTTTTAATCTTGTAATTTGCGAAAGTTCCTAATAATAATTATGTGATAGCCCCCCCTCTCTAACTTGGGAAAGTTTACTTTCAAAAAAAAAAAAAACTTGGGAAAGTTTCCAATAATAAATATGACAACACTCTCTCTCTCTCTCTCTCTCTCTCTCTCTCTGAAAAAACCCCTATTTCTCATTCATGTTCATCTTCCTCTTCCTTCTGCTGCCTCCATCACCACCATCCCTCCAACCTCTTCCTCCACGTCGCCACCACTATCCCACCACCATATTCATCTTTGTCATCTTCCTCTTCCTCCTACCGCCGTCATCACTTCACTCCGTCCACTTCTCACGCATCTGGCGTCGCTGCTACCATCCGCCGTCGTTGTGCCACCCTCCTCCCCCACGCTCCTCTCTCGGTGAGTTTTCAATTTCCACATCCGACTTTTCGATTTCCAGTTCTGATTTTTATACATCTGCTCTGATATTTGTACCACTACACTTAAACTGATATATGATATTTGTACCAGTGCACTGGTAGTGTTACCAATGCACTTGTAACACCCCGACCTTTGGGTTCAGGTTCGACCAAAATACATGAACGGTTGGGTTAACGGTTACGTACAAAGGGTTGCAAGCGTGGATTAGGAATAATAATAATAAATACTAAATTATTATTTGCAAAAAAAAAGTATATATAATCGGCCAAAAGGACCGAGCAGCCTCCTTCCCGGTCGCTCTCCCCAATTTCCCCATTCCCCAGCGAGAAACCCCTTTCCCTTTAGAAATCATAAAGAAGTGGAAGAGAAGGCGTTGCAACCGTCCCTCTCTTATCTTCTTTAGGCAAATCCATACCAATCCCCTCGACCCACCCATTCTTCCCCTGGAACGGAGCGAAGCTAGCGACAGCGGAAGGAAATCGTATTCCTCTTTTGCGTCGCACAAGAGCAGTGGGAATAAAAAGGAACTTGATCCCCGTTCCTTTCCCCTCTCATGTTAATCTCCATGACGCGGACACACGTTCATGTGTTTTGGTGCTTTGAGGTGATGTTGTGAGGATTTGAAACACCGATTGACGAGTAGATCGACGACCAAAGCTTTTGAATCTGAGCCTAGTCATGTTTTCAAGATTTTTTCCGAGGTAATTTGACGAAGGAGGGATTTTTTCGAATAAGGAATCGAGGAGTCGTTTTTTCGAGGTGAGTGTAGAGGGGATTAAATCCCAGTTGAGGTCTTTTAGTTTATGCATTTACTTTAAGTAATGTTAGTTAATTTTTATGATTTTGTGCGTTATGTGTTTGAAGCATCCCACCGCCTTCTGAAGGTGGAGGCACGTGATGTGCTATGTATGAATGAATGTATGTGTGCGTGTAATGTATGATTGATAGTAAGGTGTAGGCACGCTATGTCCTACGTAACGCAATAGTTGACCAGGCATGGACTGGATGGAGATACGTAACACAGTACCATTGCCATGAGGATAAAGACACCGTATAGTGATACATAACGTGGTGAACCCTAGTAATAAGTATATGAATTAAGATAGAAGTAGAGAACTTCTGTAAGCTATTAAGGATTAAAGTGTTAGGGATGAAAGCAAGAACGACTTTCAACTAAGGAAAGGAAACACTAATAATGTGTTAGTAAGGATGTGCCTAGGGCAAAGACCTTAGGAAGTAACGACGAGATTGACCCCTTCTCACTCACCAGGTCGAGGAAGGGTTTGCGGAGGCTGATTCCGAGAAGAGGAGAGGCGAGGCGAAACAGGATGGCGCTCCTGAGCGAACGAGATCGAGGGGAGCTCAACGAGAAGATAGAGCTATAGTTATTTTCATTATTTTTGTTCATGATTATGAGTTTATAAACGGGAGATTCGAGGTTTTGAGTTTGGGTGGTTTTGTTTACCATGGATATGGGTCGCGCCAACTATTTAGGGCATTTCATTTGAATGTCTTGTGGAAAATACTTGGATTATTTATTTTATTTAGATTTTTGGACACTAGTTCGGTCGGTTCCGGAGCCATGAGTATTTCGGGTTGTTTTAAACTATCAGGTCGTTTCATTTTGGTATAAGAGTCGACACTCCTCTGTTTCTTGGTCTCCAAGGAATACTGGAGTGATGATCTGAGTTTTTTAAGGTTTCTGTTTTTAAAGGAAAAAGAGAAGTCAGGTTAAGGGTTTGGCCAAACGAGTTAGGATTTATTTGAGGATTTTTTTTTTAGAATCTCCAGTATACTCTAATCATGATAAGGAAATAACTTTATGATGCCCCACAGGGTTATGACATCTCGGGAAGGAGAAAGAGCAGATTCCTAAGTGGATCGTGTAGTGAAAACCCTTTCATGAGTGAGAATAGGAGGTTCAAGGCAGCTCATAGCCTACGGAGGTGCGAGCTAATCATAATAAGGTTCTGGAAGATGCCAAGTATCTAGTACGTCGAAAGGCAGTGGCAAGAAGTTACAGCAAATGGCGGACATAATCTCGAGGAAAGAATGCAAGAAAGGTTCATTGAATTCATGAGAATCGAGCGTAGGGTTACGACCTAAGGAGTAGTGGAGGTTAGACTTTAAGCGACGCTAGGGGTAGATAAGCGAAGTGAAGGAGGAATTAGGTAGGTCTTAAGGAGCTTGGCAAGTCTTCAAAGGATCAATATGTCAAGGCTAGGAGGAGGCACATTCATGTACATGCATCGATTGAGGGATCTCTTAGGGATATAGTACACCTCTAAGAAGAGGGATCGATGACATGGGGAAGTAGGTCGACGATAAGTCTTGGAAAAGAAGTAGACCACCATCGAGATAAACGATGTAAGGAATGAGGTTGGAGCAAGCGCACTATGTAACCAATAAATGCGAGCTAGAGGCGGCGCCAACTAAGCCGAGGTATGGGGAGGGGTTCGAGAGACCCTACAAATTACAATAGTCACGAGAGGTCAAAAATCCAAAGGGCACTAGGAGCATCGTCGGACCAAGGTAGGTTAAGAGTTTGAACCTCGAAACTTGTCTTAGAAAAGTCAACAAGCCAACCGAGGACAAACAAGAAAGTAGAACGATCGAGAGAGGTTTCAATAAATGTCAGAGAAATCATGTAGCACCTTCGAGGAGGAATCTCAATGAACATGATAAGGAGGACTTACGTAGCATACTAAGAGAAATTGGGAAGGTAAGAGAAAGTTCAATGTGAGTCCAGGGAGTCCACTGGGCAGGTCTAAAGAAGCCATTTCAAGGTCATCGCGCAGAAAAGACATTAGTAATCTTGGGAAGAGTATGAAGAGTGAAAGGACATGTAAGTCCCTAGACAAGGAGTTGTAATGAGGTTAAATAAATCGAGATCAAGAAATTGCAAAAAAAAAAAAAAAGAGAATAAGATAAGGAAAGCATTCCCAATCAAGAGGAACATGGTAAGGCGCTTTCTCCAAGATGGCCCACTCGGAGTAGGTGCATCATGGTAGGATGTCATCATGAGAAGGAGACTAGTTAAGGATAGATCGGCTACAAGGTATAAGCCACTGTGAACCTGAACTAAGTGATTAAGGTCATGACCAAGCATCGACATGAGTAAAAGATCGTAACGACGTAGGTTGGAGTCTACCAAAGCAAACTTATAGGGTATGCTTCAATCCTATGCATCAATAATCAGATACTCCAGTGCTTTTAATGATTTCTGCTAGTATGTAACCTCGACAACGGATAGTGACAATAAGGAAGGGAAACACCGTGAAATAATGATACGCCGGGTGATGGTTATTGACAGAGCAACGAATGCAAGTCGGTGGCCAAGCCATTACCAATCAACTACAGGAAGTTGTAGAGATGGAGAAGTAGTGGGAGCGTCATGAGAGGAGAATAAATTTTCTATTTAAAGTCATAAAAGGGGCGAGTGATATTTGGTGGACAACCCAGGTCTAAGGAATGATATCTGACTTAGTCCAATTTTTGGAAGAGCAAAAGTATGAGAGCTCGACTCTAAAGTAGTAATAAGGAGACACTATGTTAAGCATCATGAGTGGAAAATTACGCCATGGAAATTTGGTGAAGCTTCAGAAAGTCCTTTGGTGGTGACGCCCAAGGTGGGGAAAAATTGGAGGAAGGTATCGAGGGTAAGACCCCCACAGGACAAAGAAAAAGTGTGATGTTGATTAGAGGTTTAGAGCTTAGGGTAATTTGCTAATTAGTTGTTATCATATGTTATATCATCATATTACACTAGTTCTACAAATTAAAATTCAAAATCCGACACCTTAAGACTAGTTTTTGAGTTAGGTGCATTGAACGCACTCAATTTTGTGAGTGCACCGAAGTAGTCATCATATATATATATATATATGGCAAAGGCTAGCGTACACCTGCCGTACGCTATACGCATGTGTTCACACCTAAAAATTCATTTTTAATTAAATTAACTATTAATGATAATTAAACTTACAATTATAGCCAATAATTATTTGTGTACGTTTCAGTACCCAAACAATTTTTACCACTAGTTATGCTTTAATCAATCATTTAAGTAATCATTATACAAATTACCGTACCCTTTTTCTTCAAATCGTACCTTTGACTTTGAGACATCCAGTTTTAAGTCCATAACGAAAAGTTAAATTGCTATTTCTAGCACTCCCTCCCTTGCAATCCAATAGGCCCAATTCTAGAAACCTGGTGTTCATCAATGGGATAACCATGTCAATCATTTTCAAGGAACAGATATTGGAACTCAGAATCAGCCTTCTCCTTTTTGTATCCACAAGGTGAGAATATAAAGTTGGATGAACAAATCTAGTCCATGTCGTGTGCGAATAGATGCCATATATGGATCAGCTTGTTCGCCCCTTCCTCCAGCGTCTTTGAAATAGTAAAGAGCGTCAGTTTGTTGGGAACTATGACTAATTTCAGCCCCACAACAACACAAACACACAATTCCAAAGCTTAATCGGTCTATCACCTCTCTAATCGTCCAGAAAACCTCTTCCCCTATGGCCTTTCTCTTCAGAATCCTGCTGGGAGCATCCATCAATAAGCATCAATCACATTATCGGCGATAAGGTCGTACTTTGTAACCAGAGTCCCGCACCCGGCAAAGTGACCGCCATCTCCCACAGTGGGGCAGTGCCTCGCCGGGAACGCAAGGTGGGTGCTCTGTTTCTCAATCGCACATTAAGGCTCTTCAAGATGGCACCTCTTTGAACTCACGCTGTCTTCATCACGTCGACTTGCAATTCGTTGAGATTGAATAGATAGAAGACAGTGTAAGGTTTTTCAAAGCAGTACGAAATGTTGGCGTCATCGTGTCCGCAACTCTGATATGAAGCCTCTGCTCCTTGTTGTCGAGTAGGGTGTATTAGATTTGGACCATTTGAGTCTCGATGGCAGGATTCAAATTGATGATTGGGTTGGAATTGGAGTTTCGACAGCGAAGAAACTAGGTCATGAAAAGGGGGCACTGGCGCTTTGAAACAAAGACTAAAATGTTATGGCCCAAGGAAACAAATGTCTTTTGTAATTCAATTGGATGTTTACATGATTGAATTAAGCATAACGATGGGAAATTTATTTGCAACTAAATCGTATAAGAAATTAAATTAATACTGTAGTAGTAATTATAATTTGTATCAATTATTTATTTAATTATAATAAATTAAAAATTTTAATAGGTGTGAACACAAGCGTACAACGTACGCCTGGTGTACGCTAGCCTGGCCTATATATATATATATATAGAAACCTTAAGGACTTCATCGAGGGCAAGGAATACCAAGTAGAATGAATGCGAATAAAGAAGTAAGGGATGTTATAGATTTGGAGATCATACAAAGATGGCCTGAGGAAGGTTTGGATACGTCTAAAAGGGGGAAGGGTGACCACCTCTAGGTTGGGAATTCTTACATGAGGAATAGTTTTCGAGGGTTGGAAGTCTACCAACGTGTCATATCTAGGTCGTTATGACTAGGAAGTTTCAAGGAAGCTTGGGCCTTACCTTAAACCCCCGAGCTGGGGAGGATAAAAAAGAATCTAGGACAAATAAACTCGTCAAGACATTTGGAGTTACTACGGGTAAGCATAGTGGGAAATTGGCAAGAAGTAAAGTTGGAGGATGTATAAACATTGAGGGGATGAAAGCTTCTTTGTTATTGATGACGTAGGGGAGGAAGTGGTTGAACTCGTGTATGGCCATAGAGGTGGCTAGAGTGGACACCGTGATAAAATATACAAGTCTTATTAAACCAACCAATGAGTTATGGCCAACAGTCTAAAATGATCGTACGAGAAATTGCAGCTAAGGTGTAGGAGTGGCAAGATTGGTAGTATGTGAACTTCTGGTCTGAGCGAATATAAGGAAGGGCTATGTACGGCACCCATGAGTGAACAAGTAAGTCCAAAGGGGATATCATGATCCTTGGAAGAAGCATAAGGTTAATCGCAAGTTAGGGGTACTATACGAGTGATGCCTCTATTTTGTACGGGAAGTAAAAGCAGTAGTTTGAAGTTTCAACGCTAAGCTCTCTGTGACGAGGCGGCTACCATTAGGTTGATGAGTATGGAGTAAGGTGGAGTACTAAAGAAGGTAAGTAAGAGAGTCAAAGTTAGGATGTACAAGGACCTAGAGACCTACGGGGCCAACCATGGACAAGAGTTACATGAGTTTTACGACCTTAGAAGGAGACACACAAGCTGCTACCAGTAACGTTGGGGTTCGAAGTCCATAACCGATGTCAAGGGGAAAGAAGCATCAACCAGACCGAGTATTAGCGAGCAAGTCGAACTCTCACATGGACATTTATGTCATGGAGTTCAAGGAGATGCATCATCAATCATGCTGAGAAAAACATCATAAAATTCTTAGAGAATGATAACTAGAGATTTTTAGGCAACTAGTTGATCATATGACGATCCGAGGAGCCATTACAACATTGAAGTTGCCATCGAATGAGCATTCAATAAATCACATTGATCAAGTACGGTAGAAAAGGTTAGAGGCAAGGGGATATTTAAGGGGGGTATGGAAATTACCAACCCAGATATTTGATACAAGTATAAAGAGGCAAGAAATGTTTGAATTACCATTCTACCAGATGTGCACATTATTGGAGGAAAGGGATTATGGATCATGTCGTACAAGTTAAATGAGGTACAATTCCTTTTAAAATAATTTTTACAAGAGAGGCTTGGGGTCATCACAAGGAACAAATTTCGAGGGCGAATTTTTTATAAGTGGGGAGGAAATGTGATATCTCGATTTTGGATTTAGGTTCAACAACAACTACCAGGTGAATTGGATCAACATGTCCAGCCAAATCGGTATTATGTTTCATCACTTTTGGGTCAAGTTGTGAAATAAAAAGGGCAGTGAGTCACTCAAGCTAACACGAGTTCTACCAGCTAAGGAAATATAAATGATCAAAGTTACCAACGAAATTGTTATGGTAACAGTAAATGATCGTGGGAAGGAAGTATACGAAGGGTGTTGAAAAAAGGATGAGTTTCGAGAAAATTTTCGGGGAAGAAATTTTTATAAGGGTGGAGGAAATGTGACACCCCGACCTTTGGGTTCAGGTTCGACCAAAATACATGAACGATTGGGTTAACGGTTACATAAAAAGTTGCAACCGCGGATTAGGAATAATAATAATAACTACTATATTATTATTATTATTTAAAAAGTATATATAATCGGTCAAAAGGGCCGAGCGGCCTCCTTCTCAATCATTTTCCCTAATTTCCCCATTCCCCAGCGAGAAACCCCTTCCCCTTTAGAAATAATAAAGAAGTGGAAGAGAAGGCGTTGCAGCTGTCCCCTAGAACAGAGCAACGCTAGCTTGCGGCAGCGGAAGGAAATCATATTCCTCTTTTGCGTCGCACAAGAGTAGCGAGAATAAAAAGGAACCTGGTCCCCGTTCCTTTCCCCTCTCACGCCAATCTCCATGACGCGGACACACTTTCAGGTGTTTTGGTGCTTTGCGGTGATGTTGCGAGGATTTGAAACATCGATTGACGCGGAGATTGATGCCCAAATCTTTTGAATCTGAGCCTAGTCATGTTCTAGAGGTTTTTCCGTGGTAATTCGACGAAGGAGGGATTTCTTCGAATAAGGAATCGAGGAGTCGTCTTTTTGAGGTGAGTGTAAATGAGGTAAAATCACGGCCGAGGTCTTTTAGTTTATACATTTACTTTAAGTAATGATAGTTAATTTTTATGATTTTGCGCACTATGTGTTTGAGGCATCCCACCGCCTTCTGAAGGTGGAGGCACGCGATGTGCTATGTATGAATGAATGTATGTGTGTGTGTAATGTATGGTTGATAGTAAGGGAACCCCTGGACGGTTAGGCCACTACTGGACGCGGTAGATGGTTGGGTCACTACTGGACGACGATACGTAACGCAGTAGTTGACCGGGCATGGTCTGGATGACGATACGTAACATAGTACCATTGCCGTGAAGATAGGGGCACCGAACGGCGAGACGTAACGCGTCAACCCTAGTAATAAGTATATGAATTAAGATAAAAGTAGAGAACTTCTATAAGATATTAAGGACTAAAATATTAGGGATGAAAGCGAGAACGACTTTCATTTAAGGAAAGGAAACACTAATAATGTGTTAGTAAGGATGTGCCTAGGGCAAAGACCTTAGGAAGTAACGATGAGACTGACCCCTTCTCACTCACCAGGTTGGGGAAGGGTTAGCGGAGGTGGATTCCGAGAAGAGGCGAGGCTAAGTAGGATGCCGCTTCTGAGCGGACGAGATCGAGGGGGAGCTTAGTGAGAAGATAGAGCTATAGTTATTTTCATTATTTTTGTTCATGATTATGAGTTTATAAACTGGAGATTCGAGGTTTTGAGTTTGGGTGGTTTTGTTTACCATGGATATGGGTCGCGCCAACTATTTAGGGCATTTCATTTGAATATCTTGTGGAAAATACTTGGATTATTTATTTTATTGAGATTTTGTACACTATTTCGGTCGGCTCTAGAGCCGTGAGTATTTCGTGTTGTTTAAAAATATTAGTTCGTTTCAGCACTGATAGCGCTACCAGTACAGTGGTATCGCTACAAGTGCACTGGTACAAATCTCATATCTGAGGTTAATTGCAGTGGTACAACGTATCAGTGCAGTGGTATATTTTTTTTAATGTAATGGTACATTTTTACAGGTGACCGGAGGGAGTTTACCGGGTAGATTTTCACCGGAGAATTGTGGTTGTCGGAGGAAGCCTGGTGGTAGGAGGCTGCTTGAAAAGGAAGGATCAGAAATAGGGAGAGAGAATTCTATTTTGTGTAGGTTTAGATTTAAAAAAGTAAATAATTAATATGGTGTATTTAATTCTTAATTTGTATTTAACAAAAGTATTAAATTCTAAAAGTTGCATTTAATAACAGGTGGGTTGTCATTTTTCCAATCGTTAAGGGGGTTAGCAAGCTAACCGATCTCATTAAAACATTGATATAGCTCCAACGAATACAATAATTATGCGTAGGCGACTTGTATGTGTCGCCTCACTCCGCGAACTACCAAGTGGCGCATAACTCTATCAGTGTATTCTTGACACCTAATACCTCGTAAAATCCTTAAACAAAATGTGTTAAAGCTACTTAACATCTACACAGACTAAAACATAAGTTTAAACATGCTTTTTTTTCAAAGCATACTTTGCCCTCTTCTTTCCGCCTTGGACTGCTCCTCACCTTGTTGAAATATAGCAAGTCAGAATTGACTCCTCCCTTGTCCAAGACCGTTGTTGATTTGAAGTTGTCTAGATTTACAAAAGGAAAGCGCTTAATCTAATGAATCAAAGGGGTTACCCCATTTGCTTCCAACGGTTAGTCTCTGCTCGCTATATATATTCATAGGAGGTTGTTGATTGAGGGTAAGTTTGTGGGAAAGAAGCTTTGTGGTATAGGACTAAGCTTTACAAAAGGAGTGACAAGTATAGAGGTAGAGGATCTATCTTGTTGTGGCTGAAACAAATCAGGTTGTGATCTGGGTTGTTCACTGTTTCCCATCTTGTTCTTTTTCATTCGTAGTATAGATTGTAATTGTGTTAATCGAGTAAAAAAATCAACAAAGGGTCTCCAGACTGTATTCTGGGACGTGGAAGTACACTATTGCACTTGGGCGAACCACGTTAAAAAGGTCTTGTATTTGCTGCTTTTTGCACTTTTATTTCTGCTCTATTTCTGCTCTGTTTTTCCTTCTCTGTCGATCTACTACTGGATTGGAAATTCTTCTGCTTTAAGCTAAGAAGTGAGACTGGACTAAAAGCCCTGTCTAATTCTTTTGCCTTCAGTCTCAACCAAGGTTCAATAAGGCGCTAGGCGTAATGCGAGCGTTGACGCTTTGCCTAGCGCCTAACTCGGTTAGGCGTTGAATAAGCATGCTTAGGCGTTGGAAGAAAAATAGTTATTCGCACTACATGATTAATGAAATAATAATCTTCAACACTTTCTCACTTTAGTTAAAATTATTAATAACTTTCTCAATACTTAATGACAAGAACATAGCTCACGAATTCATAGAATCATAGCTCAATAGTTGACAAAAGTTCTTGAGCTATTAAAAATATTGATATAGAAAATTGATTTCATAATTGACGTTAATTTTCTCCTTTATTATTGACTTCCTACTTTCATCTACCAATATTCAGGACAGATTTATATGTCGATTTACTCCATTGACGTGTTTCAGTATTTAATTAGCTAGGCACGAAACCGCTAAACAAAACGTTTTGCTATTACCTTACGACCAGACGTGCCGAAGCGTATGCCTTTTTAACCATCGACTCTCAGCAGATCGTTGGCATTTTATTTGCTTGGGTCTGTTTAATTCTTAGGCCCACTCTCTTTGCTCCTTGGCTGACTGATATAGCGAACAGAAGAAAGCCTTTTAGCTTTTCTCTTCTCGATTCAATTTGCTGTATCATCAATTCATCAGTCTTCCCTTTTCACACCTCTGTTATTTTCGTTGTTTATTGTTCTGGGAAACAGTAGCCCACTACTGTCCACGTGTGTTCATTGCATGTCCTCCAGAACTTGAGTCATTATCAACATCTGTCCTCTTCCCCTTTTCTTTTGTGGTATGGTAACATCTCTTTCTCTCCCGTCAAACCCGTTCACTTAACTTAACCTCTTCCAAATTCCATCCAACCCATCTCTCTCTCTCTAGCAGTCACATAGTTAAGCCATGGCTAGCAGCGCCGGCAGCTACCCGAGGCCCAACTACACCCCATCTCCCGCAGCCTTCCTCCACAGAGTACAGGGCTGGATCCGCCGCTTCGCTCTGCCCACCAACGCCGCCCCGTCGTCGCAGCTCCTCGGCCTCCTCACCCTCCTCATCACCGGCTCCATCCTCCTCTTGCTCACTGGCGTCACCGTCACGGTCGCCTTCCTCACCCTCATCTTCCTCGCCCCGCTCCTCATCGTCACCAGCCCGCTGTGGGTCCCGCTCGCGGCGTTCGCCTTCGTCCTCACCGCGGGGTTCGTCGCGCTGGTCGCAACGGCGGGCGGGCTGGCGTGGGGGTACAGGTACTACAGGGGCATGCACCCGGTCGGGTCGGACCGGGTGGATTATGCTCGGAGCCGGATATATGATACGGCGGCACATGTCAAGGATTATGCGAGGGAGTACGGCGGGTACTTGCAGAGCAGGGTGAAGGATGCTGCTCCTGGTGCTTGATTGAACGGACTGTGCGATTCGGGGGGTTTTGGATTTTGATTTGTGATTTTAGGGGCCGGTTCGACCGACGTTGGCGGGTTGGTTGCTAGAATGGTGTCGGGTCGGGTCACTTGGTTTTTCACTAACCTTTTTATTTTATTTTATCAATGTTGCAGTTGTCCTGGTAAATTTGTGGAGAGTTTTTGTATCCCTTCCATGATCTGTTTTCATTTCTCTTATTTTTCTTTTCTATAAGAAAAGTTTGTGCTTTACTCTGTTGCTTTCTAAGCATTGGGTCGGAGGTCGGACTGACATTGTTGGTCATGTGATCCGATCTGATCTGATCCATAAGATAATGTAGTCGAAAGCCGATTTAGATGCATAGGTTTGACTTTTGAGTGAGCTTATGCATCAAAACTAGGGATGCATAGGTTTGAGTGAGCTTAGGCTCGCTGTTCGCGAGCGGTTCGGTGTTCGACTTGAGGAAAGTTCGTTCGAAATTCGGCTCGTTAATAAATGAGCCGAACATAAGCTAAACTTTCTTCAACTCGTGAAGCTCGCGAGCTAGCTCGACTTGGTGGCTTGTTGAGCTAAACTTGTGAGTTGGCTCGTTTAGAGCTCATGATATGTCTCAACATGTGGTTAGAGAGCCAACTCGATTATCGACTTATGGATTATCGACTTATGGACGAATCAATTTATATCTTATGTTTTTAATTCATATGGTTGTTAAATTATATATTTCATCATATATAAAGTTTAAAACGTTGAGTATGTGAGCAAATATATCTTAGTTTTTACTTTAAAAAAATATGCATCATAAATTGCTTCGTTACTATGAAATAACATGATTTGGAGTAGTTAAAATTTATGGGTTAATTACATGGTTGGTCACTGAGATTATAAAAAAGATTACAAAAATATTTAAATTCATTGGTAGTACTTCAGTTTACTGAAACCGTTCACGTTTGGTTACTCTCCATCAATTTTTGTTGATATGGCAGTCAACTCTCAAAGTTGACCGTTAATTTAATGACGTGGCAATTAAGAAATTATTAAAAATAAAAAATATAAATTTTTATATTTTCCACCTCGTTAATTTAATGACGTGGCAATTAAGAAATTATTAAAAATAAAAAATATAAATTTTTATATTTTCCACCTCATCATTACTTACGCTAAAAATAAAAATAATAAAAAAATCTAATCTCTTTTCTAGATCTCAAAACCATCTTTTCTCAAGTTCTTCATTGTTCTTTCAATTTTTATTTTTTAAGCAAACTGCTAGAGCTACTAATTTGAGGGCTCTGATCCTCTCCTTAATTTTTCCTTTTTGATTAAGAGTACAATTAACAGGTCAGAAAGAATTCATTTTGGGAAGTCGGAGAACATGGGGGGTTTAGATCAGGGTTGGGCGGATGAGTCAGTGAAGAAATCGTCGTCACCAGAAGCGCAAGAATCCAACCGCCGTAGCACCCTTCTCCAGATCGAATCGACGGCGGCCTCAAGCTTTCCTCCCGACCGCTTTTCTCCTCCCCGCCGCTGCGCTCACTACACCGCACAAGACTTCTCCAGATTGAATCGACGGCGACTCTAGCTCTCCTCCCGGCCGCTCCTCCTCTCCGAGATCAAAGGTATCCCTGGTCGTCACAAGTCACACCAGCCTCTCCGCCTAGCTACTCCCTGGCTCTCTTCCTTGCGACCACTCCTCGTATCTCTTCCCGCCTCTCTTCCTCGCGACCACTTCTCGTCTCTCTTCCTCCCCTGAAGAAACTAGAAGCGCAAGAACTCCCCTAAAGAATAATTGATGAATGACGTTGTCGAATGATATATTTCTCTGGTTCTTCATCTTCTTCCCTTTCTTCTGCACATCACAGATCTATTATATTTCACTGTTTCTCCATCTTAATACCTTTCTTCTTTGCAGCCGGAGAGGGAGAAAGAGAGAGCGTTGTCGGAGAGAGGTGAGAGGCGGCAGCCGGAGATGCGGTCGCTGAAACACTTACCCAGGCTCTGCGTCAAAGAGGGGTTGAGAGAAGAAGATGGAGAGATGGGATCTGACTTCAGAGTTGTTATTTTTATTTTCTATTAAAATGCTTAATAATAATATGATGTGGCAGGTTTAATGACATGGCGGGTTGGATTTTATGACGTGGCGGGTTAAAATGAGGTGAATCGGCATTTCTGTTAGCCATTTCAGAAATAACTGAGGGTGTTAACGGAATTAAATATTTTTACTGACCAAACATGAACGTTTTTAGTAATCATAGTAACCAAATTTGCAATTACCCCTAAAATTTATTAACCAAATGATATATGATACCAACAAAGTATAATATGATATTAGCTAACAAAATAAACCATGTGTATAATGATATACAAAATGAAGTACCAAATAAAAGTTAAGATTTTAGTAAGCAAGCTAGCTCGAGTCGAGCTCAAGTTATGGTAAAACTCGACTCAGCTCGGCTCATTTGTAGCCCTAATCAAAACAAGGCAGTGTGGAACCCAAAGCAGGAGGTACGAACGATAAATTGGTAATTATTCAAGTTCAATTAAACCCATTGAGAATGAGTAGCAGAGTAGGTAGAGTATAAGTATATTATGGGTATGAGATACACAAATTTTTAACTACACACAATATCAAATGTAAGATACACAATTTTTAAGTACTAAAATGCTTCTTTTTTTATTTTTAGGATGTATATACAAGAAAATTAAATTTAGATATTAAATCAGTAAATCTAATAGATCTATTAAGTTTAGATGTCGAAGACTATGATACAAATTTAAATTTATGAATTAAAGAAAAAACCAACTCAATTCAAATAAATGAGCACGTGTAGGCTGAGGCAGCATTTCAAACCATCCATGTTCTTTTTTCATAACTTAAATATATAAATATTTATTAAAAATAAATTATATTCACATAATTCATTCATAGATTAAAAATAATCGACTATATAACTATTTATTAAAAATTAATTATATTCACATAATTCATTCATAGATTAAAAATAATCGACTGTACAATAATGTTCATAAACAATCATGAAGGGATATTTCATATTGTGAAAGAAATGCAAAATAATCGACTATAAATAAGTCTTTTCAATGTCCTTTTTCATAACTTATGGGTGTTTGCTTGTTGGATTTGAAAAATGAGGGTTTTGGGCTTTTGGCCAATAAAAATCTTGGGATTTATGTTGGATTTATTGGATAATGGATTTGAAGAGTCTAATGTTTGCATGATAGATTTGATGATGGATTTGTTAAATAAATAACTAACCATCAAGAATTTGCAAACCCAAATCAATATGTGGGATTTACAAGTCCGTGGGGTCCACGGATTTGGTTCCAAAATAAAGACCAAATCCGTGGACCTCACGGATTTAGCACCCTTCAACAAACAATGGACTTATGTTAAATCCATCAAACTTGGGATTTGGGTACCAATTCCATGACCCAGATCCAACAAGCAAACGACCCCTTAAATATATAACCATTTAATAAAAATTAATTATATACACATAATTTATTCATAGATTAAAAATAATAAACTATCCCGGGACCATAAGGCCCAAAGGGCCTGTCTCCACCTATGTTTATAATCTGCATATGACTATGGTATAAACCCAAAATTTTGGATTAAAGAAAATCCAAGTTTTATATCCTAATTAATTGGGTTGGATAAGGAAATATTGATAGATCTCGGCAGGCCATTCTTATTGTTAATTGATTTGGGTTATTATAAATTTGGTGGGGTGGGGATAGAGTTGTCAAAATTGAACCCGACCCGACTAACCCGCCCAACCCACCCAACTCATAACCCGTTCGTAACCCAATTTGACAAAAAGTCAACCATCCGAAGCCTGCCCGTAACCCGAAACCAATTGACCCGTAATTCGATCAACCCATAACTCGATGAACTCGTTATCTGATCCAACCCATAACCCGATCCATCTATAACCCGAATGATTCATAACCCAAATAACCCATAATCGAACTGAACCCAACTCAAATAACCCGAATAACACCATTTGACCCAATGCTTGTACAAAAATTCAATTTATACATTATTATATTTTTAAATTTACCAAGAAAAAACTGTTGTTCTCATAATAATTGAAAATTATTTGTAGAATTGATGGTATAAATTGAGGTTTTTTCTTAAATATTTAATTTTTAAAATAATAATATTTGAAATATATTTTCATTCATTTTTTATTTTATGAAATTCATAGGATAAATTTTTGAAGATAATAGGAAGAGTTAGACACAAATTTGTATCTCCGCCACCCATAACTAAATTAAAATAACCAACCCTTGAAAATCAATGAAATCAAGGATCCCTATCAAGATATATAAGTGGATAGTTTACCCTTGTTACTTCATTCTCAACTTTTTACTGATTTTTATTTATTTTTTATAAATTAATAAATCGACGATTCGAACTAGATGATGATATCATATTTGAGCGAACCGTTGTTCGGCCCATGAATTTTAGGATGAGATGTTACCGTGAATATATAAAAAATTGTGAAGATATATAAGTGGTTGACTCGGAATGATGTTCATAAGTCTTCGTGGAAATGAAGAGACACATATCTAGTTCATACTATATTTAATTAAAACGATTCAATTCGAGATGTATAAGCATATAGTCTACCTTTTTTACTTCATCTCAAATTTTTACTGATTCAATTTTTTTATAAATTAATAAAATAAGCGAAGTTACAATCTCTCACCATAAACAAAAAAAATTATAACCAACAACAAAGCTTTTATATACACTATTTAATTTATATTTAGTTCTATACTAACATAATGGATATTTAATTTGTATGTGTAAAATATTATCATATTATCATTTTCTTAAATTTTGTATCATTACCTTTATATTCATATATTGATAGTTTGTAAAACATTATTTTTTGTCAAGAAGTAAATGATCCAATGGGGTGACCCGAAAAACCCATAATCCGACCTGACCGAACCCGAATTAACCCGCAATCTAATAAACCCGTAATTTGATGCACCCATAACCCGACCCGATCCGTAACCCAATTGACCAGTGACCTAATTAACTCGTAACCCAATAGATCTGCAACCCAATTAAACCCGATCCAAATTGAAACCGACCCGATTGAACTCGCAACTCGATTGATCCCAACCTGATTAGATCCAATCCGAACCCGACCCAACCTATCCAATTGACACCTCTAGGCGTGGGGAACAGATAAGGTCGGTAACTCTATGATCAGTAACCATGAGTAACTTGTCCACATCAGCATGACATTAGTATCCTCTCTCTCCTGGAAAGTTTTTTTTATCTTTTTTTTATTTAATCTTTAACGGACGATTTCTCTCTCGTTTTAAGTCGAAATTTAATTTTTTTTACACAGATAATTCAGATTAAATGTGCTCTTTAAAATGATATCCACTTTGATATATTTTTAGTACAAAAAAATTGAATAATTTTTTACCAGTCATTACCATATGGTATGCTTCTATTTAATACCATATGGTAAGAAAGCGTATCATGATGGTATGAACATACCAATATAGTAAGAAGGTTGAATACATGATAGTAGGAGTATACTAACTATCATTTACGACTTTCATCATTGTTTACTACAAGTTACCACTCACATACCATAGTGGTAAAGTATGGTAATTTTTTATCAAGTATTTTTTTCACCCAGAAATTTATAGATCCAATAGATCATAATGAACTCGTTCGTTCTGAGCAAACGTTTTCAAAAACGACTTAAAAACGAAGAAGTTACCATATGGTATGTAGTTGGTAAAAAAAAAGTTTCGTTAAATATATTGAAAATTGATCTCATTTTGTAGAGCACAACGAATTCGTTCCATCTGTGCAAAAAATTTTGAAATCCGAGTTAGAACGAAGAAGATAAGAGTCGATTAAGAAAACTAGGGAAAATAAAATGTCTTTCATTGACAACCCTTAGATCTGAATTTTCTGGACCCACTAAGATCTAAAGGTCCAGATTTAGTTACTCATAGGTCAGTAACTAATGGTTACTGATTGGTTACTGACTCTATCCTAAGAGGTGGGGGTGGGGGAATTTGTTTGTTGAATTTAATGAGTTGTGGTGGGGAACGGATCAGGTCAGTAACATTATGGTGAGTAACCATGAGTAACCAGCTCACATCAGCATGACATCAGCATCCTCTCTCTCCTGGAAAGCCTTTAATTTTCCCCTCTTTAATCTTTGACGGACGATTTCTCGCTCATTTTAAGTCGAAATTTAATTTTTTTTTTTTTGCACAGTTAGATCAGATTAATTGTGCTCTTCAAAATGATATCCACTTTAATATATTTTTCGAACAAAAAAAATTGAGCCATTTTTTACCAGTCTATACCATATGGTATTGACTGGTATTGAAATAAAAGCATACCTATGGTTTGAAAAACGTACCATGGTGGTATGAACAAACCAAGACTGTAGGATGGTTGAATACATGATAGTAGAAGTATATTAATTGTCATTTACGACTTTTAACATTGTATACCACACAATACCACCCCGTACCAGGGTGGTATTGTATGGTTGTGTGGTATTTTTTGGTCCTGTAATTTGTTCACCCAAAAATTTTTAGATCCAATAGATCATGATGAACTCGTCCCTTCTGTGCAAACATTTATCAAAAATGAATTAAAAACGAAGAAGATACCATACAATACCACCCCGTACCAGGGTGGTATTGTATGATATTGTGTGGTATTTTTTGGTCGTGTAATTTGTTCACCCAAAAATTTGTAGATCCAATAGATCATGATGAACTCGTCCCTTCTGTGCAAACTTTTTCAAAAACGAATTAAAAACGAAGAAGATACCATATGGTATGCAGTTGGTACCAAGAGGCCAGAATTTTTTTTTTCTAAAAAAATATTGAAAATTGTTCTCATTTGGTAGAGCACGATGAACTCATTCCATCTGTGCAAAAAAAAAATTAAAATCCGAGTTAAAACGAAAAAGATATGAGCCGATTAAGAAAGCTAGGAAACATAAAAATGGTCCTTAATTTTCCATCCTTAGATCTGAATTTTCTATATGAAGGGTCCGAATTTGGTTATTGATGGATGCATAACCCATGGTTATGCACACTATCTTGAGCCGTTGTGGTGAATTCTATTTATGGGTAAGAAACACGATTACTAATTGTTTTTATTTAACAATTTTTGCTAATTAATTTAGAGGAATATGGTACTCTAAAATTTGCAAGCACTGAACTTGATTCCAAATCTCTCACCGTAGTTCATGAAGCAAGTGACGCTTCAGTTTACTAATTCTGGTAGTGATCAGGTGATATAAGGCACCGAGTAGGCTGAGAAGAGAATTATTGTTGTTATGCCCGACTTTTAGAAGTGCTTTTCGGTTTTAAAAGTTGAAGTAGGATCAAACACCTCTAAAAGTTTGGCTTTTGAAAAGCCGAAAAACGCTTTTATATAACATAAAAGCAGAAGATCCGATTTGGAGCTTCTGCGAAAAGCTGTTTTGAAAATACAAGATTATCCTTACCATATTTTAATTTTATTTCAGAAAATATAATTTTATTTCATTTATATCATTTTAAGAATAAAATAAATTTTAAATCATATTATTTAATATAAAAGAAGTCAAAGAGATCCATTTTGATTACATTTTATTGTTTAGACTTATTATTCATAGTTTATATTATAAGTCATTTACAGTCATTTTACACAACCTCTCATATTAAAAAGCACTTTTAATAAAATTTCAACCAAACACTTCACTGTTTTTTTTACAAGTACTTCTCTAAAAGTTCAAGCCAGAAGCTGCTTCTGCAAAAACTACGGTAGGGCCAAACTGAGTCGTTATCGGGTGAGGGGAGCGGATATGGTCAGTAACTTTATGGTGAGTAACTATGAGTAACCCGTCCACATCAGCATCCCTCTCTCTTCTTAAAAGTTTTTTTTAATCCCTTCTCCTTTCATCTTTAACCGACGATTTCTTTCTCGTTTTAAGTCGAAAGTTAATTTTTTTGCAAAGATAAATCAGATTAAATGTGCTATTTAAAATGATATTCACTTTGATATATTTTTAGTACAAAAAAATTGAGTCTTTTTTTACGAGTAATTACCATATGATATGCTCCTATTTAATACTATATGATAAGAAAGCGTACCATAATGGTATGAACATATCAATATGGTAAGAAGGTTGAATACATGATAGTAGGAGTATACTAAAGGGTCGTTTGGAAGTTGCGATAGTTTTGTTGAGATTCTCATTATGCATGTATTGTTTACAATGCATCGTTTTGGTTTTTTAGCAGAAACAAAAGATGGATTGTTTCTGTGATGTGACAGAAACTATCACTCATTTTTAGTGATTGTTACATCTCAACTTTTAGTTGTGATTGTTGAGATAGTTGAGTTGAGATTGTTTTGTCTCAGGTTTTAGCTGATGCGACATACACAATCACACATACCAAACGTTGTATTCTACAATGCATCAAATTCAACAATACATGTATAATATTATACATGCATTCTCAACAATACATCTATTTAACAATCGCAACTTCCAAACGACCCCTAAGTGTCATTTATGACTTTCATCATTGTTTACTACAAGTTACCACAAGCTACCATCCACATACCATAGAGGTAAAGTATAGTAGTTTTTGGTTCAGTATTTTTTTCACCCAGAAATTTATAGATCCAATAGATCATGATGAACTCGTTCCTTTTGAGCAAACGTTTTAAAAAACGACTTAAAAACGAAGAAGTTACCATATGGTATGTAGTTGGCAACGGGTGGTATGAATAAAAATCTCGAAATATATTAAAAATTGATCTAATTTTGTAGAGCACAACGAACTTGTTCCATCTGTAAAAAAAAAAATTTGAAATCCGAGTTAGAACGAAGAAGATAAAAGCCGATTAAAAAAACTAGGGAAAATAAAATGTCTTTAATTGACAACTCTTAGATCTGGATTTTCTGAGTCCACTTAGATCTAAGATCCAAATTTAGTTACTCATATGTTAGTAATCAATGGTTACTGACCCTATACTAAGTCCGGGTGAGGGGACGCGATTGGTTGATGAATTTGGCTATGTGTCTTATATGAGAAACTAGTCACAGGCTCGCCCGTTGGCCGGATCAATTATATCAAGAGTATAGACAATAAGAGTAATTACCCGAATCATCTATTTGGTATCATGAAAGGACACAAATTATTCGATAACTAAAAATATAAAAAAAAACATGTATCATGAGTTTTACAACATCTTAACACTCATATAAAGAAGTCCTTATTAAAAGTAAACAACAAAACTCATGCAAGTAACCGATTAATAAAAAATTTAATATTCAAAACCAACTTCAATGTACTCTTTGCTGTTAGAATTATCGCAAATTTCCTTTTGGATTTCTTTTTTATTGTTTCTCCATCAAAAGCATCTTCTCCACACAACTTCACCTTCATTAATGAAATTTTATATTCATCATAAATAGTCTCATCCTTCTCATGCATTTCATTGAAAATCAAAATTTAATTGTAAAATATTTGGAACGGTGAAAAATCTTTTCCCTGAGCCCATTAACATGCCTCTCTGTGCTAGCACCGGGCCCGCCCCCGGTTGGCGGGTATTTTACGTCTAATCATATAATTTGATTAAGGTTGAAATATAAACCCAATTGAAAATAATTTTTTTGGATAACTTTTGTAATAAAATGGTGTTTGAACAAAATTTTAGCAAAAAAATATGTGTTTATTAATACCCACGAAAGTTTCATCTAAAAATTGTTGTATGCAAGTGTTTATGGGATAAGTTGAATTTAAACTTTCTATGCGGATAGAGCCACTGAATGTTTATTATGAAGATGAATTAAAAGAATTGATTTTTAATTTTACAAACAATAATAATAAGCAATAACATCTCTAATGTGTTGAAAAATGTTACATGAGATGAACAGTAAAAAAATTAATGGGAAATAAATACTTGGGCTACCAATTCAATAGTCTGATTGATTTTCATTCCACAGAAGAATGAGTCAATACTTCACCCACCATATTGAATGACCAGGTAAGTGGAACCAAGGCAGAAGCCTATAACTGTACTTCACCAACAATCGAACGACTTCCTTGTGGCTTCAAATCCTATCCCAGATTCTCAATAGTTCTGCTTTATCTTTCCGGGTTCTCTAGTGATGATTTCTTCTAATCCTATCTCTTCATCCTGACCAATATGAGAATCCCTAGCGAAAGAGCTATAGACTTGAGCTTCCTTTTGGCTACATAACCCTTGGATGCAAATCGCAATAAACCAACACTCATATCAACCTCTGGCTATAACTCCCAGTCTGATCCCCTCTGTGCTTCAAGGTACTCGTACAACCAACAAACTAAACATGATAGTTATAGTAATGAGATGAAAGCTGCAAGGAAATGCTAGGAACGTGTATTTTGTTCCTTACATTAATTCACCAAATTATACTTACAATATAATAAGAGGAGTTTTTTTTTCTTTTCCAGAAGCACTTGTATTACCACGAACAATAGATACCAATGCTTACAACCCATGCTTGAGAGGTTGTTGAAGACATTATCCATGAATAAGTAAGATAAACAATTAAACATGCATCCTATTTATAACAAATAAAAAATAATATGAAAATGAACTTTGATGAATGGTTTTTCCTACTCTGGTGCTTTCAAAGCAGGAGATATACACAAAGATAAGGTGACGCTATGGAAACACTCAATTAAATTTGTGGGAATCAAGTTCCGTGTAAAATTATTTCTATGTGCAAATATACATGTCGACCATATCATATATATTTCCAACTATTTAAATTTTCACATTTAAATCATAAGGAAGTGGTCAAATAGATTATACAAATCAAGCACCATATTCTTGATATTTAGGATGATTCCAAGTTTCTAACCATATACAACCTTCACAGTTGACCCAAATTCTAAAATCCTCAGTCACCAAGCCATCCATAAAAGTGCTATGTAAAATAGAGAAATACTAATTAAGCAACAACTTATACAAATTCAAGTGAAAATATATTTTCTTACTGACAACTTTATGCTTTTATTTGATCCTCTTCCTCTGCATTTTAGGGGTGGTTTGCATCTTGGATTTTTTTTATTTGATAACCCAGGGAACCTCAGCCCCATGTGCACTTGAGCGACGTTTGCATCTTCGATTTGAGGGATGGATGAGGGCACAAATCCATGATCATTATGGATTTAATAGAAATTCATTAATTGCTCCATCATTTTTTGGATCAAATCCGTTGGGTCCTTGAATTTTTATGTCCAACTCCGAGTGTTTTCATGATCTTGTGAATCCCAAGTGTATAATCTTGTGAATCCCAAGTGTTGATGGGAGATTTGAAATATGCTATAAATCTGTGATGAAATTTTACACATATATACTCATGAAATTTAATATGTCAAGGTTGCACTTACTTTTAGATATTTTAGATATTTTACATTATAATTAATCAATTAATTAATAATAAATCAATAATACAATTATTTAATTAATCCGTGAATATGAGTAAGATTTTTTATGCCCTTACTTGTGTTCTAATATTTTCCTTCTTGCTATTACTAAATTGGTATCACCTTTTATAAAAAAAATTGATAATTGATATATTTTACGTTAAAATTAAACAAAATTTCTCTGGTTATACAACTTTTGACGTAAAATAAAACTCTTGTTTATTATTATTATTATTATTATTATTGTACTTGCGGTAACATTATGATTATTTGTACATATTGTCCTTATTTGTGTACATATGATAAACATGGCAGACAAATAAAAAATGATAATAAGGTACTTTTGAACTTTAAGTTCTACATCTCAAACCCATAAATTTATGATCAAAACATCTCAGCAAACAAATGGTTGTTGGAAATTTATATATAATACCTAAAATCATTGATAAATCATTTAATTTTTAAATCACAAAACCCTCATTTTTAATTGCATGAAACAAATGCTAAGTTCTTTCTGGTGTTCAGCTCCACATCTCCTGCCCTATCGTTGCCCTTAGTTCATCCTTGTGGCATCCATCAAATATCTTCGGTTGCAGCACCAATCGTCACCCCCATAATCTGCCAGACTTGTAGCTTCAATTGGCAACATGGTTGTACACAATCTGCAGGCACATGAACGTCATTGCGGGCAATGCCTCAAAGAACCAATAACGACATTCCAAATAAAATGCCCAAGCCTAGACTGGGATTTGGGATCTCCAAACTACTTGGGAGAACATTCAACCTATCAACTCACCAAAATGTTATACTGCAGCCTTAAATTATAAAAACGAAAAATATGAGAATGTTAATTTGTATTGAAACTCTAAGCAGACAACTCTTACTTCAAAATCGTGTGAAGCAAAGTTCAAAGCCTCACAAAAACTCTTAGTCTGCAGATGTCCAATTGCGTACATTGGAATGGTTAACACTTCAACTTGATTCTTGCGAGATCAATAGCAGTGAATTGAAAGACAATACATATCAGAGGCCAATTATATCAGTCAATTACAACTTTTAGTCTAGAAGAATCAAATAGCATTTAACTAAACGATCTAGCTAGTAGAATCGTGCACAATCGGCCTCTTGTTAATGATGTGAATGTAGTAACAGTACCATCATTGGTGATATGCAACAGATCAAACCAAAAAGGGGGAAGACATGAACATGCGACATGATTTGTTACCTTATTGACGGAGTTGCTGAGCAGGTTATTGAACTCTAAATCAAGTTTTCTTCAGTAGTAAATTGAGAAATCGCACCGCTTGTGAGGGAGGAAGTGTGGGTCTTGTGGTGGCTCGATTGGCACCGGGGCAGAATAGAAGGGTGTATTGGAGAAGGAAGGGGAAACAAAATCTCCACATCCACAACACGGCCTGCCGGATTTAGGGGACACGAAAGACAGGCTCCGAGTTTGTGCTCGAGTTGGGCGGCGAGGTTAGATTTCCGGCCGGCCGCCGACAGCGAGAGAGTTGGCGGACATGAAAGACAAGAAGAGAGAGACAGCTGCGATGTTGAAATTACGGCCGCCAGCGAGAGAGGCGGTGAGGTTTGGTCCGGTCGGCAGCGAGAGAGTTGGGGGACGCGAAAGACAGGCTCCGCGGTGAGGTTCGATTTCACAGAGGCTGCGAGCGGTGAGTTTCGCCGCGAGGTTGTTTGGGCAGGCGGCGGCTGGAAGTTGGGGTTCGTTTGAGAGAGATAGCAAGAGAGTCTCGGTCAGTCCGACAGCCCAATCTGGCCCGATGAGGGCGTTCAAGTTTGCAGGCGCGACAGGATTGGGTTTTGAGGGAGGGCCCAGACATTTTCTACCGGCGACCCATCTCAATCGAATGAAAACGGAGTCATTTTACCAATTTGGCCTCCCGTGAACTGCGCAGAGCGCAGGAAAACAGGAATTAATGGTGCTGCGGGCTGGAATCTCCTTATTATGTTGTTAGGATAATTCATTCCGACTCATTATGATTGATATTTTTAAACAATTTTACAATTACACTTTTAAAAATCATCCACGAAGTAGTATTCATTCCCATCTTCGAAATATGAATGTTGAAAATGCTCTCAATTCAAAGATTCACAGCTGTAGACGATCCCTTCGGGTACAAAAGATATTCAAAAGAATGGAACTTGCGCATTGTAAGTACGTACTTTACGAGAATGTGTCAAGGCGACCTTGCAAAGGGACGGAATACGGTGACAATCAAGGGAGATTCACAACCCACTTCATAGCTCTTAGATACGTTCTCTCTCCTGTATTTTTTTTCCTTTTTTTAAATTAAGGGTTAAGATTAAAGGAAGGGTATTTTTGGAAGGGTAAAAATTTATCACACCCAATCATTCACCCTACCATATAAAAATAAAAAACCCTAACTCCTTCATCCTTCCTCTCTCTCTCTCCTCCCTCTCTCCCGTAGCCATCATTGTCTCTCCTCCCTCTCTCGCAGAGCCCTCCGCCGCCACAGCCCTCCACCGCCGACGTCGGCGCCCCTCCGCCTTCAGCCGCCTGTCGAGCCTTCAACCGCCATCTCGTCTCCGCCATCTCCGACTATCCTCCTTCTCCTCCGCCTGACCATCGCCGCCACCGACGCGATCCTCCTCCGCCGTCGTATCCAACCTCGCCGGTAGTTCCTGTTTCCCTACTCGGCGGACGAGACGGGAGCGAAATCCTCTCCCCTCCGCCTTCAGCCGCCTGTCGGCACCCTCCGCCTCCCACCACCGTGGCACAATCATCCTCTCCCCGCCGGAGCCCTCTCGCCGCCCTTCGTCCCCCACCACTGCCGCCGTCGCGAGGTCACCCTCTTCCCCTAACTCTCTCTCCCGTCACCGACTCCCCTTTTCTAGATCTGGTTTTTTAGTGGTACCATTTTTTTCTGGTAGCGTACCAGTGATAGTGGTACCTACCACTACCATAAGGTAGCTGGTAGTGGTAGCGTACCACTATCATCTGGTACCACTATCATCTGTTTTCTTTTTGTGTTATTCTCTACTGGTATCGCTACCAATGCTAGTGGTACATTTATTCTCTACAGGTACCGCTACCAATGGTAGTGGTAGCGTTGTATCGGTAGCGTACCACTAGTACTGGTACATTTTTTAACGCATTGGTTGCGTACCACTAGCACTGGTATATTAATTACCAGTAGACTAATGGATTGATACACTTTTTAATGCACTGGGTCATTTTTTCAGGTTGCCGGAGGGAGTCCGTCGGAGAGAATTCGCCGGAGAAAAAGTCTGTCCGTCGATGCGGAGTGGCCGCTGGAGAAAGGAAGAGAGAGATAGATAGAGATATTAATGTATAGGATTTAAATTTAAAAAAAATTGTATTTATGAGTTTTTAATTCCCAATATAATTAATACACAAAAGGTAATTAATATATTTCTTTTTTTCATACCCAAAATACCCTTGATTGTGAATCTGACAACCCCCTTAGGGGTTGTCACCGTATCCCGTCCCCCTTGCAAAGGAAGAATGAGAAGGTAAATTATGGGGACGAATTTTACAATGCATTAAACATTAGTGATTTAGTTTTTATTTCTTTTATAGTACAACTTGAAGTTGTACTTTTAATGTTATGGACAACTATTGATTGTACACAGTAGCGGACCCAGGAATTTTATATATGGATATCCTCTTTAAAAAAAATTAAAATATAAATAATTATTAATTATTCAATAATTATTAAAAAAGAAAATACCCAACTCTCAGAAGTTAAAAAAGTACGTATTTTCATATTCTGAAAAAATTGTAAAATACATTGGTGTCTACACTGCTCAACAAATTTGTCTACGTATATCCTACTAGAACTGACGCATATTCGACTTTGTTCTTGATGTAACTCAAAGATGAAAAGACACTTTCAACTATTGTCATACAACCATAAAATCAATACAAATTAATGGTAGCTTGTAATTAGATTAATTGTTATATTTTGAAAATAATTAAAGTTAGAGAATAGGATATTGCTATTACGAAGTGTTTAGAATAAAACAACAAAAAAGTTTAGCTCAATGAAAATTATATTTATTAATAATAGCAGTGTCCCGGTTTGAATTACCTAAAATACCACTTATATTCCCATATGCAAACTACAAACGAGTGTAGGATAATCGTTTTTTTCAAATTTCTGGATGTCCCGAACTATTAATTATAATTTTTTTGTCCATGCGTAAATTACCACAGGGGGTCGGATAATCACTTTTTCCAAAATTTAGGGGTGTCCCGGGACACCCCTAAAAGCCCCTCGGTCCGCCCCTGGTTGTACATATACTCTTTTGTATAAATCTCTTTATTGTACAAACTAAAGTTGTACCTTTATGTTATGGTACAATTTCAAATTGTATCATAACATAAAAACATAAATTCTCTTATGGTACAACTTCAATTTGTACTTTTAGCCTTATGGTACAATTTAAAGTTGTACTTTAAAGCACCAATGCTTTAAAGCATAATAGAAGTGCTCAAATTATGGGTTTTGTGGTACATAACATACATTAATTCAATTAATTGGTCCTTGCATTAATGTGATTCTGTTAGAAACCCGCCCTATTAGGATTTCTATTATTATATTAGATAAGATAATTATAATTATGGTTAGTAGAGATTTAGTCGTGTTAGGATTATTATTAGGGTTTCTTAGTATTTCCCTGTAAATAAGTAATTTCAGTTTACTTCATCAATCAAGAAAAGTATTAAGCAAAGTATCTCTCCTAAACCCAATCTCTCTCAACTCCTAATTTCTATTCTCTCCTAAACCAAAGCCTCGACCGATTCTTGATTCTATTATGTTCTTCTCATCTAAATCCCTAATTCTTTCTCTCAACCCCTAAATCCCTATTCGTTACCAGTTATTGCGGGTGTCGAAGATCAATCTCTAGAATCCCTAGAAGCGGGGTTCTTTCAGTGGTATCAGAGCCTGGTTGTAGGCACCCACATCAGAATCATGTCAAGTTGTCAAGAACACGAATGGAGGAAGTTGATCGAAGACGATTCACAAAAATAAAACAATTGTTGACGCAGCTGACGTCGTTCGACGGGAACGACCATGAAGATGACTCGTGGGACGAGGAGGTCCCGGTGGCGGCAATCAAAGAGCAGCAGCTGACCAAGGTTGAGCGTGAGTTAGCGGACGGCGACCGAGCAGAGGAGCAAGCATTGGGATGTGATGCGTCTGATGAAGGGAAGTCGGGGCGAGTCGCCGCGAGAGCAAATGGCGACAGGGAGGAGCAGAGCAAGGCCGCCGCTGCCGCTATACCACCACCCTCACCACCTTCTGCCAACAAGGAGGGAAGCGAGGCCTCCAAGGCAACTGTAGTTGCGGTGGTCGAAGAAGAATGAGGAAGAGATCTGGCCGCTCCTGCCACTATCCCTAGCAAGGGGAGGGTAGTCGCCTCTGAAGAAATCCAACCCGAGGATTCATAGAAGATTTTGAAGCCAAGTCGTGTTGCAGACTGGAGGTTTCAGAAGAAGCCCCGAACGAAGCCCAGATCCGGTGGAGCAAAAATAGCGGGGCTCTGCATCAAAGCAGATTCACGGCAAGAAGCTAGGGCGGTGACGCGCCGTTGGTCTGACTCGTCGGAGCTCAGAATTTCGACTGCTCCTTTCGTGTCGACGACCAGCGTGGAGAAGACATCACCGCCGGAGATGGAATAGAAGAAGAAGAAGAAGAAGAAGAAGAAGAAGAAGTGACAGATGGCAAACGGCCGACAAGGCGGAGAGGAGATGGTGGCCACCAGCCGGGGTTCGTCGCGATCGACGCCGGCTCCAGCCATGGCGTCCATTGACGAGGAGGCCGAGCCGCTGGTGAGGCCAGAAACACGTCGGGGCCGCCGAGTGGAACACTTGCAGCCAAAGAAGGAGCAGAGCCGCTTGAGTTCTTCGCCTATGGCGAGATTCCGAGGGCGGTGCACTATTGGAGAAGAAGAAGAGAAGCAAGTGAAGATGAAAGAAGAACCGTCGGTGCTCTGGAGGAAGAAGAAGAAGCGCGGCGGCGGGATTCTCTGTTTTTCGCAACATGAGACATTGCTGGTGATCTGAATCTCGCAGACGCCACGACCTGCTCCCCGCTGGGAGATGAAGACGGTGGCAGGATTGGTTGAGCCGCCGTGTCATCGGCGAAATGACCCGCCTCCGGAGAGTGAGATGACCGAAGAGGAGTCGAGGAAGAAGGATGATGGCTATCAAGTCTCTCTTCCAGCAACCCTAGGTTGCGCCATCAAGCAGCCAAAACCGTTGGGTTGAGATGTGGTTTGGGTCGCTGGGCTCAAGTTGGCCGGATTGGATAAGTCAAAGCGGGCCGAGAGGGAGCTTAGTAGTGGGCTGAAAGGTAGCCAACAAAGTGACTCGAAGCCAAGAGGAATTTGGATGGAGGCAGAGTTTGGTAGTGGACTGAACATGAAAGAGAGAATCTGGTTGCAAAAGAATTATGGACCGAGTTATCAAGAGGGACTTGGCCCTCCAATGGGCTTTTCTGTTAGATCAATTTTGCAGGAACAAAATAGGAAGGAAGAAGTGGGCTCAGTGGAGTAAGAGTTGGGCTTTCAATAAAGTTTAATCCCACCCAACTTGGAGAAGAATGGATCCCAAAAGCTTGTCTTCACCCCAAGTCCATGGAGGAATTTATGGAGCATTTCCTTGAAGACCTCAAGTTAGAGCATAAGTAGAACTATTCTTCGATTCTTATATCGTGGATTTCGAAAAGGAAGAGAAGAATTGTTCAGCTATGGGCCAACTAGGAGAAGAATGGATCCCAACAAAGCTTGTCTTCACCCCCAAGTCCATGGAGGAATTTATGGAGCATTTCCTTGAAGACCTCAAGTTAGAGCATAAGAAGAACCAGGGTTCAAGAAGGCGCGCCTAGGCGCACGCCTAGGTTCAATTAGGCGCTAGGCGGTGGAGGATCGCCTTGACTTGGCCGTAGGCGTTGTAAAAGGCGCTGGTAGCGCTTAGTAGGTAGGAATAGCGCTTAGTTTGCGCTTAGTGGAGAGAAGGCGTGCCTGGGCGTTCCTGGGCGAGCGTAGGCGGTTAAACCCAATACTCTTCTTTTTGTCCTAGAAAATCAGAAACTTGCCTCTTGCCCTAGAAAATCAGAAACACAGGAAGTAAGATCTGCTGCCGCTAGGGCTGCAAACGAGCCGAGTCGAGTCAAGTTTTTGCTTAGCTTGAACTTGGCTCGTTTATTAATTTTTTAGCTCGAGCTCGGCTCGAACTCGAATTTTGATAATCTAGCTCGAGCTCGAGCTCGGCTTGAATAAAAATAATCTAGCTCGAGCTCGACTCGGTAGAGCTCGATAAATGCTCATTAACATAGCTTGTCAAGCTGAGTACAAGCTCGGCTGGAGATGAGCTTGATTTAAAATCATTCTTGCTGGAAAAATGTGTAAACATAAGAATTTAAATGATAGAAAGAACACTAAAAACTATAATTAACATCTAAATCTCATACACATTTGTATTAACAAAACAATGTTCATGTTTGAAAGAGTAATTCATCCTTCCGAAGCTCTAAACAAAGCAGCTCGCGAGTTTAGCTCAACAAGCCACCGAATCAAGCTAGCTCGCGAGCTTATCAAGCTAAGCATGGTCTAGCTCAAGCTTGGCTCGTTAACTAACGACTTGGTTCGCGAGCCTGCTTGTTAATTAACGAGTCGAGTGTGGAACGAATTTTTTCCGATTCGAACGCCGAGTTGCTCGCGAGCGGCTTGGCTCATTTGCAGCCCTAGCTGCCGCCTGCCGCCCTAGCTCTCACCCCATCTGCTACCGCCTGCCGCCCTAGCTCTCGCCCCATTTGCTGCTCTCTGCCGCCGCAGGAGAAAGTTATCGATCACTCTTCTCGCCTTCACACCTCTCCGCTGCTATAGTGGGAAATAAAGTCAAAACTCGCCAATTGTTGCTCCTTCCTTCTCCTCGGTACGTAGCACAAGCTTCTTGCCTCTATAAGCACCTATTAGCAGATGATTGGTCACTATTTGCTTGTTATTTGTTATGTTAAGTGTTTACTGTTAAGAACTAGGCATTGCGAATTTTATTTGCACTTGGATTATATGAATTATTCCAGAAAACAGGAAATATTTGAGAAATTTTCCATTTATGCTCTGAACGCCTAGGCGCGCCTAGGCTACGCCTAATCGAGCAAGGCGCAAGTCAGGAGCCGAGCGCCTGCCTTACGCCTAGCGCGTTTTAGAACCTTGAGAAGAACTATTCTTCGATTCTTATATCGTGGATTTCGAAAAGGAAGAGAAGAATTGTTCAGCTATTGGCTAGAATGTAGGTGCCACTTGGTGGGAGAGGAGTCGCGGAAAGTGGAAGATGTTGGGGAAAGATTCGTTCGTGGGATTGACCGTAATTGGAAGCGAAGAAAGCGGAAGGCCAAGAAGGCGAAGTCGACTGCAACCTTGAGGGCAATGTCGCTTTCAAGCGGGGTGGATTATCAGAAACTCGCCCTATTAGGGTGTCTATTATTATATTAGGTAGGATAATTATAATTATGGTTAGTAGAGATTTAGTCGTGTTAGGATTATTATTAGGGGTTTCTAGTATTTCCCTATAAATAAGTCATTTGGGTTTACTTCATAATCAATCAAGAAGAGTATTAAGCAAAGTATATCTCCTAAACCCAATCTCTCTCAACTCCTAATTTCTATTCTCTCCTAAACCAAAGCCTCGTCCGATTCTTGATTCTATTCTGTTCTTCTCATCTAAATCCCTAATTCTTTCTCTCGACTCCTAAATCCCTATTCGTTACCTGTTATTGCGGGTGCCGAAGATTAGTCCCTAGAATCCCTAGAAGCGGGGTTCTTTCAGCTTCTCACCATTAACTTTTGTGCCAAGTAACCCTGTCCCGCGTAGAAGGTCTTCGACACACAAAACAGAATGAGAGACGAGAGTGATGATAAACCCTGTTTCTAGTACTCATAAACTATATATTACCTAAATCTAGGGTATGCAGCTCTCGATCTTCTTATTTCTTCGGAATTGATCTTGGGGAACGACGACCAAGTGCACTAGCATAATTTATCTTCTTATTTGATTTGATATGATGTAAATTAGTGCATTTGATATGTGTGATTGTATATTTCATATAAGTTAAAAGTTGAGATATAACAACGTCAATTCAACCATTTTAACAATGTTACCTAACACCTGAGATATAATAATCACTCATTTTGAGTGATAATTTGTGTTAATTTATAAAATAAATTATAAATTGCCTATTAGAAATAAAATAAAAAATAATGTATTCTAAGCAAACAATATATTATATTCTTGCTTGAGAAGTTTTAGTCGAACACCAAAAGTTTTAGACCAAGTAATTATCTTTCCAGTTCCAAATTTCGGGGACGAAATTTTTATAAGGGTGGAGGAAATGTAACACCCCGGCATTTTAGAATTATGTTCGACTTTAATACTTGATCGGTTGGATTGACGGTTACGTACCAAAAGTTACAATCACAGATTAAGAATAATAATATTACAATAATAATAATTATTATTATTATAATATTATTATTATAACATTATTTATAAAAAAACATATATATATATATATTTGGGCGGCCAACGACACCTCCACTCCCCCCCCCCCCTATAATTCTCCAGACACCAAACAACTCCCCAACCCCCGCCCCCAGCCAGCACTCGCCCAACGCGAGGGGAAAAAAAAGAAAAGAAAGAAAGCAAAGCATTAGCAGCGCCGCTCACAGCCGATCCCGACCCCGATCTCGACCCCATCCCTTTCATTCTAGGTAAGGATCACGAACCCTTTCGCGATTTCTAAACCCGATTTATCGATAGTCTAATCCGAAACTCGTATTTTATTAGCGGTGACGTTAAGGGTTCGATCAACGAGGAGATCAACGTCCCAGGTCATCCAACCTAGGCCTAGGCACGTTATAGACGCAAGAGAACTCGATCCCTTTGAGTTAGGTCGATTGATTTGGTGATTTTTCGTGAGGGTAGAATTCTGGGGTTTTAGCAACAGGCTTTACAGGCTTTTAGTGACATATTTTGATTGGTCACAAAAGCTGTTGGGAATTTCCAGAAACGTATTTTTAGATGTTTTAAATTGTTTCGAGCCTCTCTAAAGGTTGTTTTCTGAATTTAACAATTTTATAAATTGAGCGACGTCTAGGAGATGATTTTAATTTAATTTGGGGATTTTTGAAGATGTATTTCTAATTTTAGAAATTTTTTAATATATAATTATCGTATAGGTGCACATGATTGACATGGTAAAATTATCATACAAAATTATAAGAAGGTTCAAGTTAGGTAAAAAATTCGCCCAAGATAAAAATAATTAAGAAAAATGGTTGTTTTTTAATGGATTAATTCTAGAAAATTTTAGTGGGGTTAAAGGAACTTTGGAATGAGGTTCAAGGGCTAGAGTTTGTGGAGAGGATGTTCTAGTGATGCAAAAGGGGTTTTAAATCATGAAAGGTCGTCTAAGAAAATAGATTTTTATTAATAGGTTTCCCCAAGATAATCCGGCTAAGGAGGGGTTCTTCGAGGAAGGGGTTGAGGAGTCATCTTTTCGAGGTGAGTGTAAAGGGGGTAAAATCTCTGTCGTAGGTCTTTTAGTTTTCGCTTTTCGTTCAAGTTATTATTTAGTTAAATTTTCTAGTATGCGCGATATGTGTGTGAGGCATCCCACCGCCTGTAAGGGTGGAGGCACGCGTTGTGCTATGTATGAATGTATGTATGTTTGTATGGTTGATGGTATGAGGAACCCTCGGGCGGTTGGGTCACTACTGGACGACGAGACGTAACGCAGTAGTTGACGGGCATGGACTGGATGGCGAGACGTAACGCAGTGCCATTGCCGAGTTTGGGTATGCAACCGGATGGCGAGACGTAACGCGGTTGGCATACTAGGGTAGGACACCGGACGGCGAGACGTAACGCGGTGGTCCTAGTGTTTTGTGTTGAGATAAGGATAGAAGTCGGGAACTTTTATGAGTTAATGTTGAAATGAGTTGATAGGAATGATTATTTAAGAGCATGAAGCGAGAACGGCTTTCATGCCAGGAAGGCATCCCCCTAATAATGTGTTTTGTAAGGAGTTTGCCTAGGGCAAAGACCTTAGGAAGTAACGACGAGACTGACCCCTTATTACTTACCAGGTGCAGAGAGGGGAAGATGACGCATACATCAAGAGGAGGTTAAGCCAACCAGAAGATGTCAACTGGATCTGGGTAACGAGATGTGACCTCCCATATATCTGTCTTTAGTTTCATGTCTTAATGAGTATACTGGGAAACTCGAGGATTGTGTTTTATGTTTTGTGGCTCTGGGTTGAGGTTGCCCAAGTGTTTAGGGCATTTCACTAGAAAATCTTAAACATTGTGGTTGTTGTTTTTTTTTTTTTTGACTTGTAAACCTGTTTTGGGTTGCTCCGGAGTAACCGGTTTGTGGTTTGAGTTGTGGTTTGGTTTTCAAAAAGGATCGGGTCGTGTCACAATATCAAAAGAATAATTGCAACTTCCAAATCATGTTTTCAGAAATAATATAGTAGGTACTGCGATGACATTAACCCAAAACTATAGGTACGTAAGATAAAAAAAAGTTTACACATGGGAATTTGATGTCCAGCGCATTGTCGTCTCACCAAGGTTGTCAAACCCCTATAAGGCCCTCGATTGGACCCGGTTCGACCTAAGTCGGGCTTTAAAACGACCTCCAGAGAGCCCCCGGTCTGACCCCTAAAGAGGGGAGGAAGAGAGGAAGAACAACGAAGGAAGGGAGATAGTGGGTGGGTCATGAAGGTTAGGTAGATTTAAGCGGTCAAAAATAAATTTTTAATAGGAGATTGCTATTCGTCGTCCTAAAAGTTCTTATTCGTCGCTCTAATTAAGTTAATTTTACTTTAATGTCCTTAGTGCATTTATTTACCGGGAAAAAACTAGCGGTGGCCGGGCTACCAAAGATCATGTCCATTTCAGCTGGGGACACGGAAGCAAGCTACATTGGGATTTATTAATATGGTTGCTTTTCATCTAGGGACACAAAACTGTGGCATTTATTTGGACAAGCTATTATTGGAGACGAGGAAGAAGATGACTACGTGCAAGGCGACGATGGACGGGGAGATGGGGTTGAAAGCAACGACAGAACGGAAGCCGGTTAGACTCTCTTCTTTCCTCTACATGATTCCTGAACGATGGACGACGATGACTAGGACAAAAATGGCACCAAAATTCCGGCGTCAATTCTCCGACAACCGCCGCTGGAGCTGTGAGCGGGCGGCTGGGTCGCGTTTTGCAAGTAGGAGTTCAATTAATACTTAAATCGAGTAATCGACTCCTTGTTCCCTTGCCCATTTTTCGTTTGAATTAGCTTCGAACTCCGGCTACTCCGGGGTGGGAGAGAGACGAAAGTAACAAGAAAGGAGAATAAAGCAAATTATCTTCTCTGCAATTGTTTGGTTTAAGGATAATATAACTTTTATTAAGGGGTAAATATGTCAATTTAGTGCGTTTTAGGGCGATAAAATTTGAATTTTGGGTAACGAATAGCGATTTAGTTTTAATAGATACATGTAAGATAAATTTCATTTCAGTTATTAAACCTTTAATTATTATCTTATTTGTATATATATTTAGAAAATCTCTACAACGACTTAAACCGGCCGAATACCGACCAGACCATTAAATCTCAAACCTCTTGATTGATCAACTCAATGATTTAAAATGGTTTGACAACTTCTCACTCTCGCCTGGGCAGAGAATTAGCGAAGTCCAGAACGAACGAGAATCAGAAAAGGGCAAAGTGGCCACAGGGGACACAGTAATATCCGTCCAGAGAATACTGGAAAAATAACCAGCAGCAGCGCCTATTTTCTACATTCTTTCCTGCGCACATCATTGCCCATTGACCAAAAACGAATCCAATTCGCTATGGATGCCACTCAAGTTGCCGAGCTAAGAGGGTTCATCGACGAGTGCAAGTCGAATCCCCGTATTCTTCACCAGCCATCTCTGCTTTTCTTCAAATCGTATCTTCAAAGGTCGCCTCTTGTAAACCCTTCTTTCCTTTCGCCTTCCCTTGGGCATTTTTTGTTAGCTTCTTCATTCAAGCACTTGTTTATGGGTGAAATTTGATTCGTTCCATTCTGCCTTTTGCGGTTGGGGTTTTCTGCAGCTTAGGTGCTCAACTGCCACCTGAAGTTAAATCGGTAAGTATGGATTCTGAGCAGAAGTCCCGCTGTTTATATTGGATTTATGGGTTCTGTGACCTGGGTTCGTTCAGTCTGATTATATGCTCTCAAACGGAGTTGTGGGTTTAGCCAGGGCTAGAATTGCAATTCATAGTTCCTTGTTTGTGCTCTAGAATACCGAGTTTTGGACTGAATTTTGGAGTGATGAGATGTTGCTGCAACTTTGCTGATGATAGCGTAGTTTGTTAACTCTTGAACATAGATTTCCTAATTGTAGTGGATCTTAAGCTAGAACTTTTATCCTCAGTTTCTGTGGCTCATTCTTCAATTTCAGTCTAACTGTTATTAGTTCCTTTTTAATATTTGTCCATGGATTACCCACCCTTGTTCGCTGCCAAATGACACATTGAAATGGTCTAGAGTGTTTGTTGTTCCCCTGAACAAGTAGACCTTTCTATTGTTTCCGAGTTAGTTCTTTTAGGTTCTGTTTATCTCGAGACTTTTTTCGGACATTAACAATGTGAGCATATGCAGGAGACAGGAGGAGAGGCTGAAATGTCTAGTACTAGGGAGGATTCAGATTCCAGCAAACCAAGTGAAAATGATGACGATATTGTTGAATCTGATGTTGAATTGGACAACGCTGATGTCATGGAACCCGATAATGATCCTCCGCAGAAGGTGTTCACTAGTTGAAGGGATTTTTATCTTTTGTGTGTAAAGTTTGAACTACATCCTTATGTTGGTTGTGTTGCTCTGTCACAGATGGGAAACCCTGCAGTTGAAGTGACAGAAGAGAATCAGGATGCTGCTCAGGTGGAGAAAGCAAAAGCTATAGAGGCTCTCTCTGAAGGTGAATTCTTGCTTCTAACACAACCATTTTCACATTTTGACTGCAAATCGTTTTTGTTTTGTACTAATGAAATTCTGCACGTTTTCCAGGTAGGCTCAGTGAAGCAATAGATCATTTGACAGATGCAGTCATGTTGAATCCAACTTCGGCAATACTGTATGCAACTAGAGGTTGTGATTCGGTCTTAAGCTTATGTTTTCCTTCTGCAGTTTGGATTCTCTTGTTCGGGAAATTACCATGCAGTTCATACTTAGTTATCTTCTTTGTCTACAGGTAATGTCTACCTAAAAATGAAGAAATCAAATGCTGCAATACGAGATGCAAGTGCTGCTATGGAGGTTAGTCTGTTTTTTTCTCTACAATCTACATCCCTGTGAGAAATTGCCAGTAGATTGTATTTTGAGTTTGGATTTTTTCAAACCGGCATGTTAATTCTGTTTTCTAGATTAACCCGGATTCAGCAAAAGCCTATAAAGTAAGAGGGATGGCAAAGGCCATGTTGGGGCAATGGGAAGAAGCAGCAAATGATCTTCATGTTGCATCAAAGCTAGATTTTGATGAGGAAATCGGTTCAATTCTGAAGAAGGTAAACTGCTTCAGCCATTCCCTTTGAGTATGGAATTTGGTTATTATTAATGCATTCCGTTATTCAGGTGGAGCCAAATGTGCACAAAATCAGAGAGCATCACAAAAAGTATGAGCGCCTTCGGAAGGAAAGACACTTGAGGAATGCTGAGCGTGAAAAGAAGCGTCAAGCTGAAGCCCTGGTAACTTTTGTTTTTGTATCTATTCGCTTAACATAGTAGTACTTAGACCTGACAGAAAATCATGATGATAATCAAGTTAGTCTGTCAAGTTTTGTGCATTGTCGAGGGAATCCATTTGCTTTCTACTTCTTTTTGCTTAGGAGTCTTGTCTTGACTGTGTGTGCTTGCTTGCCATCATCGTGTTTTGATGGTGTGAGAAACGTAGTTTTTCCACCAAGCTGTCACTTTCTGTGATTGCGCCCATACACAATACTCTGACTTCACTTGTGTGTTTATTTGAGAAAACTGATCTTTTAAGCATCTTGAAAAAGTAGTTGGAGGCAGGATTCTATATTGATGATTGCAAGAGCTTGTTAGAACTTCTTGATATGAGGCTGGATAACTTACTCGTATTTCTAGTTTTGCTACATAGTTTGTAATCCGGAAATCGATACTCAACCCTAAACAAGATTTTTTCGACCTTTTGTAGGAACGAGAAGCACTGTCTGTTCTAAAAGCAGGTAATTGTTCTGTTTTCCTTGTGATGATTGCATTTACATGTACTCAAGTTGCATTTATACATAGGAAAAGCTAAAAATGGGTTATCGACGATTATTTGCATTAAAGAAACTACATCGAAACCTACAACCACTTCCAAAATCGTTTCATGAAAGAAACCAAACCGAATTGCTCTGACAATGTGGTGCCTTGATGCTTATTTCGTGACAGGTCAAGTCATGGGCATTCACTCTACCGGTGAACTGGACACCAAATTGAACGCGGCATCCAGAGCTTCTCGCCTGGCGGTACTGTACTTCACAGCCACATGGTGTGGACCCTGCCGTGTCATCTCTCCTCTTTTTACAAGCTTAGCTGAGAAGTATCCGAAGGTTGCTTTCCTGAAGGCTGACATTGACGAGGCCAGGGACGTGGCAGGGAGGTGGAATATAAGCAGCGTGCCTACCTTCTTCTTCATCAGGAAAGGCAAGGAAATCGACCAGGTCGTTGGTGCTGATAAAAATGGACTTGAAAGGAAGCTTCAACAGCATGCTGCTGCTTAAGTTAAGTTCAGACTTCATACCTTGCGTGGAACTTCAATACGTGACAATTTGACTCTCGTTCTTGTTTCATAGACTCCAAATGATAGCCGTGGAAGCGAAAGGTAGCTTGCCTCTGATTGCTGTTATTTCCTTGAGATAGTGAGTCCTGCTGATTGTATCAGTTTACATTTTAATGAAAACTTTTTGTGTGAGGATCATTCGATCGACGAACTCACAAGCCACAACACTAAAAAGACAACCTTTTCGGTACAACGTGCTGCAAATATGGATCGAAAAATTAATATAGTACAAATACATCATCATACAATTCATAGTCGTTGGATGTGTGCGACGATGATTTTATAAGCAAATGCTACACAAAAAAAGTGCGATCAAACGAGTCATGACACGTTGTTCTGGTCAGTCTTCTCCCTTCAAACATCTCTCACTCCCGCTAAAGAAAAAGAAAATGCTGTGAAATAAATACCTGAAACGAATATAAATAATCCTTCCTTTTCTTCCTTTCAGAATTGAAGAGAAAATTTTCCAAAACAAAAACAGTTGTTTTCTCTTCCATAATAATTCCTAACCAAAAACAATAAAATTAATTCTTCAATTTTGATTGTTCTTGCTCTTCGCTTCTCTCCCATCAGAATCTTTGTTTGCCCATTCTAACCGATCACCGAATCCAATTCGGAGAAATGACAACGCGGCGGTCTGGCCACGATGCATTGCCAATCGTTTTCGTCGCCTTATTGTTCTTCTTCTGTTCTCTGATCTCGATTGGGAAGTGCCAGAACCTGGACGAATTGATGCAGAGCTACGGCAACGCGATTTCCAAGTCGATGAACGAGAGCGAGGAATCGTCGCTGCGCAGCGGAATCGCGCTGCTGGCGCACCCGGGGAAGGCCAAGTGCCTTGAGAAATTGTCGCCGTGCAAGGAGTTCATGCATTTCCAAGGCACGCCGCCTTCCTCCTGCTGCGATCCGCTCACCGAAATCGCGACCAACGACACCGAAGGCTGCGTCTGCATCTTCAACAGCGAGGATTTGCTCCACTCCGTCAACATCACGATGAACGACGCGCTCGCCCTCGCCGCCACGTGCGGCGCCAAGCCTGATTTGTCCGCCTGCAAGAACGATGCCGGTACCTCCTCCTCTGTTTCCATTGAGAAAAACGATTAGATTATACTGGAATATCGATCTCTTCATCTATTAGCCTTGATATGCCAATCCATTTGTTTAGAATTCGATGGCAACTACGGAAAATCAATTCAATTCATTATAATTATGATTTATTTATCGAATTTACTTACTATTAGTTGTTTATGTTGAGATAACTTATTAATTTTGATCTCTCGTATTATTTTGTTCTTACTATTTTCCAGCGGATGCGCCAAGTGGGTCTGGTAGTGCTGCTGCGACCATCTCGTTGCCTCCAATTTCATTGGAGAGTGAGTATCATTAATCTACTCTCTTAAGTATATTCATAATGATCCAAAGTTAACTGTTTCAATGTGGCTCAAAAATGTCAATTTGCGGTGAGATATGCTTGTTCGATCTATTTCGATTTGTTTGGTTATACATGAACAATAAAAGCGTGGGATGGAGCATGAGTTTCATTCTATAATTATCTCGTTTTTTTATTCATTCTATTTCGAGTTGTCGGAGTAACACCTTGTGTTTATCATCTTTTGACATTTATTAAATATTTTCTTCACGTCACTCAAAGTTTCAATAAATACTTCATTAACCTTTGAATAAATATAAATTTGCAGGTTCTGGTGGTAGCGGTCATGATGCAGCCGCTGATAGCTCGTCGTCATCATCTTCAAGCGACGACAAGAAAGAATCGAGTGGCGCAACAGTAACTACTTTTGGCGGGAACAGATCTAATTTGAGAGGGCTTGTTCTCACTGTCACCGTGCTAGTGGGCTTGAACCTTCTAACTCTAAATTAATTTTTCTAGGCCCAACAAATATAAGAGGGACCAACATTGGGCTTTTATTTCTCGATGTAATTTCTTGACTAGGGGAAAGTGGGGGATAAAAAGATTCATAGGGAGGGTGGTTTTGTAAGTTGTAATTACATGAAATTTCAATCACGAATTAATCATTGATCATACTTGGGAGTATTGACGATTTGTTCAACGATTATTCAATTTGCTAGCATAGGTGATATTTAGTCACGAGTTATTAATTAGTTTAATCATCAAAATTTCGTATTAGTATCTAGGTGTCTTAATTTTATAAAATATTTTTCTTTTGAATTCAAATAGGTCAAAGAGTGTGTAAAAATGTATTGTTAACGTAGTAGTAACTTAATGTCTTTCATATGTCAAGGGAACATGCGAGTTGGGTTGCTAGGATAATTTGAGAGAGAATCCAGTGACATAATCGAAAGTTGAAGCCCATTCGAATTCTATTTGATAATTGAAATAGTGGAGTTTGAATATACATGTAGTGTTTAATGTGAATATAAAAAAATGATGCACCAGATGTATAATATCACTCACTAAAAACTACGAAATGATCTACAAACTATCCAATCACATGATCAAAGTGATGTCCTATTTAACATTCACTATGCATTGCCCTTCAATGATATTCCCGTTTTACAAGATATGGGTCATGACTTGTGACTTTCTATGGGATGGGTTATGTTGTGGAGAGGAAGTGGTTGCTACTTGCTACAAACCTACATGCATAAATAAAACCAATGAGTGACATATCTGCTTACTGGAAAAAGAAGAATGACTAGTTACTCACTCACATGAAACATCGGTGACCAATTGGTACTTATTATGCCCTCGCGGTTCTGAGTCTGGCTCTCTCAGTCTCTCTTCCCTTTTGTTCGTTCTTCTCGTTAAACCCTGAACAGCAAGAAACAAACCCCCTGGTTTTCGGATTCGCCGGACGTCTGAACAGCAAGAAATCCGGACGCCGGAAGTCCGATTCTTTCCACGGAAAACGAAACTCGAATGTGCGAATCAAGATGGCTATGGGGACAGCTTCAATTTCTAAAACCCTAACAAACGCATTTATCTTGAGAGGTTCCCGCCGCATCATCTCTTCCTCTTCCCCATCATCTTCGTCGCGCTACAGCACTGCTTCTGCTGCGGTTCTTGATCTTCCGCCCCCTGTAGAGCCGAATCCCTCTCCTCGACCTCAAGGTTTTCCGGGCTTCACTTTCTTGTCGTCATTTCTTTTGTGTATATATCTCTGGATTGGTTGTCGATGGCGTAATTCTGAAGCTGGAAATTTATGTGGCAGAGCAACCGAGGAGCGGGTCGTCGTGGTCAAGATGGTTGCTTTTTCTTCCTGGAACGATTACTTTTGGCCTTGGCACTTGGCAGATCTTCAGAAGAGAGGAGAAGGTACTTGCCTCTTTACCTTCTGTTTCATCGTTAAGTTTAGCCAGTAATTGTTGATTTCATTTGGCGTTGAAGTTGGGATGATCCTTCTGCACTGTGATTGTCAATTGATGCTTTCTTGGTGCTGCAGTTTTACTTTGATAGGCTAGGCTGAATCCCAAAGATTTTTGGTTCTGAGCCATTGCTCTTGTGTAGGAATGACAAAAGTGTATGTTAGGAATCCCGTTCTTCATTTCAATTTGAGAATCACCTTGACACTCGGAAGCTTATTATCGCCGGTTACTGATCTTCTCGAAGTACTTGGCCGGCCTCATGCCGGGTTCTCAACAAGCTTCAAATTGTATATCATAGTTTTCCAGTCATTGGTTAAGTAGCTAGCCTGGGTGTCTGATTGGCACAATGAGGTAAAAGTTTCAGCTTAAGCGTGATTCTGAACCCCATGTGATTGCATCTGAGATGTAATGTACTGCATTATGGAGGCTTATGGGTGGCTTTTGTGTCTGTATATTTTGACTACTGGTGCTCCTGGGAATCCTTTCTTTGTCAATCATTCTCTGTCTCTATCTTTGATCTTCATGTGATAACTATCAGTGCCACAGTCATCATCTACTAGACAACTTTCAGTCATTGACATCTATCTAAACATGTTTTTGCTTATCAAATTGCTACAAATATTGATTTCTTGCTAAGAAACACAGTTGGAAAGTTACGTTTCACTTTTTATGATTTCTCTTATAGATCATTTAGAGTGTGATAAGATTGACTGTAGGTCACTAGGAATAAAAGGACTATGAACATTTGCTAACGGGTGATTGAGTCTTTTGTCTGCTGTTTGCTTGTAAGCTGGTAAACATATTAGAGTGTTATGAATCAGGTAATTGCCGCAGCTGGGGAAACACTTAATTGTGCAGAGAATTCCGAGTTTATTGTGGAGTGATAACAAATTCCAAGGCTTGTCATTTTGCTCAAGAATCAAGATTTATTTTTTAGAACGTTTTGTTTTGTTCACTTATATCATGATGAACCTAGAAATGAACCTTGCAGGCAAAAGTTTGAAAATCAGTTATATCTCATTCATATGTTGGATCAGTACTTTTCTCCAATTCATTAAGGAAGTATAATGTGATAATTTACGTTTACAATCGGGCAATTAGGAGGTTAAGATTGATAATACATTTTTGTTGGCTGCCTGACTAATGATTTCAAAGTTGTATATGCATGCAGATAAAGGTGCTTGAGCATAGACAGAGGAGATTAGCACTGGAACCTATGAAGTTGAACGATCCCTCTCCATCAGAACAACTTGACGCACTGGAATTTAGAAGAGTTTCCTGCAAAGGAGTGTTTGATGAAGATAGATCTATATTTGTGGGTCCACGTTCAAGAAGTATTTCGGGAGTGACAGAAAATGGCTTCTATGTGGTTACTCCCCTTATGCCCATTCCCGGAGACCCCACGAGGTATGTCTAATTAGCAGCTTTTCTTATGAACTCGGTTTCAATAGTTGGGCCAATTTTCATGTTTTTTTTCCATATTGTCCAATATACTACTACTTGGTAAACATCTCTTTATTGTGTCAATTCCATGCTTCTCTTTTACATAATAAAAGGGTTAGATGGTATGTTTTCCCAGCGTGAAGTCGCCGATTCTAGTCAACAGAGGATGGGTCCCACGCATTTGGAAAGAAAGATCTCTAGAAGCTTCACTCAATACTACTAAACAGCTCCCTGATGTATCAGCAGTCCCTAAAACTCAAGAGAGTCAAAGGGGTTCACGGTGGTGGCGGTTCTGGTCAAAGAAGCCACAAGCTAGTGAGGTGTCTCTTGAATTGCCATTCCTCTCTAATTTTTTCCATTTATCTTGGACTAGACTATTGATCCAGCTCTGTAATACAGGTTCAACCACCTTCCATGGATCCTGTAGAAGTAATTGGCGTGGTACGAGGAAGTGAAAACCCAAGCATTTTCGTACCTGAAAATGATCCAAGCTCAGGGCAATGGTTCTATGTCGACATTCCTGCAATTGCTGCCACATGTGGGCTTCCTGAAAATGACATCATATATGTAGAGGACGTCCATGAGAATGTTAATCCGAGTTGCCCATACCCTCTTCCAAAAGATGTCACTGCCTTGATTAGCAGTTCAGTCATGCCACAAGACCATCTCAATTACTCATTCACATGGTAATTGATTAATAAGCTTGTTTGCTTTTTTCCTGTATCCATATGGAAATTTGAGGAGCTTTGTTTTGACGAAGGTTGTTGGCTTTGTGAATCTTATGCAGGTATACTCTATCTGCTGCTGTCACATTTATGACATTTAAACGGTTAAAGCAAAGGTAAACCCGGAGGTAGCTGAGGTTTAGAAGCAAGTAACAGATCTGGGCATTTTTGTGAAGCAACGGACGCCTATTGTGCATTGGCAGAACCACCAGAACTACTAGCAGTGTATGAAGTTTGTGAATTTCATCTTCTGGCCTTAACTTTGTAACGTGATGGAAGTTTGCGCACCTGCACCAAGCCACCAACTGTATCATGCTGCTGCGGCCACGTTCTGATCGTTAGACATAGTTTTTCTTACATTAGACTGAATTCTGGCATCTGTTATGAATTCATTTGGTGGTGATTTCGAATTGCGCAATGAATTCATAGTCATCACTGCTTCGTTTTATCATGCATTCTAAAAGTTGAGGCTCCTCAGTTGCGAAATGAAAACTAATTGCCTTAAAGACTCATCATATTTCGTGCAAGGTTTACAACCAGCGGGTTGACCCACTTGATCCTGATCCGGTGAGAAAAATGGGCCACATGCACCCACTGGGTCGACCGCTACAAGTTATTGGATTGGAGGTCAAATTGTGTCGTTTTTTTCTTTGATTTGCGAAATGCGCCTATTTTTCGATTTTTCTTTTCGCCTAACTCAATATTTGGAATCCATAATTAAACATTTGAATGTTGATATTATATATGTGTGTGTGTGTGAATTTTCACTATATGTTGAATCTAAGTACGACATGTTACTTTGGTGTAATATATGTTATTACTCATATATTAGATGAGATTTGATATAATTTATCAGGATAAGTACAATATAATGATTCTTTCCATATTTTCAGGCTAAAACAGGTGATCCGTTAACCCTTGACCCACTAACTTGACCGAATTTGGATCAACCCGAGGGTTGACAACCTTGATTTAGTGCTAATTCATGCCACAAACATCTGATGAGCAATGGCTCCCTGAATTTCCACCGTTAGATTTATCCAATTTATCTGAGTGTCCAAAATTATTTATCCATGCTTAAGATGACAATGTTTGCTTATTAGGCTAACTAATCAGTGAGTAGTGAGATTTATTGTACTACTTTTTTTTAGCAGACAGAGTCAGTAATAAGTAATAACTAATAAGTAGTGCGCTTTTAATATTCTTATATACTCTCGGGCATTGCTATTAGTCGCACTAAAATTCTTGATTCGTCGTCCTAATTAAATCAAATTTCCTTTAATGCCCTTTGTTCATTTATTTAATCAAACAAACAACAAAAAACTCGTATACCACCAAATAACAAACTATAATCAATCAAACAACAACAAACCAGAAGAAGAAACATAAACATAGGATATGGATTTTAATTGGAGGTCTTTCTGAACAACTTTGTTTTTCACTTCCAGTCGTCCATTCCATTTTGATACAATATGGTAATCATATCCTTGTCAGTGTCGGCCATAGTGGAACCGGGAGGCCATCCACTCTTCGAACAAATGCCTCTCTGTACTCGCAAATGTCCTCAGAGCATTACTTGATCCTGCCACGGACCCCGGCAACGACTCTCCAACTTATCTCCGGCATCCTCCCTCCTCGGCTTCAGCAAACACGAGACGACAAACTTACCGATCGCCGCCATGAGGTTGTCGGATTTCAGCTCCCCGTCAATCCCGTTCACGATCACGTGGCCACCATCGTCGTACAGATTCCAATCCACGACCTCCGTGTGCAGGTACCCCTTCTCGGCCGCCGCCAATTCCGCGACGCATTTTAGGTTTACATTAGAACAAGGGGCAGGAATGTCAATTCGGTATATTTTAGGGCGACAAAATTTAAATTTTAGGGCGACAAATAGCAATTCAGATACTCTAAGGGGTGAACAAACAAAATTGAAAATGAACCAACCGTCTAATATAAACTGACCCATTTGTAATATTCGAGCAAATCCAATTCTTGGCCGTTGATGGTAGGAAAGGTTCTAGTCAAAGCCTTGGAACCTTTGGTTTTAGGTTGAAGATGTAGTACCTCATTTATAACCCGTTGATTACCCAAACCGACTAGTGATACGACATTTTGATTTTACATCGAAGTCTTTTATATTTGACATATATTCCATGGGTAAATTGCAAGGTTGGTCACTAGATTTACTAAAAACGTTCATATTTGATCACTACAAATATTTAATTCCATTCATGGTTACTAAAATTAGTTCAACAGTTCCTGTTTGGTCACTCTTCATTAGTCTCCGTTAATTTTTGCTGATGTGGCAGTTATAGGTGTCAATCGGGCGGGTTCGGGCTGGGTTCAATCGGGTTCGGGTTCAAACGGGTTGCGGGTTAGTCGGGTTACGGGTTCATCGGGTTCGGGTTCATCGGGTTTGGGTTCAAACGGGTTGCGGGTTAGTCGGGTTGCGGGTTCATCGGGTTGCGGGCAAATAGGGTTGCGGGCAAATAGGGTTACGGGTTCATCGGGTTTTGGGTCGGGCGGGTTGCGGGCGGATCGAGTTTCGGGTTGTTCGGGCCCGCGCATCTAGTAACTTAACTCACTACAAGAAAAAACATAGTTAGTGTCGGTTTTAACCGATACTAATTCTTTTTGTGTCGGTTCACTTAACCGACACGAAAGTTGTCGACACTAAACCGATTCGTGTCGGTTTTGGACAACCGCTGGAATAACCGACCCAAATTATATTTATGCCGGTTACTAACCGACACTAATTATTTATCTAGAAAATTATTTTTTACTTGAAATTGTTATCTGTGTCGGTTCACTAACCGACTCAACTTAGTCAAATTTTTAATAAAATAAAAAAATCCCCGGCGAGTCAATCGTCGCAGGTGACCATTCTCCTCCTCTCCGGCCAACCCTCTTCTTTTCCTATCCCTCGATACATATCAAAACTATTAGAAAAAACAAAGATCTGGAAAACTGAACTCACAAAAGCTGTTCTTCATTACCAAACTCTTCTTCATTCACGAACCCAGAAAAGTTTCACAAACCCAGAAAATACAACCCCCTAACCCAACAATTACAACCCTTTTAAACCTAGAAAATGCGAACTCCAAACCCAACAACCACAGATACAAACCAGAGAACAAAATCTTATCTTCTTCCAAACCAACCGAATCAAAATTTGCTCTTTCTCCTCCTTAAACCCATTAGATCCCAAAAAATAAAAAAACACAAAAAAAAAAATGCAACAGAATCCTTCTCCGCCGTCGCCGCGAGTCTCGCACCAGGCCTTGTGTTTATTGATCTCCGTCGGGATTGCGCTCGTGGACCTCCACCTCCTCCACCAGCTCTTGCTACCTCTGTCGCCTCACCCTCAGCTCCCTACGTTTCCTCTCGATCTCTCCGCTATCGTTGCCAGCTCTCGCTGATCGTCGCTATCTCGGTTTCTCTGCCATAATCGTCGGATCTCGCCGAGCGTCGCCATTTCGGTCTCTCCGCCATCGTCGCCGGATCTCGCCAGAGGAAGAAGCTAGCGACGGAGGGGATCTTTTTTTTAAGAGAGGAATCGAAGGAAGGAGATGAAAGAAGGGTCTATTTTTTTCTAGAACAGAGGAGCAGGTGAATGGTTCATTTTTTGGAGAGGAACGAAGAAGGAAGCAGGAGAGAAAGAAGGAAAGTTGAGAGAGAGAAGGAAAGTTCAGCGGCGAGAGATTGAATTGGGGAGAGGAGAGGGGTTTGTTTATTTGGAGTAAAGGGACTTTTTTTCAAAGTAAAAAATTTCAATTCTTAGGAGGGAAGTTTTGGCGGATAGGGAAAATTTTTGGAGCCAAAATAGCATATAAATTTTGCCAAAATTCAAAACCCCATAATTGTGTCGGTTAAACTAGTAACCGACATAAATCCGATAAAATTGTGTCGGTTAAATAACCGACACAAATCTCCGACGCAAATCAATCGTTTAGTGTCGGTTAAATGAACCGATACTAAATGTCTGTTTTCTTGTAGTGACTCATTACTCATTTCCCTCCTTCTTTCTCTTTCCATACATTAGAAAAACTCAATTTTCCCTCCTCTTTCTCTCCCATAAAATTGAAAGAACCAAATTACCCTCTTTTTTCCTTCTACAAAAAGTTGAAAAGTCAAAAGTTTCTCTCCTTATTTCTCTTTCATAATCAAAAGAATCAAACTTTCTCATTTCTTTCTCTTCCCACATATCAAAACCACCAAAATTTCCACTTGTTTCTTTTCTAAAAAATTCAAAGAACCAAATTTTCCTCTTCTTTCTCTTCCCAAAAACTTGAATACACCAAAAATTTCATCTTCTTTTAAAAATATCAAATTACCAAATACATTACTTTACTTTATTTATATTTAATTGATAGTTTTATTGAATAGTTAAATTAACCAAAATTTTAATTTATATATTATATTAATATTGTCATGATCTCAAGTGACCTTCATGTTTCAATTTTTGTAATTTTCTTAAAATACGTAATATCAAGTGAGTTTCATATTTTTTAAATTTCTTATACGAAATGAAAAAATAATTTTACTAAAGTTTAGAATGAAAAACTATATATTGTATATTTTTATAATTATTCAAGTGGATTAGATGAAATTTGGGTTGAGTCGGTCGGGTTACGGGTTAGTCGGGTTCGGGTAAATCGGGTTGGGTTAATCGGGTTGCGGGTCAGTCGGGTTGCGGGTCAATCGGGTTCAGGTTAATCGGGTTGCGGATCTGTCGGGTTGCGGGTCAATCGGGTTGCGGGTCGGGCTACGGGTTGTTGACTTTTAGTCAAATTCGGGTTGCGGTCGGGTTGCGGGTCGTGTTGATCGGGCGGGTTAATCGGGTCGGGCTATGTTTTGACACCTATAGTGACAGTCAACCTTCATAGTTAACCGTTAAATGAGTGACGTGGCTATTAACAAATTAAGAAAAAATTTAAATTTAAAGTTTTACAATTTTCATAAAAATAAAATTCAATTTTCATAATCACCCAAATAACCAACCTAGCCGTCCTCCTCCACCACCTATGTGCCGTTCTAATTGCCCTTGCCCTACTACTGATACCGCCGTCACCACAGCAAAAGCTACCACCGCTGCCAACACAGCAAAAGCCGTGACAATGAAGTCCACAAAACCCCCATGACCTCTTCCTCTCCCCGATTCTCCACCATCTCAATCGAACCTAACACCGCCACCATCGCAAACAACAATACTACGTTCGTCGGTAAGAAGGGCGAACCGCTAAAGCCCGCCGGCGCAGATTGAAATGGCCAGCGCATGGGGTGACCAGCCGACATTGTAGTCTCTCTGATTCAAAGACAATTCAAATTCTCTGTAGTTCTCCATCAATTTGGGGCTTTCTTCTCCCTTCTCCCTTCTCCCAAATGGGTTTTTTCGATGGGGAGTTTCAAATGGGAGTTGGTGAAAAGAAAGGGAGAAACAGTGAATTAGAAGAAATTAGGGTTTTAATTTAGTTATTAATGAATGTGTAACGAGTTGGAAATTTTTATAGATTAAATTTTATTTTTTATTAATTTTTTAATAGCCACGTCATTCATTTAACGGTCAACTATGAAAGTTGACTGTTATATCAGTAAAAGTTAACGGAGACTAATGAAGAGTAATCAAACATGAACTATTGAACATATCTTAGTGGCTATGAATGGAATTAAATATTTGTATTGACCGAACGTGAACATTTTTAGTAAAATCAGTGACCATGTTTGCAATTTACCCTATATTCCACTAATCACAAATCTCTTACTTTAACTTTCGGTTAATACCTTATTTTGGCTCGAACTATGACCATATAATCAACTTTGGCCCGTGGTTTTAGAAATTAACATCATGACCTCAACTATACCGCATATATACTCAATTGGCCCAACACATGGTTTGACCGTTAATTTGGACGGTCAACACCGTTGACCGTTAGTCAACATGCCATGTCATTGTCTCGTCAACATAAAAATTATTATAAAATTTGAATTTAAATTATTTTCCAAATTTTTATTATTTATCATTTTCAAACTAACCAAAAAATAAAATTTAAATAATTAATTAAATTTATAAAATTTATCATTTTCAAATTTACCAAAAAATAAAATAAAAAATATTTTTTTGGTTAATTTGAAAATGATAAATAATAGAAATTAGGAAAAAATTTTAATTTTTTAATGATTTTTAGGCTGACGAGGCAATGACATGACATTTTGACTAATGGTCAATGGTGTTGACCATCAAAATTGACGGTCAAAACATGTGCCGGGCCAATTGAGTCTATATGTTGCATAATTGAGGTCAGGATGTTAATTTCTGAAACCACGGGCTAAAGTTGATTATATGGTCATAGTTCGGGCCAAAATAAGGTATTAACCTTTTAACTTTTACACGTGTAATTTGTTTACATAGATATAAATGATAAATTGTAAAGACAATTATTTATTGAACTGTTCACTTAAGCGAATTATTATTTTAGTTCCTGTATTTATCTAGTATCAATTAGGGGTGGAAATTAGGGTGGGTGTGGTTACCCGCCCCACATTTTGCGGGTAACCACATCCACAAATATAGAATTATGCTACCCACAACCCGTCCCGCAGTGGGTAGTGGTTAACCACTACCCGCTGCGGGTTGGTTGTGGATACCCACAAAAATTTCACATTAAAAATAATAATATGATAATTAAATAGTGATGTTGGGTTTCTTCTCACACAAAAACAAAAACATACATAAAAGAAAGTTAATAAAGTGTTAAATAAATTATAAATCTCGAATACAATAGGTTAGTTAGTGTAAATTCAAAGGAGATGGATCTGTAAAGAGATTTGAAGATAACGAAGAGGCGGAGTGATATGTTACCCGACTAACATCGTTGCATGTCACGGCTCCTCCGATGACAACAACAACAAAACACAAAAGTGGCTCGATAAGTGGAGGCGCCGCTTTTAATGAATCGATTATTCTCCACTCTCGATTATAGTCTTGTATTGTTGGTAGTTGGTTGCATGTTGTGTTGTTCGTGAGTTCGTGGAGAAATGGAGATGAGTTTGGGTATCAGACTAACCTTTATCGATTATTCTCTTCTTTTAACGAATCGATTAATTTATCTGACGATATCTATGGACTTGGTTTTATTATAAAATAAACATATACCATAGGGACAATGCTTATTTAATAAAAGAATCTCACATGAACATTATTGTGTATTGACTTGGTTTTGTTTTATAGAATAAGTGCATATTTGATTTTGGTAGCTACTTTAATTCTTAGTCTTCCAAGTTTCACAAACTAATATAACTAATGTGGTTAATGTGGGTTACAAAGTATTTTGAAAAAATAAATATAACTAATGTGGTTAATGCGGGTTTTGTGGGTAGACCACTGTGGGTAGTGGTTAACCACTAACCACAAAAATTAATATTTTGATACCCACACCCAACCCACTATCCACAAATTGTTGATATGGGTATCCACAAAGTGTGCGGTTTGGTGCGGTTTGCAGGTTACCCGCAACCCGCAAACCAAACTTCCACCCCTAGTATCAATGCACATTTCACTTTGACAATTTTTTATTGTTTCATATAATGTCATATATGTCTTATTTTGCATATTAAATTATTAAAATTATAAATTTTGTTCTCGTATATATAATAGATTGGGTTCCCACCCAACCCGACCCAAACCCTGACTCAAGACATCCGTAGGGTCTTGAAATTAATGAGTAGATTTGGATTTACAATAATTCAACCCATGATTCATTTGATCTGGTAGTTAAAATGCTCGAAAACCGATAGTACATATCATCCACCCTCCTATTTGGAAAAAGACTTGGAATATCCAAGTCCCGCCTAAGCTCAAATTTTTCATATGACAATGCCTCAAAGTCATACTTCCCACAATAGCGGCCCTTCAAACTCGTGGAGTAAACTGCGTTAACCGATGCCCTGTCTGCTGGAGACATCGAGAAAGCATTGAACATTTATTCTTCAAATGCCCACTAGCCATCAGATTGTGGACTTTAGTGGGATTGAGCAACTTTATTGAGACCGCCCAGACTGTTAACTTTAGTCTATGGTGGCGACGTGTCATGGTCTCTAAGACCTCCCCATTCCACATTCTCCAATGAGTCTGTTTACTTTGGAGAATCTGGAAGTCTAGAAATAAATGACCTTCGAATTTTACCAACCTCATGTCTGTTTCCTAGCCATACAGTTCTACAACCAGGTCCTCGAAGTCTCCAATCTTCTCCTTCCTCCTCCACCCCGCAGCTCTCTACTCCCAAACCATCCTACCACCACTTGGGTCCCTCCGCCAGAAGACTTTTTGAAGATCAACTTCGACGCTGCTGTTAGTGCCACCGAGTGTTCGTCTGGTCTTGTTATTCGTGGGTCAGATGGGCATGTGGTATTGGCGTTCGGGCTGCAGCATCAAGGAATAGTCAATCCTTACTTGGAAGAGCTTCTAGCCTTTAGAGATGCTATCTCCATCGTAGCCTCAAGATCCTTGACCCGCGTGATAGTCGAAGGTGATTACGAAGTGGTCGTCAAGGCGTCATAGAAGACTCGATTGGTGGTCCGGTGTTACGAGAGTGTCATCAGATCCTTAGCTCTTTGTCTGTTTGTATAGAGTTTAGGGCGGTACCTAGGTCCGCCAACAGTGCTGCCCATAGAGTGGCGCGTAAAGCACTGCTTTTGTCTCATTTAAAGCTAGAATCTTTTGATTTTTTGGGGTGACTTCTTTAGAGTCTTTAAGGGGTCCCGGGTAGAATTGTAAGTTTAACTATTATCCTCCATTGATATCACTCAGAAATAAAAAAAAAACTCAACCGAGCCATGTACAACTATAATGAGCTTAGCTCTAGCTTTGGTAAACCTCAGTTCAACTCGGTTTATTTATTTTGTTGAGAAAAATCGACATGATTTCATTGAAATCAAGGAAAATCTAAGAAGCTACAACATCAGCTATCTGAGTAGAGATAATATCAAACTAAACTCTATTGTAACTTGTTAGACAAATCCCACATCTACAAAGCACGAGAGAGATCCATGGTTCCTAAGTAAGAAACCAACCTTCACTGACAAGACGTGTTTTGGGTAGGGATGGTAATTTCGACCTGACGCATTTTACTCGACCTGTTTGGCCTGTTATGGGCGGGTCCGACCCGCCCCGTAGGCAGGGCAGGGCGGGCATACGTACACTCATCAACCCGACCTGCCTGACCGCCCCATTCTCGACCTGTTCTTCCCAAGGTTCTAAAAAGCGCGCCTTGGCACTCGCATAAGCTCGTCAACGCACAACTCAGAAGGAAAACGCATCGCCTTGGCCAAAAGCAGGGAACAAGACGTCACAATCATGTTATGGCCTCAACGGTGCCTAGTCAGTATTGAGTTGTGCCTCAAAGTGATGTCCAGGAGCAACTCAGAAGGAAAACACCTCTACCTTTTGATATGCTACTAGGTTATAGAGGAATCAAGACTGTCCTTCCTTTTAATTCTCCCCCTCCTGATTGTTTCTACCCGTTAGGCTAGAGTTAGAGACAACCATTTTTAGAGTAACTTCTTCTTTCTTTATAGCGCTTCTTCGCTGCTATTTTCCAACTTCTTATTCGTTTCTCATTTCTGCACTCTAGGTTTTATACTTTACCATGTAGTGTTGATCAAGGTTTAGAAATGAGAGGTAGATGCGATGATATTGGTTCATAAACTTGTGATTCTAGGCAAGTGTGAGATATTTTTCTACGTTTACATCTAACGCTTAGGCACGCCAAGGCGACGCCTAAGCATGCTAGGCGCAAGGCAGAGTCTCAACGCTTTCCTTATGCCTAGTGCTTTCTTAAACCTTGGGTTTTCCCTAAATTACATGTAATCTTAGTCAAATTACTTTAGATTTTCCTTTATTACATCATATTTTAGCTACAACAAAATTATAAATTAGTGAAACCCTTAATTTCTCCAACAATTTAACTACATTTACCATTTCTTGGTCCTATAATGAAAATAACGAATATTTCTAATGTTTTTCAAATAAATACGTATCCATGGGGTCGACTTTCCGACCCACGACCCATGATAAATTATCCGACCTGGATCCGACCTGCCACGGGTCGGTTATGGATATCTAGATACCTCTTGATTCGGGCCTAATTACACATATTTTGCCCCCGGTTTGCTTAGATGTTTGTGCAAAATTTGCTCATTAAAGGTTGGTTTTACGCGAGGTTCTTTGTGTTTGAGTGCTTTTCAGAATTTAACAGGTGGAACCAGCCTCGGAGTCAAAGGATTGGCGAAAAGGATCGAAAACCGGGAGAAGAGGTGAAAAAGCACAAGTTCACGGCTAAAGGCAGGAGTTCACGGTCGTGCAAGACCGTGAAGAAGGGGAGTTGACCGTGAAGCGTAAGGCGTCCATAGCCAAGTTGAAGGTTACTGACGCAAGGCGAGTTCACGGTCACTAAGACCGTGGACACAAGCAGTTGCCCGTGAACTTCCATGATTGATGCAGAGTGTTTTGGCGCAAGGCTTGAGTTTACAGACGCGTTTGATTGTTCACGGTCGTGAACTCAGGCCGGAACTCAGCTCTTCTCGGGTTTAAAAGCTGAGCTGCAAGGAGAGAGAGGGGAGAGCAACTTTTGTGAGAGAAACACCTTCTTCTGCATTTTAGTGAGAGAAACAGAACCAAAGAGAAGAAGAGGTTAGGGCTTGGCTTCAAAGGAGGTTTTGTGTTGATTTCCCCAAGGAAATCCCAGCTCAAGGGTCAAGAAGAGAGGAGGCATCCCCAAAAGATGGTTTCCACCTTTTTCCCCTTTGTTCTTCCCACTTCTTCCATGGAGTAGTCCTCCTTTCACTTGGGTGTAGTGAAACCCTAAACTCTACCATGTAGTTTTCTTGTATGTGGTTTGGATGATTGATATTGGGTATTGTTCAATTTATTGTTTGAGGTGTTATTCACCATAATTTTGCATGCTTGTACTTAGCAACTTAGGGGTTGTGCATATTTTGTGCTTAGCATCCTAGGGATTGTGCATAATTGTGCTTAGCACCCCTAAGTTTGTGCATTTAGGTGCTAGTAATCTAATTTGCCAACTTAGCCTAGTTTAGAGAGGAAAATCCCCCTTTTCAAGGGAGACTCAATCGAGTTGCTTTTCCTTCTGCTTTCCAAGCCACCTAAACTAGGTTGAGTTAGGGCAACCCTCAATATTGAATTAAACAAGTCGATTAATCGCGGTTAAACCGTCAGACCTTAGAGTTGAGTGAGGGAGTAAGCCGATTACCGATTGTCTAAATCGAGAGGGTCGAGTGACACGACCTTTCATCCTCACCTCGATTTAGCGATCGAGACTGTGGTCTCCGACTACATACGTTTTCCTCTGCGGTTTACGATCAACGTGCCCAAGGCAATTGCTCCAACCCACATAGCATGGTAGCGGTTAGGGGGAAGCGAAACCCGTGTGACTTTCCCACAAAAGAGTTTTCAAACCAAATTACTTTTTCTATCTTTCATTTCAATTGGCAAACCTTTAAACCAAAGTTTTATAGCAAGATAATGATTTCAACAACCGAAGTAGGGGTAGACGGACCGGCCCAGTCGATATAGATACTCACCTTATACTGCACCCGATTAGAGTTTAAAAACTTGGGCTCTAATTGGGGTTTATTGTGGTATAGTTTCGTGCGAGTCAAATTTTTGGCGCCGTTGCCGAGGACAACGGTCTGTTATTCTGAAAAAGTTGTTGGTTGTTAATCTAGCTTTTAATTTCAAGTTTTGCAAGTGTGTGTTCTTTGCTTGGGCTAGACTTGGTGTTTTTCGATTGTGTGTAGGAGGTGCATGACCCGGAGCAACCCGACTCTCCGACTCCTCGGAAGCCTTGACTCTAATGGGGAGCTGTATGACCCCGCTTGAAGCAAAGTTAGATCAGTTGATCAGAGTGATGCTTGAGGATAAAGGGCATGTAAGCGGGGTAGCAACACCTATGGAGTGGTGTGAAAGTTGGAACCATAAGGATGTGGAGTACCACCGAATGAACCTCCTTGAGGAGGAGGTGATGAACTTTGTCGTCTCCAGCTCCAAAAAGTTTGAAAGAATCGACATATTCATTGGAGAGGCAACATAGAAGTTCTCGGCCATAGAGGCGGGGTTGGGGAGTCAGGAAACCCACTTGATCAACCTAGCCACAAGCATAAGTGGTATCTCGCAGGCGTCTAAGTCTTGGAAATCAGTCGACGAAGTCGATGTGGTGGCCATGACTCTTTGAAGTGGAAGAGAGGGCAAAGAGCTACCCCCAAAGAAGAAACAACTTGCTACAGAAGAGCAAAAAGGGGGCGGCAGCCTCCCCTCGCAGCCGGAAGCCACGAGTGACAGGGATCTCGACTCTACAACCCCTAAACCGACCTCTCAAGAAGAGGATGTCACTCTGAGCCCTCAACCAGAGCAAGAAAAGAGGAAAGCAACCCCAACTCTCCCTTATCCTTCACGGCTTCGCAACGAGCGCAGGCGACAGAGTTCACCCACTTCATGGAGTTGATGAACCAGTTGCATTTGAACAACCCCTTCTTGGAGGCTGTCACCCAAATGCCCAAGTACGCCAAATAGCTGAAAGACCTCCCCACCAACAGGAAGAAGCTTGAGGGGGTGGCTAATGTGAGCTTGAATGAGGAATGCGGGCCCTCGTGCAGAACCACTTGCCGCCTAAACGCAAAGATCCAGGGAGTTTCACTATCCCTTGCTTTATTAGTGACGTATGCATAGGAAAGTCCTTGCGAACCTAGGAGCTAGCATTAATGTGATTCCCTACAAGTTGTTTCAAAAGTTAGAACGTGGAGAACTTAGAGCCACTAGGATGCACATTCAGTTGGCGGATAGGTCTATAGTACGACCAAAAGGTGTTGTGGAGGACTTGCTCATTAAGGTAGGACCTCTCGTGCTTCTTGTGGACTTTGTTATCTTAGAAATTGATGAGAAAGTTGAGGTCCCCCTCATTTTGGGAAGGTCTTTCTTAGCCACCGCCAAGGCTATGATTGATGTGCATGGAGGTAGGTTGGTGCTTAGGGCAGGAGAGGAGGAGGCCACATTCTCCATTGATGATAGAATGAAGTTGTCTCGTTGCCATGATGATTTTGATTACTGCGAAGAGGTTTTTTGACTTCATGGAGACACTTGTGTCTGCGGGTGCCCTTGCTAATAACCCTTTTGAGGAGTGTTGCTTGGTAGGAACCGACGCCCCGGACTCCCCGGAGGATGATAGCCAACCCATGCAAGACCAAGAAGTGGAGGCATTGCCCTCAATGCCGGAAATCCAGGAGGAACCCCGCGAGTTGGAACTGAAACCGTTACCTCCCCACCTCGAGTACGGCTTTTTGAGGGATGATGGGAAGCTTCTAGTATTCATCAACGCCAATCTCACGCCCGAGCAGAAGGTGGACTTGATTGAGGTCTTAAGGCATCAAGAGAGGGCAATATCTTGGAAGATCACAAATATATGAGGAATTGGGCCAAACTTTTGTTCTCACAAGATCCACCTGGAGTAGGGGGCCAAACCGGTTTGGCAGAGGCAATTGAATCCTAATCTGGAAGTAGTGAAGGCAGAAGTGATCAAGTTGCTGGATGCCGGGATTATCTACCCTATCTCGGATAGCCAATGGGTGAGCCCAACCCAGTTGGTCCCTAAGAAGGGAGGAATGACGATGGTAGCCAATGAAAAGGAAGAGCTTATACCGACAAGAACGGTGACGGGATGGAGGGTGTGCATTGACTATCGAAGATTGAACGAAGCCACGCAAAAGGACCACTTCCCTTTGCCTTTCATTGATCAAATCCTGGAGAGACTCGCTGGGCATGGTTACTACTGCTTCTTGGATGGGATGTCAGGATACTTCCAGATCCCAATTGCCCTAGAAGATCAAGCCAAGACGACATTCACATGCCCCTTCTGGACCTTTGCTTACCGACAAAACCCGTTTGGATTGTGTAATGCCCCGGTAACATTCCGGAGGTGCATGGTGGCCATCTTTGATAAGCTAGTTGGGGAGTTAATGGAAGTATTCATGGACGACTTCTCAGTGTTCGGAGATTCATTCTCTCATTGTCTGGCCAACTTGGAGAAGGTCCTCGAGCGACGTGAAGAAACCAATCTAGCCTTGAGTTGGGAGAAGCCCCATTTTATGGTCAGGGAGGGCATTGTGTTGGGTCACAAAATATCCAAGCAGGGGATTGAGGTGGATCGCGCCGAAGTTGAGACAATAAGGAAACTACCTCCCCTTACCACAATTAAGGGCATAAGGATTTTCCTTGGGCATGCGGGGTTTTACCGCCGTTTCATCGAAAAATTCTCGAAGATCGCATTGCCCTTGACCAAGCTTTTGGAGAAGGACACCCCATTCCTTTTCATAAAGGAATGCTTTGATGCTTTCAACATCCTTAAAGAGAGGCTCACCAATGCCCCCATAATGGTCTCACCATATTGGAACATCCCCTTCGAGCTCATGTGCGATGCTAGTGATTATGCAGTGGGAGCTGTTTTGGGTCAAAGGAGGGGTAGACACTTCCAACCTATTTTCTACGCCTCAAAGACACTAAATGATGCTCAGGAGAACTACACAACCACAAGGAAAGAGCTGTTAGCAGTCATCTTTGCTTTCTATAAATTCAGGTCTTACATGGTGCTCTCCAAGTTTGTTGTCTACACAGACTACTCTGCCATCCGCTTCTTGATCAGCAAGGCGGATGCCAAGCCTCGACTGATTTGATGGATCCTGCTGCTGCAAGAGTTTAATTTGGAGATCAAGGATAAAAAGGGGCCGAAAACCTTGCAGCTGACCACCTCTCGCGGCTCGAAGGACCAGGAAGTAGCACGCATCCGAGAGAGATAAATGACACTTTCCCCGATGAGCGTCTACTCGACCTCGGTGCTGCAGAGAGTATCGCCCCTTGAGAGAAACAAGTTATTCTCCGACCTCTATGCCTACTTCTGGGACGACCCTCACCTTTTTCGAATTGGAACCGACGGAGTCATTCGAAGGTGCATATTGGAGGAGGAGATGGAAGGTATTCTGAACCACTGTCATACGGGGCCAGCTGGCGGTTACCACGGAGGCAACCAAACTGCAAGAAAGGTGCTCTAGTCTGGACTCTATTGCCCGAGCCTTTTTCGGGATCCTACAAATTCGTGATCCATTGCGACAGATGCCAAAGGACAGGTAATGCTTCTAATCGAAATGAGATGCCCCAAACAATTTCTATCACTTGTGAGATTTTTGACGTTTGGGGCATCAATTTTATGCGACCTTTCCCCTCGGCTTTTGGTAACAAATACATCCTTGTGGCCGTAGACTACGTGTTGAGGTGGGTTGAGGCTCAAGCTCTCCCCACCAATGATGCAAGATGAGTCTGTGGATTTTTGAAAAAGCTGTTTTCACGGTTTGGGACCCCGAGGGCCATTGTTAGCGACCGAGGAACCCATTTTCAAGGGCAATTTGATTAGCTCCTTGCTCTCTACGGTGCCAACCACCAGGTATCCATGACCTATCACCCCCAAACTAGTGTAAAAGTCGAGCTATCAAATAGGGAGCTAAAACGGATCCTGTAAAAGACCGTGGATCAATCCCTCAAGGATTGGTCCGCAAAGCTTGATGATGCTCTATGGGCATACCGCACGGCCTACAAAACACCAATAGGCATCTCGCCTTACCATTTGGTGTATGGCAAAGCGTGCCACTTACCCGTAGAGCTAGAGCACAAGGCTTTCTAGGCCACAAAGCTTTTGAATATGGACTCTAGTTTGTGTGGAAATGAAAGGAAGTTGTAGGTGATCGAACTTGAGGAGTGGCGTCTCCAAGCCTATGAGAACACCAAGATTTACAAGGAGAGGACGAAGTGCTTGCATGATGCTCGCCTGAAAGGAGGGAAGGATTTCCAGCCGGGAGACAAGGTTCTCTTGTACAACTCCCTGTTGAAGTTATTCCCTGTCAAGTTAAGATCGAAATGGTCGGGCCCGTATATGATAACACAAGTATTCACATAAAGGGTGGTTGAGATCTCCCACCCGGAGGAAGGAACTTTCAAAGTGAATGGATACCGCCTGAAGCGTTACCTTGGAGGAGAGGTAGTGCCACACAAGGAGGTGGTGTTCCTACAAGATGCATTACCCGGAGTCTCTGTCTAGCTTAAGACTTTAAAGAAGCGCTTGTTGGGAGGCAACCCAACGAAGGTTAGAAAGCTTAAACTACTACTATTATGTATTGTGCTTGTAATAACCTCGCCTCGAGCGAGTCGTATTGTGCTTGTGTGTGCTTTTTGTTGTCTCTCCTTGAAGCTTCAATTATCCTACCCTGGTTCGATTCCTACATTCACTCGCCAAGCCCAAGCGGTAACATCACTCTACCCCTTTCTTACGCCATTGAGGACAATGCCGAGTTTAAGTCTGGGGGTGGGGGGGGGGGGGTAGTCTTCTAGTGTGCTTGTGTGAGTGAGGTGTTGCTTGACTTTTGTATGCCAAAATTTCAAAAATTTGAGGGCTCCAAGCATCGTTTTCATGTTCAAAGTGACCGGATAGTGGGAAATTCTCGTGTTTGTGGCATTAATCTTGAACTATGCATGTGATTGAGTATATCATATGATGATGACTGAGAAGTTCATTAGGATAGGGCAAGTCTTTAGTTCTCAATGTGTGCATAAATGAATGGAGGCCTTGACTTGATCACTTGTTGTTTACAATTGTCATGCATCGTGTTTATGAATTGGAATAGATGGTTGGGTAACTAGGTAGCCTGTGAGCTTTGAGCCGTTCTTTTCTTTCGGTGTGATAGTTCTCTCTTACCACGGTGTGTAGCATCACAAGTTATCACTAGCAAGTATGATGGAGGCATAGGATTAGTCCACGCCCCAAAAGTTGATTGTAACACCCCACCCTATACGTATTACCTAATCATATTTTTCATACATTTGCAGCGGAAATAATCTCGGGTATTACATTAATTACCAAAATTTACCCAATTAAAATTTTGACATGAATTACTCTCGTAATGGGCTAACAGTTCTTGCAACTAGACCTGCAAAATAATTTATATGAATATATGCATTCATAGATTTACATATATACTCACAACCATATACATTGGCTTTCAAAGCCATAGCCACACTTTTGTACTCTGCAACTATGTACCATGCTTATACATGTCATAATCGTCACAACTTACATAATTACACAAATATACACATATTATAAACTTTCTACACCTGTGGATATCTCACACTGCATCAGAAGTTAGTATGCACATGAAAATGTTCTCAAAACATTTTTACAAAAGGGTGTGGATCACTGGCCAAAATCCTGAGTAGTAGTCCAAGCACAGAATAGTTGAAGACCATACCTCATCTTGCCTTCAACTCTTGCTCAGCTCCCACCTATACACCTATCTACTACTGCTAATGATGATGATCTGCTTACACATGGCATAAGTAGAGAAAAAGGATAAAGAGGGTCAGCTCATGGCTGAGTGAGACAATCATTGCATCGTGAGTTCATAACAAAGCATACCCCTACCATACATCTAGCAATCAAGACAAAACACTAGGATCGGACCTCAGCCATCCTCATATCCCAATGGGCAAAAGACTCAACCACTTTGATTTATGCATATGCATCTTATCATGTTTTACTTATAGGCGCCTGGCTACTCCCATGCTAATAACTCTCCCGGGAAACATACCCCACATCCCGTCGGATGTAGTCATACATACCCCAACATCCCGTCGAATGTGGTCATAAATACCCCACACCACTATGGGTGTAGTCATACCCCGACACCGCTCTGGGTGTAGTCATATCTCGTAAGAAATCTTCAGTCACCACCACATGCGAGGTGTGACTATCATACATATCATAATAGAGTAATAGCATAGGGAGTCCTAATAATTATGTAGTTGACCGTGAGACCAAAGTACTCTTACTTCGTATCCTTATACATGATCCATATCTCATCTTGCTTAATCATAATTCATTACTTGCACATGTACTTGACCTGACCATAATTGGCTCAACATAGGTAAAACATGAGTCGTATAATTGCACTTCCTCGGGATAAACCCTCGTGCAAGTCATCCTCCTAAAACATCAAAATATCACAATGAGATATATATTTTTCCCACTTGTACATCCAAATACATCAATCATGAAAAATCATACTCAATCACCTTTTCGAACCATCATAAGGAATATCAACATTCAATCCCACAATTTGCAACATATACGAAATCATCAGCATAAACAAGGTCCATCTCGATTAGGACAAGTCAATAATATCATACAGTAGTCCAGGGTTCATCATATAGCACAAAAGTTCATACACCCCTAATCAGGCCATTCTAGTTCACCTAGGTCAATTCTAAGCATCAATATAATTATCGTGATACGACAAACCCGGTATGCCGTGCTAATCCCGCACCAGTTCTGGTCGTTCAAACACCGGTTTTAGCCTCCGTACTAAAACATCAATTTCACAAACGAACCCGGAATTAGAATCCGAGACCGTCCTAATATCCCCTGCAGTGTCCCCGTAAATGTTAGTTCTAGGCTCCGGATCAAATTCTCGATAAAAACACATCAAACCCTGGCCGGAGCTAAATTTTAACGATCCCGGCTTCGACCTAAATAATAGCCGAAATTCATGGATTACCTCGCTGCAGGAAGCTCGTATATGAAATTTGGGCTCAATCCGGCTTCCAGATACTCCGAAACCCTAATTTGGCTTATCGGGAATTCAAGAAATTCCTGAACCAAAAACTCGTTTTAAATATCTAAATCGATAAATCACGATGTATAGATGAATTAGGCATTACTTACGAGATTTTTGGATCACTGTAACTCAAGAATTGAGCTTTGCAATTTCCTACCGAGCACCCCCTGTGCGCGTTCTCTGTTTCTGGTTTGGGGAAGAGAAATGAGAAATGGATGGGGAAGGGTTTTTGTACGTGTATAAATAAAGGATGGTGGGCGGCCTTTATCCCCTGCCGCTTCACCCCTCATTATTTTTATTTGTTCCCCAAGCAATTTCTCTCCCGTCGACGTGTGTGAAAATCATTTTATATATATAAAATTAATCCGTATACTTATCCGATCGATCGATAATCTGATTTTCGTCGAAATACTATTAAAACCCCCGATTTTAATCGCGTAATTTTTCTAGCGACAATAATACGATTTTAGCCGAAACGGGATGTTTCATTGATTGTCCCGAGATGCATCATCCCTTAGTCAACCCCTTTGACTCCGTGGGTCGTTCTCAATTTAGGAGCTTTGTTTGTGTGAGCTTAAAGGTGTTAGTAGAACGACCCCCAAATCGTTTTTTCGTATCCAAACATGAGTCGCCCGTGTGTCCCGGAGCTCTTACCGTTGAGTTTCCATAGAGGTTCTACATTGGAGGTTCATGTGTGGTTCTTGCTAGGAGTGCAAAATGGAGTGTAGTGTTGGAGTTAGTTCCTCAAATAAAGAGAGCATTGGTCGATAAATGTTTAGGTGGCAAGTGTTTTTACTCTCTAATACCCCCCTCAAAAAGAAAGAAAAGAGAAAGAAAAGAAAAGAGAAACGAAAAAGAGGTAATAAAATGGGGTAAAAAAAGTAGAGAGTGCCACGAAAAACCAAAGTACATGCTCTAGGAAGGGGTTTCTTGGCACCCAAGCCATCGAAACCCCCACATTGTTTAGAACTCCTTCACTACCAAACCTTAAAGAACTAGCAAGAGTTGACCGAGGAAGAGTGCTTCAAGGTAGTTCATGATTGGTGATAGTTGGAAGGGAGAGATAAGGGTTTTGACCGATGCTAGTGGCCTTTGATTGAATAGAAGGGTTTTAGTAGAAACCATAGACCCTTCAGGGGTAGTTTGAAGATGTAGATTGTAGAACCTCACGTCATGATTGCCACCACCCAAAAAGCATTTTCCTCATGTCCAAGCCAATCGCTAGTCATCTGAACCTGTGTCTAAGACCTCCGGACGAGTTAGTGGTGATAACCATCCCGTGAACTCTAGCATTTAGAGATTACCGCTGTGGTATCGAGACGATAGGGCCGAGAGGTTACGATTATGCACATCTTTTGCACCAAAGAGGTTCCGACCCCATTGGTCTTGAGAGTGAGCGATTCATTCTTGCTTTGCATGTCATATCATACCCCGGTGAGGACCTTTGTTGCCTTTCCATTTGTTCCTCGAACTTGAATTCCATGCATGGTTGGTTGTGGTCGATAAGTCATTTTGTTGAGACTTGCATTTATCCATGAATAAGTTGAGAACTTTTCGTTTGCCCGTTTTGGTGGCTTTGAATGTCATTTGTGGTGGATGTCGGTATTGCTTGCAACGGTTCATGTGTTGATTGTCAATGAACAACGAGAATTCCCGCTTCGTGTCCTTCGAGTTGTCCCCAAAGCATTTGTGTATGTCGAAATACTATTTTGTGAAATGGTTTGCTTGGGGACAAGCAAACGTCTAAGTGTGGGGGAGTGATTCGGGCCTAATTGCACATATTTTGCCCCCGGTTTGCTTAGATGTTTGTGCCAAATTCGCTCATTAAAGGTTGGTTTTACGCGAGGTTCTTTGTGTTTGAGTGCTTTTCAGGATTTAACAGGTGGAACCAGCCTCGGAGTCAAAGGATTGGCGAAAAGGATCGAAAACCGGGAGAAGAGGTGAAAAACTGCAAGTTCACGGCTAAAGGCAGGAGTTCACGGTCGTGCAAGAGCGTGAAGAAGGGGAGTTGACCGTGAAGCGCAAGGCGTCCAGAGCTAAGTTGAAGGTCACTGACGCAAGGCGAGTTCACGGTCACTAAGACCGTGAACACAAACAGTTGCCCGTGAACTGCCGTGATCGATGCGGAGCGTTTAGAGACAACCATCTTTAGAGTAACTTCTTCTTTCTTTGTTGCGCTTCTTCGCTGCTATTTTAAGACTTCTTCTTCGTTTCTCATTTGTACACACTATGTTTTATACTTTACCATGTAGTGTTGATCAAGGTTTAGAAATGAGAGGTAGATGCGATGATATTGGCTCTTAAACTTGTGATTCTAGGCAAGTGTGAGATATTTTGCTACGTTTACATCTAATGCTTAGGCACGCCTAGGCGACGCCTAAGCATGCTAGGCGCAAGGCCTCGTCTCAACCCTCGCCTTAAGCCTAGTGCTTTCTTAAACCTTGGTTCTTCCCTAAATTACATGTAATCTTAGTCAAATTACTTGAGATTTTCCATTTATTACATCATATTTTAGCTACAACAAAATTATAAATTAGTGAAACCCTCAATTTCTCCAACAATTTAACTACATTTACCATTTCTTGGTCTTATAATGAAAATAACGACTATTTCTAATGTTTTTCAAATAAATACGTATCCATTGGGTCGACTTTCCGACCCACGACCCATGATAAATTATCCGACCTGGATCCGACCTGCCACGGGTCGGGTATGGATATCTAGATACCTCCCTAGATGCACCATTGACATTCCTAGATTTGAGGTGAAATGGAAAAGTTCTTGTGCGAACTCTGAAGTTAAACGTGCTCAGTGTGGAGTACAACAAGGATGAGTGATCTTCTAGGAAATCACCTTGAATTGCACCCATGACAAAAACCGTGAGAATCTAGATCCAAAGCGGAAAATATCCTAAAAAGCAGAGGAAGCAAAAAATATTTTACCCAAGCTGAATCAACTGCTCCACAGCACACAAGTTGGCGTCCTTGGGCGGCTCTTCGCCACCTGGGGCTCTGAAGGGCGCTTGGCGCCAAGATGAGGCCCATTGTAGAATCACAAAAAAGTATCTTTGAAAGCTAACTAGGAATAGAAAGCACAGATAAAAAAAAGTGGAAGAAAAAATGGGCTAGCAAGTGAGTAATTGCGTTAGCTTCTCTGAAAGTGAACCTCCAATTAGTGATCATATTAACATCTTTTCCCAAATCCAAGATACTCTTGCGAACGAGACCATGACCGAGTGATCGTACTGCTGGTATTTAGTCTGGGGCCCCTATTTTTCAATCCCAGGAACGTTCATGGTTTCCCCTTTCCCTCACCTCTCTAGTAGCACCTTATAACGGCTCTCTATACAAAAAATATCTGAGATACTCTTGCACACATTATCAATCTCAGTTTTGCAATCCTCTTCTCTTTTCAGAAGATTAGTCAGCTTCTTGCAATTTGATTCAACCGTAAATGATTTTAATGCCCATCTCCCTCACCCAGTGTTCCCCTCCCGATCTAGTTTAACTTCAATCGTATCTTCCCTAACCTAATGTTTGACTCTGCTCACTTATAGCCTTTTATGTGTGCTTTCAAAATATTTATTATTTAAAAAATATAAAACAAAGTGTCTGCAATTAAAACAATATGAAACCATGTAAATAAGATCTCACTCAAATTGTAAGATTTATAATGCATCATCTTTTATTCAGAACATCTTTTATTCAAATGAAGCCCAAAAATAATATACCTAAACCTAGTTTTTTTTTAGGTTAGGGGAACATGTCGACCATAATCGTTGGCAGGAACAGAGGTAGAAATTTAGGTTAGGGGACCAATTTTTTTCCAGTGGCATAGATCAACAAATACACATTTATTTATTTATTTATTTATTTTCGTTGAATGAAATACACATTTGAAAATTATAAAAAAATCTATAAAAAATCTTGTATATTCATGGGACAATATATCTTCTACTATATGCATTGAGTTCTCCTATCAGAAAAATAAATGCTACTTAAACTAGTATTCGAATTTTGAATTTTGTTTTATTGAAACCTGTAGGAATTTTGAATTAAATGTTCATGTGATATTACATTCATAATAAATAACTTAAATTTGAACAGAAAATGAACTTATATTATGTATCCTATTTTCCGACGAATATAACTTTGTGAATCATGTTTTTTTAGTAAAGTTAAACTCATGTCTATAAGTAGTTTCCGAGACAAAAGTGTCACAATTAGGTTATTAGTTTCCTATTTCAACTATTAACTTAACCATTATAATTATATCTTTTTCATATTTTATGAAGAAAATTCAAGTAAAAATTGGCAAAGATGAAACAAAACGTCATAATCCATGCCATAAAATGAGTAAAGATGTATCAACATGATACATTTGCAATTGTGTTCTCCTTCTGGAATATTATATATTGCTTAAATTAGTGGTTTGAATTAAATGTTCATGATATATTACTTTCAAAATAAATAACTTCAATTTAAGTATAAAATTAAGTTATGCTATGTGGCGTGTTTTCCAGTGAATATAACTTTGATAATCATGTTTTTTCTTTTGGTAAAGTTAAAAGTCGTGTTAACTTCAGAGATGAAAGTGTCGTTACATTATATTAGTTTCCTATTTCAAATATTAACTTGACTATTATAATTTGGATTAATAAAAAAAGCCAAACTTTTGAAGTCGTGGACAGAAATAGGCAAAATTATTTGAAATACAGTAAAGAGTTAATAGCATTTTATACCTCTTTACTATCGCAAATTAACAAAGGTGGCCCTTCTACTAAATTTATGGACAAACATACCCTCCTAATATTAAAACATAACAAATATCTCATTCCTTCACTCTAACTATCTGTTAAATGACCCCGATTTAATTTTAATTCATTTTATATTCTTTTTATCACACCCCAATCAAAACTAAAAACACCCTATCGTCTTCATCATTCCCCAACCGAAGAACCCCACCGACGATTTCACAAGGTTTTGGGTTGCGGAACACAGGAGATTACGAAGGTGCTTGTTTTGCTTCTATTTTACGAACTTCGCTGGGTAGTGAAGTTTCAACAAGAAGGGGACGGTCTCATTCGCTTGCTATTGCTCCGATCAAGCTTACATCGTCGAACGTTTGGTCGGTAGAACTGCTTCGCTGCCGGAAAATCGCTCAATTAAACTAGTACAATCTTATCCTCTGAGTTCTCCTCACTGTAGGTATAGTGGGCTAGCTAGCTAGCTAATACGTTGGTGATTTCCTGACTTTTTACTGTAAAAAGCCTAATTTTATCAATCTGAAACCAAATGGATTTGATTATGTGATTCGTGTACCCAAAAGCACCAGGTCAATATATTAGATCGAGGGACTGTGGTTTGGGGAGGGGGAAGGAAGCAGAAGGAAGTCAAAGTAAACATATACATATGCATACTATAGGGCAAAAACACACCAACAGAAGCTAAAAGGCTACAACTGTTGAAGATTGGCGCCAAGAGAGTTTTCAAAGTCTGTCTTTACTGAAGCTGTGTCGTTTTAGTTTGAGCTAAAGACAGTGTCGTTTGGTTTTCTTTCAGTCTGGTCACTCTAAGTCTGCTTTAGAGTCAAATAAGGACAAGTCGAGTGTTAAGGCTTGGGTTGCTTGGTGCAGAAGGTTAGGGAGTCTGTTAGCTGGTTTTCAGGGTTAGTGGGATTGATTGAGGTTAGTGGGAGACCGAGATCATGGGCTGAGAATACTGTACTTATAGTTTTTCAGCATTAATCAATAAACTTGTCAGTTTACTTCATTAGGTTTTCACATTGTGGTATCAGAGCCTAAGTGAACTGTAACCAAAGAATTTGCAGAAGGGCTTTCAAGCAAAGTGAGAACAGATTGCTTTCAAGCAATAGAGAGATAGAGAAACAAGTGAAATCAATTGATTTCTGGGTTGGGAAACACGAGGGACTAGTGAGGACATCTGTTTGGTGAGTGAAGCCAAGAAAATGAGTGAGGGAAGCTTTGGAACAGCTTGCATCCCTAAGTTTGATGGTGACTATGATCACTGGAGCATGTTGATGGAGAATCTGCTGAGGTCAAAGGAGTATTGGAGAGTTGTTTCCAATGGAGTTCAGGAACCTGCTGGGGAAACTGAACTTACCACAGAACAAATCAAGGCTCTGGAAGACCTGAGGCTGAAGGATTTGAAAGCCAAGAATTACCTGTTTAATTCCATAGACAAGACCATACTGAAAACGATCACCAACAAAGGAACTGCCAAGGAGCTTTGGGACTCCATGAAAATGAAGTATCAAGGCAATGCTCGAGTTCAAAAAGCTCAACTTCAAAGCCTCAGAAGGAGTTTTGAAGTTCTGGAAATGAAAGAAGGTGAGTCAGTGACAGATTACTTTGGTCGAGTTATGATGATTGCCAACTCCATGAGAAACTGTGGTGAATCCATGCCTGATGAGAAGATCGTGGAGAAAATTTTGAGAACATTGACTAAAAGATTCAACTATGTTGTCTGTTCAATTGAGGAATCAAAAGACATAGAAAATCTCTCAGTTGATGCTCTTCAAAGCTCTTTGTTAGTTCATGAACAGAAGTTCCACAAGAAAAGTGCAGTGGAAGAAGATCAGGTGCTGAAAGTTTCTTATGAGAGTGGTGGCAGGGGTGGCAGAGGACAAGGAAGAGGCTACTATGCTGGAAGAGGAAGAGGAAGAAGTGGTAGAGGCTGGAACAAGGAGTCTGTTGAATGTTACAAGTGTCACAGACTAGGGCATTATAGAAGTGAATTCCCTGAATGGAACAACCAACAAGGCTATTACAATCAGCAGGCACACTTCTCAAACTCTATGGACATGAAAGAGGATGTCCTGCTGATGACCTGGGTTGAAGAAAATGCTGAACACAAAGGAAAGGAAGCTCTGGAAGCTGAGAAGTGCAGATCTGCAGCTGAGTCATTGATACAAGATCAGAATATGATGGCTTTCTTGGAATCACAGCCTGAAGTCAATCATGAAGGGTGGTGGTTCCTTGATTCTGGGTGCAGCAATCACATGACAGGAAACAAGAGCTGGTTCACTGCCATGGACACTTCAGGAAATGGAATGGTGAAGCTAGGAAATGGAACAAGGCTGGAAGTGAAAGGAAAGGGTGCTATCAGGATCAAGACTGAGTCACAAACACTGGTAATCAATGATGCCTTTTATGTGCCTGGTTTAAAGACAAACTTACTTAGCATGGGTCAACTGCAAGAGAAAGGATTAGAGTTCTTAATGAAAGGAAATACATGCAAAGTATATCATGAAACCAAGGGACTGCTTATGAACATTGGCATGAAATCAAATCGCATGTTTGCTTTGCACTGTGATGTTCCTGGAAATGAGTTCAGTGGTGATATTCAATGTCTGCAAGCCAGTGAAGCTGAACTAGCAACTCTAAATCTCTGGCACAGAAGGTTTGGTCACCTAAGTTATCAAGGTCTAACCAAATTACAGAAGAAGGGAATGGTTACTGGACTGCCAGTGTTGAAAGGAGTTCCTGAAATCTGCACCACTTGTTTGGTAGGGAAACAACATAGGAAGCCATTTCCTAAGAGAAGTCAGTGGAGAGCCACTCATAAATTGCAACTCATTCATGCAGATTTATGTGGTCCCATCACTCCCATGTCCAATGGTGGAAAGAGATATGTGTTTACAGTGATTGATGATTTCAGCAGGAAACTGTGGGTGTTCTTTCTGGCTCACAAATCTGAAGCTCTTGGAGTATTCAAAAACTTCAAAGCTCAAGTGGAGAAGGAGGCAAGAACAGAAATAGGTTGTTTGAGAACTGATCGAGGAGGAGAGTTCATGCTTACTGAGTTTAGAACTCTTTGTGATGAAGCTGGAATCAGAAGGCAGCTTACTGCTGCTTTAACCCCACAATAAAATGGGGTAGCTGAAAGAAAGAATAGAACCATAATGAACATGGTCAGGTGCATACTGGCAGACACCAAAGTTCCATCAGCTTTTTGGCCTGAGGCAGTTCTTTGGACTACTCATATACTGAATAGAAGTCCCACTGTGGCTCATCTGAACAAAACACCACAAGAAGTGTGGTCAGGAATTCCTCCTTCAGTGGACTATTTCAAAGTATTTGGGTGTGCTGCTCATGTTCATGTTCCAGATCAACAAAGAAAGAAACTAGATGATAAGAGTAAGCCATGTATATTCCTTGGAATCTCAGCTGAATCAAAGGCTTACAGGTTATACAATCCTGAAACAAAGAAAGTTGTTGTAAGCCGAGATGTCATATTTGATGAGAAGCATGGATGGATATGGAATGAAGAGACACAACCAGTGCTAACAAGTTTGTCTTGGGAAGGAAGTGATGAGGATTGGTTTGATTCTGACACTGAAGATCAAACTGAAGAAATCACACCTGCTGTTGTTAACACAGAAGCAGAAGCAACCAGTCCACAAACTCCAGCTACTCAAAGCACTCCAGAGATGGCAGAAGAGGATGATGATGAGAATGAAACTGGTACTGATGTTCTGGGATTGCCTACTAGTTCTGAATTGGGGCCCAGGATAAGGAAACCACCAGCACAACTAGCCATTTATGACACTACTTATGCTGAGTCTGAATGGTGTGCTATGGTTGCTGTGACAAAGGATCCAGTCACATTTGAAGATGCTGCTGCTGAAGAAAAATGGAATCAAGCCATGAAAGCAGAAATGCTCTCAATTCTGAAGAATGACACTTGGTACCTAACTACTTTACCTGCTGGAGCTAGATGCATTGGTCTAAAATGGGTGTTCAGAACCAAGTTTAAAGAGGATGGTTCAGTGGATAAGTTCAAGGCCAGACTTGTGGCCAAAGGGTACTGTCAACAGCATGGCATAGACTATACAGAAGTCTTTGCACCAGTGGCTAGGTGGGACACAATCAGGACCTTTCTTGCTCTTGCTGCTCACCATGGTTGGCCAGTGTTTCAATTAGATGTAAAGAGTGCCTTCCTTCATGGCAATCTGGAAGAAGAAGTATATGTAGAGCAACCACAAGGCTTTGTGGTTGCTGGGGAGGAGAATAAAGTGTACAGGCTCAAGAAAGCTCTTTATGGGCTGAAACAAGCTCCTCGAGCTTGGTACAGCAGAATTGAGCAATACTTCGTTGCAACTGCGTTTGAAAAGTGTCCCTATGAGCCTACCTTATTTGTGAAGAAGGTTGGAAAAAGCACACTCTTGGTAAGTTTGTATGTAGATGATGTTATGTATGCTGGGAGTGATGCAAGTCTCATTCAAGAATTTAAAAGATCCATGGAGGCTGAGTTTGAGATGAGTGACCTGGGAATGATGAAGTACTTTCTGGGGGTTGAAGTGAATCAAAGCACATCTGGTATATTCATTTCTCAGCCAAAATATGTGAAAGAAGTGTTGCA